ACCGAAACAAGATCTTTTCTCTTTCTTTGGTCTGCAAGGTGCCGGGTTTCCCGCTTGCTTCTGTGGTTCCTCCGTCCTCGTTGAGTCCACCCTTGCTGTTTAAGCGGGGGTTCCCTCCGTCCTCTTATGCCCTCCTAACCCCCCTCCGCGACCGACGACCATCCGGGTTCTCGACACATCTTGCAACGCCGTACGCCGCGCAACCACCGCAGCCCACTCACCCTTCCCCCCTTTGAGAATCGTCAAAGATATTTCCACCTCTTCATCGACTCCATCAGAGTATCCCCTGCATTTGGCGTATAATATATACTGCCCAGCGCCTGTCTTGGAGCCTCATTCCTCTCCATCTACCAAGACGCCAAGCTGCGAGCCAAGACCTGCGAGGACCCATCTTCCAGCACGCACACCTCTCTCCCCCACCCTACAGCTCATCTTTATTCCTCCCTGTCGCCATCTCATTGCGACTCTCCGACGACTTTGGCCTGTCGTATCACCTTGATACACGCATCTAGCCACCATTCGAACCAGTTTCTCGGAGACGCACAGGCTCCGGATCCATTCCGTCGGGTCTTGACGCATATTCCGGTCGATCAAAAAGCCGTTGCTCCAACCTGTACCACGATCTGTACCTCAAGCTCGTCGACCTTGCTGTCACGGCCTTCCGGGTGCATACCTATCTTCGGTGACCAAGGTCAGAGCCTTAAAGCAAGCACCCGTCGCAAGGTTCCCGCAACGTAGTCAACAAAAAGTCCAGCAAAGATGAATCCTCTGGAAATCTCAGCAGCGAAGCTCCTCGCCCTCCGCCAGGATGATGGTTCAGGTGCCGATGCCGTCAACGAGTGCGGCGCCGCCGCCGTCGATCTCAGCAACAAGGGACTGCGTATCGCCTCCATCTTCATCATCATGGTTGCTTCGCTTCTCGGCGGTTTCCTCCCCATCTTCCTGGCCAGGACCACCAGAATGCATGTACCCAAGATGACCTTCTTCATCTTCAAATACGTCGGTACCGGTGTCATTATCGCAACCGCTTGGATGCATCTGCTGTCACCTGGTGTCGAGGCTCTGCACAATGAGTGCTTGGAGCCAATGCTGGGCAGCTACGACTGGGCTTTTGCCATCGGTCTGATGACCGTCATGGTCATGTTCCTGATTGAGATGATCGCATCCAACGTCGCCCAGTCTGCATTCGGCAGCCATGACCACGAACTTGGCCACAGTTCAAGCATGACCAACAAGACCAAGGACATTGGAACCGATGGGACGAGCGCTACCGAGGTTTGCCCCCACGACGATGCTGAGAGGGGCGTTGGCTTTGTAGACCCCAAGAAGGTGCCTGGACTTCCCGACGACGTTAGCTACCCGCCCGGTGGAAGGGATCATCTAGGCCACGCTCGTGATCACACTGAGGGAGACACCCACAATGGCCTTGCTGGCCAGCTTATTGCCATCTTCATCCTCGAATTCGGTGTCGTGTTCCACTCCATCTTCATTGGACTCGTCCTCGCCACTAGCGACGAGCTCGTCGTCCTTCTCATCGTCCTTACTTTCCACCAGTTTTTCGAGGGTCTCGGTTTGGGCTCTCGACTTGCCACTGCCACTTGGCCTTCCCACGGCCGCTACTGGCCTCACATTCTCGCCATCATCTACGGCCTGTCGACTCCCATCGCTATTGCCGTTGGCATTGCCGCTCAGCCGAGCAGCGCCAAGACACAGACTCTTGTCAACGGAATCTTCGACTCTATCAGTGCCGGCATTCTGATGTACACGGGTCTGGTCGAGCTGCTGGCACACGAGTTCATGTTCAACCCGCAGATGAGAAACTCACCGCTCAAGGTGCAGCTCTTTGCGTTCGGCTGTGTCGCTCTCGGTGCTTGTGTGATGGCTGTCTTGGCCAACTGGGCCTAGGTGTGACGGATTGACCATGACGATCGTTGTGCGCAAACGGAAGATGTAGAACTGGTGAAAAACAGAACTGGAATGGGAAACGGATTATGGTAAAAGGGCAATGGGTGAAAATGATACCTAGGTCGGTGAGCCTGTGTTTATTGCACGGTGTGGAAAATATTCCCTTCGGAGGCATTTTGGATTTTGCACTAGGAGGAGTTTTGCATACGCCTCTCGGTGAGGCACATAATAGGGATAGTGATAGAATGAATGTATGCGATCGCAACTGCTTTGGATTGAAAATCGACAAATGGTGACACTGTGATAGCAGGAAAGTCGGATAAATATTGACCATTGTGGCCGATCATGCTTGTTCATGGCAGCTCAAAACATAACACAAAGCCTCGAAGCCTCGGTGGCCATGGTAGAGTCAAGGAGATATTATTTTTCTCGATGTCTCCGGAATAATATCAAGTCATGAGAGTGAGGCTCTCTCTAGTGTCCTGAGCGTGAGCCCCCTCATTGACTCGAGCGTTGGCCCCACGTGGGGTAGCCCTTGAACTCGAAATCTTAGATAATCAGCGCTCGGACCTGATGTAGGGATTCGGTGAAAGCCCGGTCACCAATGTGATAGAGGAAAACAAAAACTTTTGGCTAAGCTATACACGTGACCCATCGCCCCGCAGGGCAGGAAGCCCTGCGCCAAGCTCTGAGAACCACCAGAAATTTACCATCGCAACTTTCGTGCATTTGCGCCTCTCGACCTGTTGACCGACCGACCTCATCGCCAAATTTTATCGCCCAGCGCCGCACCCAATCCACCCCTCTCCCCCCAATACCCAACCAATACCGCAAAAATGGCCGGTGGAATCAACGTTCGCGATGTCGATGTAGGTTAACACCACGTTCTTCTCCGTCTGGAGACTTCTCAGCCCGAACACAAAAACAAAAGAATCGCAAGATTTCTTCGGACCCTCGAATTGCGACCAAGATCACCACAAGAGTACTCCCCGATGACACCGTACTGTCCTCGCCACATCCTCGAAAGCCCATTGCGCCAACTGCACTCCGGTCACGAGCTCGCGAGTACACCCCGAAGCTTGATCCACATTTTGAGGTTGTTGAAATATACCCTCTCGGTGCATCTTGCGGATGTCGCGACCGTGACACATGGGGGAGGAAAGAGAGATACGAAGTGACGACAGGAGGTGCAAAGCAGGCCGGGCTCGTCGAGTTGTGGAGGACATGTCGGCGAGGGATACAATTGGGAGAGCAGGGATACACAATTTGAGGAAACGGAGCAGGCGCGAGGGAGTCGAAAGACTTCTGATGACGGAATCATGCTAATTGGTAATTTTTTCTCCGGTGCAGGCGCAGAAGTTCATCAACGCGTACGCCGCTTTCTTGAAGCGTCAGGGCAAGCTGCCCATCCCCGGTATGTCTAACTTCCACACAATATCCTACTTGTTCATCGCATCATCGCTAACCAATGACTACCATCAGGTTGGGTTGATATCGTCAAGACCGGCCCCGCCAAGGAGCTCCCTCCCCAGAACATTGACTGGTTCTACGTCCGCGCCGCCTCCGTCGCCCGCCACATCTACGTCCGTAAGACCGTCGGTGTCGGCCGCCTCCGCAAGGTCCACGGCTCCGCCAAGAACCGCGGTGTCCGCCCCTCCCACCACGTTGACGCCTCCGGCTCTGTCGACCGCAAGATCTGCCAGGCTCTTGAGAAGATCGGTGTCCTCGAGAAGGACGAGGAGAAGGGTGGCCGCCGCATCACCCAGTCCGGCCAGCGTGATTTGGACCGTAAGTCGTCAATAGCCCATTGGTGATATTGAGCATTCACGCTAACGTACCACAAAGGTATCGCCCAGACCACCGCTGAGGCTGAGGAGGAGGAGGAGGATGACGAGTAAATTATTCCCCCAACACGATTCAAAAAGTTGTTTGCGGTAAAATGAAATGAGGTTCCGGGTCATGGCTACGGCAATGGGCATTGGGTTAGGCGTCTGAAAATGGATTACGGGTTTCATGATTGCAACATTTGGAACCACACCCAAATTCAAGTTCCGTCTTTGCCTGGTGTTTCGATTTTTTCTTGACATGTAGTGTGAGTGCTACTCGCCCCGCAGAATTCACGTCGGACTGCACGTCGTTTTTTCACTGCTGTCGTTCCTTCCCTATGAGATGCCGCATATCTGCCTCGTTGTGATTAGATTGCATACCCCTACTCACCAACCCATCTCTGGTGCCCATCCACTTCCTCGGCGACATCACGACATTCAGCTACCCGGCCATCACCTGTGATTTACACGTTCGCAGACACCTTCAGCACAGCGTGTGTTCCTTCCGATACTCATACAAGACGCATAAGGTAGAAAGACTACTTACCACGCCCTTTCTCCGCCTAACACCAGGTACACGGTCATTCAATGCTCTGGGGCTGACCACCGCGTGCCACCTATTACTAACTTCTTCGCTTCATTCACACCTCACTTCAGTCTCATATCTTCCCCGCCCTTCTCTTCTTCAACAGGCTACGATATCTGTCTTACCTGACTGTCTTTCCCGGACCGCATCACGACTACACGCAAACACGAATTTGACATTTCATTTCCGTAGTCGCACCTACTCACTGAGCTCGTTCCTACACTCTCATTATTCTTTCTCGGGTGTTTTACATGTAACCTCGCCGCTTCTGCTTCATTCACCCATCTTTTGCAGCTACAAGTCTCTGCGACTCGGTCTAGTTGGAAGACCGTTCCATCGCTGCCTCAACATCTCATATCCTTTATGCGAATTAGGGTTGATTTATCGCTCACTTCGTCGGTCTTCTCGGTAAGTTCTCCCATGCCCCATATGCACCTTCCATCGCCTAGCCCTCCCAATTATCGCGTTCGCGACGTGTCGTACTTTCCCACCTACAGTTTCCTGTCTATTATTCTTCTCACCACTGACTTGACGAAAGAGCCCAGGTGGAACCCTTTTTTCGAAGTTTGAGCATAAAGAACGTCTACATTTCCAACCTCACATTGAAGTCAGAAGCCTTCTCATCAGACTTCACTTTCCGAGTTCCAAATTCTTATCGACACTAACCGAAGGAAGGGGACGGCATGAACTACATCGTTCGTTCCGTCAATCAGGGTGCTGCCAGCACTGGGGAAAAGCGGCGCTCTCCTAGTCCTGGTAACACAGCCTGTCCTTGTTACGCGAAAGCACTTGGCTAAACATCTCATCTAGTTATTGCCCTGGCGCGACGATCATGTGACGTCGCGTTGCCCACCGTCGAGTCACGTGCTTCAAGCCAACTCAACCTCAGCACGCACCGCGCGCCTTCCGCAACTCGAAGTCCAACGTCTACAAACACTGACGTGGAGCACGTCGAGATCAAGAACGAGGCATCAGTGCTCGAAAATGCGGTCATCTCTGACAGACCTCCAGAGAAGATCTTTTTCTTTAAGAGGATGGTCGCGGGCTGCCCCCATTTTGACGCTCTCATCGAAGTCGGCCAAGGGCAGATGCGGCTGAGCGCTGAGCAGGCTAGGATCGAGTACGCGATCTGGGAGGTTACCGAAGACCTGTTCATATACCGACAAGCTGGACCAGATTTCCGGATCCTCCAGTCCATAGGCAGCATCGAGTATCATGGTGCCAACCACGAGAAGGACGTGAAGTACGCATTCACCATCAAAACTTGTGGCTTCATCGGCCAGCGGGATGCGAATAACCAGCTCAACGTCGTGAAGCTCACAGTGAGCGGAAAGTCATTCCTCCCTCATCGAGAGATAGACAAGAAGAACTTTCTCCACCACGCCAAGTGGCATAAACGCGTCAAGAACATGGCTCGTCACCTGGGATTGAATCTGCGAACCTTCTACGACGGGGGAGGAAAGCCAATGACGGCGAAGAATTGCGGCGATTGGCGGGCGGGGCACATCGAGAAGAAGTTGGCCACACATATAGCCTATGCGATGTTGAAGTACTACGACATCAAGATCGATAAGAAGCACGACGCCTCGCTCAGAGATCTCGATCGCCTTCGTCAACATCTCAAACCCCAAGGCGCAGCGCCTCACTTTGAGATCCATCTCAGTCGAGGGCCCTGTGGAACTCTCAAGCGTCCTGGTCAATGTCTCCCATTCGTCAGGAAACTGGGTGCTGCGTCAGGTATCAAGTTTACCATTCATTCTTAGGAGGAGAATGTTATTCTCGATGGATCCGTGCCACCCAAGCCCGAAGCAAGAAAGGTGAACAACGAGCTCTGCGCACTCAATCACAGGGAGAATCTTCCCAGCTCCGGTATTGACGACGTCGACTACGATAGTGAGGAGGAGGATCTCCTGCTCCACCTTGCTGATGCCGAGAGCCAGAAAGACGACATTGTTTTTGACGGGTTTGATGACGCAGACGACGAGCGCACTCATCATGATCGAGCCAACATTGATGATGACACAGCCGACGCGGGATCCTCTCCCCTGCCTCAGTTACAGGTACCTGCAGAAGTAGTGGCCAATTTTGGCGAGAACCTCCGCACCAAATACATTCGGAAAGAAAAGCGCCCTGTAGAGCCAGCCATCGATTTGACCACCGAGACAACCGTAGAGGCTGCTGAGGACACTGTCAGCGTCGAAGAAATCGAGCGAGACCTGTCACACATCGATATCCACCGCGCTCCATCCCAAAGCCAATACTGGGAAGCACCTGCTGCCGCGGCCACCCATGCGGTACCATCAGTACGTAGAGGGGCAGCCACCGCCACAGCAGGCGCAAGAAAAAGGCGCGCTAAGAAGTTAGAGAAGAGAAGAAATGCGCTCGGAAAAGTCAACGCAGGTAAAACTCGGACTCAGAACGCCGTTCTATTGGGGTGCTGGCTGACAGCATGTTGGATTAGGGGGTTCTGTGTATGCGGCTCGCCTGGGGGCGATGCTCGGCTTCAGTCAACGGATTGGTTGATGCAGTTGATAGCAGATTGACTGGGCTGTGAGCCAGATGTTGAGACATGGTTCTAAGAATTGAGAATTGAGACTGGTTTTTGGGGATGCTTTTGGCGTTTAGAGTTGAGGTTTAAATCGTTTGGTAGCCGTGCCGCTCTGGAGGTTTAACATTGAGTCATGTAACAATGAGGCAGTGGAGGTCATCTCGAAGGAGGTCTCCCGTATGAGACTGATCCGGCTCTGACAGCTTGTGAGGAACGAGACTCAACGTTATTGCAGTCTAGCAAATAGCAGATGACCTTCATATTAAGCTACCTGCCCCCTAGTGACCCTTCAGTTGTCATGAAATTATCGAAGGAAACATCCTGTCAGCAGTTTTCGTATCAAAACTGCAAAACTCTACGTTCGATCTGTTCTGTTGGGACTTTCCAACGATAAGTTACTTTGGGTCAGCAAATGGTATCAGCTACGGTCAGAACTTTTATGACTCGGTATAATTACTGCTGAAGGCTCCATGTTGAGGTATGGGCTCTCATTGCCTAGACTCGAGAACTCAGCCTTAGTCGTTCTCCAAACCTGTACAACAGCCACACAGCAGGTATAAAAGCAACCCCAACAAACCCAAGAATCGAATTGCCCCATCCATCACCCACAGCCTCATACAACTTCCCTCCGCAAAGCGGAAGCAATCCTCCGCCAAGGCTACGCAACACGGTGCTCGCGGCAACCGCGCTGGCTGCGTGCTCGGTAAAGGCATCGACCAAGTACGAGTTGATAGACATGAAGATAAGAATGGTACCGACTCCCACCAAAAAGGTGCCAGCCAGGGGCACCATGAAGTGAACGTTGTACTGTAGAGTCCAACCATACAAAAATAACCCGATGGGAACCAGGAGGCTTCCCGGTATCAGTGGCGGGAGTCGGTACTCGGGCTTCATCTCTCCTTTGCGGGCCATGGCTTTTACAAGCTTGTCGGAAAGAGCGCCAAGAGTCACGTTTCCCACAATGTTGCCAATGCCAAACCCCAGGTAAGTCAGACCAACGACGCCGTGGCTTAGACCGTATCGGCTCATGAAGGTCGAGGTCATGGTGGTGAAGATGATGTAGATGAAGCCATAATTCACTGCAGCACAGATAGAGAGTGTGAGAATGATAGGTGAGTAGACGAGAAGCCTGGTTGGTCGAACGATTGCGTTGAGAAAAGTGGCCTGCGGAGACTTTTTTGATGCCAAGATGGATGAGATCTCCGGATTTCCGTACTTCTTGCGCAGTCTTCGAGCTTTCCACTCTAGCAGAGTTGGCGAATGAGTTTCTCGGAGAAGTAATAGCGTAGCGATATAGATCGCTCCCATCTGTCAGACATCTTGTTACTTCTAAGCTACAGCTGACCAGAATTTGAGGCATAAGTGAAGTGCATACCGCAATTGCCAGAAACCAAAAGTCCCATCTCCACCCAGTGGCCGCTGACAAGTAACTTCCAACCAACGGCCCGATGGCAGGGCCAAGAAGTACTGGCAGGTTCCAGACCGCAAGCCCTTTGCCTCGTTCCTCCTGGACGAACAAGTCCGAGACGCTAGCTGGACCGATAGCTAACGGGCAAGAACCAACGAGGCCGGTGATGAGACGGAAGACGATTAGCATCGGCAGAGAAACCGACAATGCGCAAGCGACATTGGCTAGGATGAAGAGGAGAGAGTTGACGTGGTACAGAATGAGCCGGCCATAAAGCTCGCTTAGTGGTCCGTGGAGCAAAGGTCCGAAGGCATAGCCGAGGACGAAGATGGAAACACTGAAAGATTTGAGGTCGACGTTGGTGGAGTGGAACTCTCTCATTGTCTCGCTTGTGCTGGGTGCGAACATTGAGGAGCCGAAAGGACTGAGAGTAATCGTTAACATTGTGACAGCATTACTCGACTAGTAAATAGGAAAACTTACGAGATCAGAGTTAGAGTCGATATAAGAAGTACGTTAACCCATTTCTTGGAGACCGACCAATTCGTTGCTTTCTCAGCATCATCTTCTCCTTCCCAGTCAACGACGATTGGGACATTCGCCCCTTCAACACCATCTTCGTCAATCGCAAACGTTGCTGGTGCTGTGCCTGATTTTGCCATCTTGTCAGCAGAACGCACAAGGAATGAAGTGACACTACGAAAGAGAGTCCTACAAACCACCAGAAAATGGTGAATATCCTCTTCACTTATACCAAACGTCGGTCAATGGCAACATACACATCGGCTCTCCGAGTGGGTCTCGCAATGGCATCTTGTACCGGCCGGACATAACGGCCTCAAAGGAACCCCTGCTTGCTGACACGGAACTGGCTCCACGCTACCGAAACCAGTCCAATGATTATGTTGCTAATTGTTCCACACAACGGTAAGGGCAAATCTGCATTTGACGCCAGCCCAAGTTGGACAGAGCAGCACCATGCGAATGTCGTCACTTCGAACAATGTCGCGATTGCATTACTCGCTTTGCAGTCGCGACGATTGATCCGAGTTGATTGGGGCGCATTTCATCTCGTGTTGTCCTCATTGGTCATAATTGCCGACGGCAGACAGGCCGTGTTTCTGGTGCCAGCTTCCACATTGCATCGTCAGTTGCCGTTCTGCCAGCTACAAGACCAAGTTCGTTGCATCTCATCTCATCTCATCTCAAGATGGGTACGCCTTCCGGGTAACTCAATTTGCTTCCATCGTTCTTGCTGCTTGTATGCGATCAGCTCCTAACCGCTTGCTGGGAATCGTCGAGGGTATCTCATAACAATTACCTCTTATAGTAGACTTCGATGTCTATTCCATTGGCAGTCCTTGATCGCTTTGCTTGCGACGAGCAGTGTTGAGCACCGTTCACAACATTCAGTTCTTCCGCATCGGCGGCAAAAGTGGGACCATCCGGACCGACTTCGGACGGAGTCCGCCCGACCGCAAAGAAATATTTGGCGCACGTGCCTCCGTTCCCGGATTGTGTCACTCAACAACCAACTCAACAGTGTCGTTGACCTCCGGCATCTTAAATCCCTTCGGCAAATAACCTCATACTCTGTCATTACCAATACTAGCAGTCAGAAACCCACCCCAAGGCTTCACAATGTCTTCCACACCATCTCAGCCACCACCCGCTACCGGCCCCTCTGCGCAATCGGACCCCGCCACCTTCGCTCACATCGAAAACTACATCTCAACCCGCTGCAACGCATCCCCAATCTACGCCTTCCTCTTCAACCCCGGCCTGAAGCTCACTCATGCCTCAAAAGGCCTCATCATCGCACGTCTACCTGTTACTGCCAACCATCTGAACACATCCGGCAGCATCCACGGCAGTGTTTCGGCGACTATCGTGGACTGGGCTGGCGGCTTGGCAATCGCGGCGTGGGACCTCCGCGAGGCGACGGGTGTGAGCGTCGATATCAACATCAGCTACCTCTCAGGCGCCAAGCTGGGTGACGAGATTGAGATCGAGGGCAAGATTGAGAAGGTCGGAGGCAGCTTGGCGTTTACCCACGTCAACATCTACAAGGTGAACCCAGCCGATGGGACGCGGGGCGCTACGGTGGCGAATGGAAGGCACACCAAGTTTGTGAGAAGTCGATAGTCACTCGTGTGGAGTAAGGGAATTGCGGCCTATGCTCAGAGGCTGGGGACGTTTGCCCAAGGCCCTAGGCGGGGTTCATGATCCATCAAAACACGGCTAGTTCTTGGCTGCTGCTGCTGTTGTTTTCAGTTTTCAGTTTTCAAGCTGGAATCACATTGACTGGCGCAAAGAAGTAGACGGAAGACGAATAGAAAGACAGATTCTTGAAGGGCAAGGTTCGTGGTAGCTGCCTAAACAAAGTCAGTATCTTAATTCGCTATTGGGCGTGCCGCGGTTGAAGTTCACCGGTGGGCAGATCCCGGAGTTGGCTCCAGCATGTTGATGTATGTCAGTCCAGCTAACCGTCAGGATCATAGAATGTGACATTGATACGGCCGTTATTGAGCAAGCTAGGATCATCACATGTTGAGGCCAATGACGTCTGGTTAGCCTAATGTCAATCTACTGGCTGAGGGCTCACTCTCACTAGGATCATGTTGGATACAACTCAGGCCCCACGTGATTCGGACTCTGATTCTGTCGTCGAGATTGAAGTCGACATGGGTGAGAGAGACCTGACAACGTAGGAAGAATCGAATTGGGCGCCAGAGTTGAAAGATATATCCTCATTCGGATCTCAGTACAGGTATGAGAGGTGTTATGTCCAGGCGATTTCAATGGCTGGTGGACGGACGTTGGGTCCGGATTTCGAAGGATTTTAAGCGAGCCAGGCAGCAAAATAAAGAGACCCGTTGCATCGTCGCTATCGTGGTGTGTGCATGGCAATAAAGAATTGATCTGGCCAGACATGCGCTAGTGCTTACGTCGGAGGTAACCCTGGCAAGTCCCTACCGGTGAACCGAAAATGCTAACATCACCCGCTTCAGGATTGTCATCCCAGTTGACGTTCCGCACTTTACTCAACATCATTCTTCATTTCGAAACCGCCAATGGTTCATACAATGATAGTCTTTTGCACCACCTATTCTTCATTCGATTAGACTGGAACGGCACGAGATTCAGCTATAGGCGTTCAATACACGTTACCATGAAAGATCTTAGCCCCATGATCACCAAGTTCGCCCTCGACTCAAAACCACAACAGGTCCGAGCCAGCAAGCCAAAGGTTCGCAGTGGCTGCGTAACCTGCAAGTAAGCCTCATATAGAGGGTTGACCTCACACAATATTAGTACTCGGTAGTGATACTGATCATTTCTAGGCTTCGCCGCGTCAAATGCGACGAGGGCAGACCAGCATGCGCACCTTGCTTGAAGTATCAAGGCCATTGTGGAGGATATAAAGCAAGCAAAGCTCAGCCCTCCAAGCTTCCACCTAAACATCGATTGTTGTATCCCAAGCCCAAACAAGGACAGAACCAAGCCCTCGATGTCGTACTCATGGAGCCAAACTACTCGGCTTTCGTCTTCTCGAGCCAGCTGGAGAAGGACCACTTTGACTACTGGCTATCCTTCACCAACACCGCCATCCTGTTCCGATCCGATCTACTCACTCAGATTATTCCACAACTCTCATGGAATGATCCGGCCATCAAACACGCAGCTTTGGCCGTAGGCGCCGCGGCCCTGGGGGCTACTACACGAGAACAACGTCTCCTCGGGCGAGGGAGGTTCAACTCGGATGCTCTATTCCACTACACGAAGTCGATGAATATCCTTTACTCAACACCGATGTCCCTCGAACGTACACTACTAGCGTGTCTCTTGTTTATCATTTTCGAATGTTTCCGAGGCAACAAGGCAGCTGGGCTGAACCACATCAACCACGGCTCCCGAATCCTTGACCAGTGCCCACAAATTCAAGGCGCGCAACCGAGCCCGCTGCTGGAAGAAGTGATAACTAGTTTCCAGTATCTGAGTCTTCAATCCTGGACCCACGGCGGAGATCATCCCAAGGAGACGAAGAGCCGAGTCCCGTGGTGTTGCCGCGGACGCAAGGCGCGATACGCTGTCGACGAAATGCCCACGACGTTTGAGACGCTGGAAGCGGCCCGCCGTTGGTGGAATGTCGTCCGCCACCATGTCGAGCACCATGCACCGCTGTACACTGGGTTCGTGGTCGAGGGATCGACCGCACCTTTACCAGAGAAACCGCCGCACGAATACAGCTCGCTCAGCTCTCAGGCACGTGTCCGGAGCTTTGTACGTTTCACTGACGCCTGGCATCTTGCTTTTCAGCCTCTCGCCGTCGAAGCAGAGGATGATAAAATATGGAACCCCAAGGGCTATTACAAGGCTCTGAGTCTCAGAATACACTACTTGTACCTCTGGAGCGTGATACGCTGTGCTGGATGGACCAATCTGGAGGAAACCAAGCGTATCACTCCGGCGTTCATGGATATTATATCGATGAGCAGGCAGATCCTCGAGGCGCATGATGCCGACCAACGTAATAACGAAGAGGCAGCAGAAGTCTTTACGATCGAGGACGGCCCGACTTGGCCTCTAGGTACTGTGTTTCTCATGTGCACATTGCCTGAGGTGAGACATGCCATTGTCCAGCTCTTCAAGGACTTTCCTCGGCGGGACGGACTCTGGGATACGAGTGCGTTCCTAGTCATTATGGAGTGGGTGAATACGATGGCGGACAAGGGTCGTATCACGAATGACCAACGGCATGTTGCCGACTGTAAGGTTGTCTTTGGCGAGTCCTCGGTGACCCTCGAGAAGCAACTTTGGGACCCTGTAGAGTTGAATTGGGAAAGCCGCAGTGTATGCTTTAGCTACTAAGTACCTACTGACACCGAAAGGTTGTTAACACTTTGGGTGTCAGTTTAGCGTAACTACCTACACGCCAACAGTGAGGGGGGCCGTTGCACCTCGTGGGGAATGTACATGCTTACTATTTAACTACGATAGGGTACTAGTGTGTGACGATGTTAGTAGCTATCTTAAACAGCGTCTTACTTTGACGTACGTCCATTGCTCACGCAGTGTGTCTGATGCCTAGGTGAGCTGCCGGTGGGTGTTGATCTGCTAAAACTCGCTTGGCAACCGCGGGACCCACGGACATGCGAAACCAACACAACTGTGTCAGTTTTCCAACTGCATACCAACGTTGACTCAATCGAGAAAGCATCCCGTGGTAAGGCAAACCCTGTATCCTGAACGATTGGTCATATTCGTTTCTTCTATCGGCACCATCCCGATACATGAGGTGTAATTCATTCACCAAGACAGCAACGCCACGTACATGTAGTTGAAGCAGCCGCATTAGGCCTGATACTTTCTGACCATTGTCAAATAAGGGAAGGGAATGCAGCAGGAGTGTCTATCCAACAGACGACTCACCTGAACAATAATATGGTGAACAAAGACCACGGCACTGTACATGACATACAGATGAGTAGGGTACCTTGATTGTTTGATGCATCGACGTTTTCGGGGTTCTATCGTTCACCGTCGTCCGATGCGACAAGCTCCCAAGCATTGCCCTGTCGTATGATAGTTCTATTTCGTCTCTAATTCTGCGACTTAGTCTCCTAGTCAATTAAGCGCAGAGAGTGTATAGTATTGGATGGCAGCTGCCAGAAATAAGCCCTCCGTCTCGTACTGCGAGCTCACTCCTTCGTCCGGATTTCGAAACGCAATGACACACGCCTGACAACCCGCATCAGACTGCCCCTAGAAGCTCCGCCGTATACTACAGAGCCTAAATGGTGGGAGACTGGGACCTGTCCCGGTCAAGCAGCAGATCACCTACGGCATGCCCGCAAGGGGCTGATTCTAGAATGCTGCTCAGCGAGTTATTGTTACAAACCTCTAGACAGCACGGTCCAGTTACTGATCAGGTATCCGCTGCCAGACGTACGACCAAGCTCCTTGTGGCAGCGCGTGAACTGGAGACTTGGTGTTTCAGGAATCCACGTTGCCCTTGGCTGATTTCATCCCGTCGGTAGGGCTCCCCGCGCCAATGTGATGTCTGCCGCGGATCCGGCGCCAAGAAATCACCAAACGAAAGGACAGGAAGGATTTAGCGGTAGTTTAGCCCAGAAGAGCCAGCGATCACCCAGATTCTCCAGCTCCCTGCGCTGATTAACACCGGAACCAAGAGGCTGAACAACGGGCCCATCGCCTTACCCATCCCTTGTCTATAAGACAACAAGTATTCAGCAGTAGGCCAAACCCACTGTCGCGGATGTCAGGCGTCTCGACATCGTTTGAGGAAGCAAGCGCTGCAACTCCACGAGGACTGGGGAAAGGAAAGAAGGTAAGAATTAAGCTTAGAATGCATATGTTATAGTGCATGAGAGTCATATTGCCCTGACGTGACTGCGTATAAAGGCAACGCATTTCCGATTATTCCACATTGATCTTGAGCAAACAACTTCCAGCCATCGCTTTCCGTCTTTTTCTCTTCTACTGCTGCCAGGTGCACTTCAACTATTGTAATCAACATATACATTTGATTCTTCGTCAATTCACAACTACTACCGCCACCATGCAGATCTCCGCTATCTTCTTGACCGTCGCTGCCTTCGCCGTTGGCAATGCCTTCGCAGGTAAGCAGCTCCTTGTCGACTCTGAATCGTCTACACAGCACGCGAAATACTTGTTACCGTCCACTGACCATATGATAAACATAGCTACGGTGCCGCGCAACTTCATCGACGGAAAGGGCAGTGCCCTGTTTGGAAACGTGGGAACGGCATGCTCCGTTGGCTCCAAAGATGGCGAATGCGATCGATTCGGTCGCTGCGTCCAGGAAATTCCTCCCAACGAGGTGTCTGTTCTCAACCAAGGAAAGAGCGTAGCTACATGTACTGCAGGTGGACAGACCGGTACACTCTGAGGTGGATGCGGGAAATAAGCCTCAGATGATTCAATATAAGAGGTTAGATGAATCTTGAGCCGTTCAATACAACCGTACCAAGGGTTTCATCAAGACAAGCCGCATTGCCACAGCCTACAGAAACAGTTTCCAATGGGAACCATCAAGATTACGGCTACTCCTCAGAGTTCTTACCAACGTGGTTCATGCACGTTGTGGGCCGGTCCTCATAGACGTAAGGAGGTCTCTCAGTTGCTAGTTAGAGGAACCAAAGAACTTGCCCTGATTTATCCGGTCGCAATTGTCCATTATCCAAGTTAGTCCAGATATTTGTAGGAATAAGCAGTCACTAGACCATAATAGAGATACCAACGTGAGCAAGTATCAACAACAGTTTTGTTGTGACGATGACGGTATGAATTGTAGATCGCAGGTGTGCGGTGTGAGCGCGGACAGCTTGTTTGGAAGGAGAATGGAGGGCCCAGAGGCAACCTCGCGATGTTCTCTCGGTGCATCCCACAGAAGGAACCAACAGAATACTATTTACTTTCTGCAGCGAATGGTGCAGAAACACCCGTGCTAGAACCAATCAAGGGGCAGCTTAGGCGCCCGTCTCTGTTTCGCTTCATGCAACCTGCCTAACGGTCGGTTGGTCGCTGTTGGGACTGGAACTGCGCCGCGACTAAGGTGGGCACATGTATAAAGTCGTAAAGTCTCTGTTAAAATTTCCCTTGCAAACTTTCAAACTTTTCAAAGCTAAATTGTTGACAATTCGTAACAGTATTCTCCGTCATATTGTATCACAAGTTGGAATTATTGCCAAGGCTCGGTCCCTTGAAGATGCTTTGTTCCATTTGCCAGGAGTTCATAGATCACATCTGGACAGCCCAGGGCGGACTGATTTACCCTCATCACATGACTTGCCAAAGTCTGCAGTGCTCTGTAGAAGCTGGATGTTATGCTTGCAATCGGATTTGGGCAATTCTACCTTCTGACGCAAGAGTTTATGTCTGGGACAAAGCTCGTACCGATAGACCTGTTCACGGCGAGGCAAATCGTCGGATAGGTAGTAGGGAAGAAATCAGGCACCTTCTTCATCTACATCCCATTACAACAATATATAGGTCTTTTGATGACACCACAAATGAGGAGCGAAACTTTCTTCGGATCGACATCAACCGACTGTCTTTCCCCTCGTGGACCTCCATTAGACACGTGCCGAGCCCAATAGTACATCTGAGGCTCCAGCCTTGCCCCAGTACGTGGAACAACTTACAAGGTATATTGCATACAGGAGTGGTTTCTTTTTGTTCCCATCCTATCTTTGCAAACGATCGTGACTACTTCTTGGTTTAGACAAGCTTGGCTGATTACTTCATAGGCTCCCATCAATCCGAGTCTGCGGAATCACAATCAAACAGCGCTTATTTACTGCAGGCTTTGGCTCAGCCGAAGTCTTGGATCCAAGATTGCAAGCATAAACATACGGAATGCAACATGATTGCGATAGATTCGAAGTGGTACCCGACGCGCCTCATCGATGTTGGCCCTCTGGAAATGTCAGAAAACGCCGAAACCCCTTGCCGCCTGGTCAACACCAGCGATGAATCAATCGGAGGCCCTTACTTGACCCTCAGTCATTGTTGGGGCGAGGCTAAGAGTCTCATTCTGACAAAAAGCAACGCTGCCCAGTTCCATAAAAGTATTGCTTCAGATGACCTACCGCTCCTATACTCAGAAGCAGTCAAGGTGGCTAAGGAACTTGGTATACGATACCTATGGATCGATGCTCTCTGTATAATTCAAGAGGGAGACGACTTTGCAGATTGGCGCCACGAATCGACACTCATGGATAAAGTGTATTCTCATGCATTTTGCAATATCTCTGCCATGTCTGCCAAGGACAGCGAGGATTGTCTATTCAGCAACCGCAATTCTGAAGCTTCACAACTACCAGTCATTTGGCGAGATGTTGAAGGCCGAGCAAGCCCGGCGTTTTTGGTCGACGCGCACTTCTGGTCCAGTGAGGTTCGGGGGGCCTTGGTAAACACCAGGGCCTGGGTACTTCAAGAACTACTTCTTTCCCGACGCATCTTGTTTATCGGCGAGCGCCAGGTGTTATGGCATTGCCGGTCAACTCGCGAGGCTGAGGTATGGCCCCCTAATACCCCTATCGACGATGTCACCGAATTGGGCCGCATCGAAGATCTCCCTCTTGGCTGTGGCAGTGCTCGCCACAAGCCCAACGACAGACGCAACGCATATCTTTGCTGGCATGACATTGTCTCGAGATACACTCGCTGCAAAATCAGCTTTCCCAGTGACAGACTGATCGCCCTTTCTGCAGTGGCAAAGGAGATGATGCCAGTGCTTGAGGATGAGTACGTTGCAGGCATGTGGCGTCGCCATCTAGAAAGCGAACTTATTTGGTGGAGCTTTTTCCCTTTTGAACCCTCTCCCAGTCCATCTGATCAGCTTTATCGGGCTCCCAGTTGGTCCTGGGCCTCAGCAGAGACTGAGGTCGTACCAGGCCGACCCTACAAGGATTGCAAGGTAGATCGTTTCATTGAGGTTGAAGATTTTCATCTCGAACATGTCACTGGCGATACAACAGGTCTAGTTTCTGAGGGATGGCTACGTTTATGGGGACGGCTGAAGCAAATCAAGCTTTCACCCTCTGGAGACTGGCGACCGGAAGGGCACCGCGAAGCCTGGAAGATGGTTTCCCGGGTCAAACGTCAAGACGGAACGCTTTGGTCAGTGAGGTTGGATAAGTTTCACGATAATTTTGATGAGCAGAACGCTAAATCGACGCTTTACTGCATGCCAGCTGAATTGGAGTCTTGGGAAGCTGGCAAAAGCTCATTTGGAGCCGAGGCGTATGAATATCTCTATGTCGTGCTGCTGGAACTGCAGGACGAAAGGCGGGGCGTCTTTAGGCGACTTGGAGTAGCTTCTGCCTACGGGGCGGCAGGAGAGACAAAGAACAGTGTTCTAGCTCGCGAAGAGGGGGACGGTAAGTTTTCCTGCGAAGAGTATCGCGATGGAAAGCACTTGATACGTATCATTTGACATGTGCTGGGAAATCTTCCACGTTGACTTCTCCCTTTTAAAGGGGCTACGAGGGCTCCTATCTTCCGGGACTGAGGGTGCGGTTATCCACGGACAGAAGTCTTGTCTATATAAGCACACGTGGGCGTTAGATTTGATTTGTCTAATCTTCAGTATTGTTGCTCTTGTCATACAGATCTGGACTGCTGATGTACGCTCTTGTTCGTAATTTGCCTTTAGCCATCAATCTTTTCCGCCGAGCGCTTCACTCAACCAATCCAACGCAACTTTGATCTTCAAGTTGAGTTGACTGAGGGCGAATCCGTGACAGTTGACTGAGCTGATTGTTAAGTTGGTTGTATGAAGTTTTGTTGAGTGGAGCGCTGTCCTCACCTTAGGAGGCCGTCAGCTAGTAACTGAATCGGCTAGTAACGAACTTGATCAAAAGTCGAAATGAAAGGCAACGAAGACTTATTTGAGTATAAGGCAGGCAGATTGATACCTGCAAGACTTTGTGTTGTTATTGTTTGTTTGCTCTGGAGGGGTTCTTCCTATATTAGTAGATTCCAGCCTTCAATGCACTCACTCATACGAATCAGGAACGTCGCACTACCGCGTGAGCTAGCCAAACCCACTGCTCTCATTGATTGGGATGACTAGAGCTATTTCTTCAAGAGAGACCACATATTTAAGAAGTTTGGACAACTTTCGGAGAAGTCGAGAGAGGCCCGTCAAACAACACACTCCTCCACTCTCCCATTGTCACCCTCCATAGACAGGATCGAGTGGCGAGATACGCACTACAAAGTGTCAAAATCCTCGGCTGAAAGGCACTACTTTCGTCGCGATATTTTTGCTCCTTCTAAATACCAGTGGCAGAGGAGCGATACTTTACTCCTTTCCCCCTTTATGACGGTATGAGCAACACTCACAACCACTGACTCGTTTGCCGTGAGCAGAGCAACTTAATATAAATTGCATACGAGGGGCAATGACGGATGTCCAATCCCCTGGTCCCACTGAGCGTCCACAGCGTGCGCATATAGAGTTCATACTTAATAAAACCTCTTTAGATTTGGTTTCCTTGGCAGACAGCATCGCGCACATCACGGCCGTAGGGCTTGGGGTTCCTTTTTATAAACCATAATCGTCCCCCGGGGCAACCGAACAAGCGGGATTATATCCCGAGTGGGCGAATATAAAAAGAGATTGGTCCCGTCATTGCATTCAAGTGGATTGAAGAAAAAGCCGACTGCCAAACATACATCACTAAAGATTCATCAACATGTACGCCTCTATTCTTCTCACCTCTCTTCTCGCCGCCGGCGGTGCCCACGCTGCCGTGGCGCAGGGCTCATGGGGCGTCCGCGCAGATTACACCCGTAAGCACCACCCATCCCCCATACTTTCCATCCGAACTCCGACCACTTCGAAGAGATCGCGGGGAAAACTGGAGACGACTTCAGCCCCATCTCACCATCAAACCCTCACTAACTCCCCCAAGGCTGCGACACCACAACCCCCCTAGAAGTCGTCCTTGACGGCGCATCCAGCCAATCCTCCCCTTCCCCCAACATCACAGACTTCTCCATCCCCGCCCCCTTCTCCGGCTCCCTCGTCATCAAAGTCGCCGGCGCAGTCGGCTACGGCTCGCCCTACCCGCCCCAACAAGTCGGCGTCGAGGTCTTCGCCGCCGCGACGGCCGGCGACCCCGGCGCCTGGGCCAACGCGACGGTGACGCCCGGTGTCGGCCAGCCGGCTTCCGTGGCGCAGATTGCGTGGAACACGAGAAGCGACGTGACTGTTGCGCCCAAGGAGGGTGAGACGGTTTCGTTGGAGACGATTTTTGATGGCGGGAGTTTGGTCGTTTACTACGTGAGTCTTTTTGCATACATCCACCTCCTCAACTAGCCCGTACGGTTGAATGGTTTGCTAATATGTGCTTTTAGTGCGGCCTTCCGGAGGCTGGTGGACCTGTCGCGTAAGGCGGGTGCTGTGAGGATCGGAGGAAACGGGGAGGCAAGCTTTGAATCAGATAGATTTTCAGTGTTGAATAGAGATATCACAGAACCCTCTGGCCGATTCCCGTTTGTGAGTATCAGAGGAAGTGCATGGTGAAGAACGCTATTACTGCTGGCACCTTGCGAGGAAAATCCCAGGAAAGCGCATTCCGGACGAAAGAGTCATATTCGCTATTGACGCTCAAAAATACTGATCGCTCGTATTGCTAGCATACGAGAGTGGTAATATAAAAAGATCTAAAGTGTTTTCTATTAAGAAAATAGAGGGGTATCACAACACACACGCATAACAGAAACCAACAGTCACAGCTTCGACCTTGACCCCGACCTCGAAGGAAAGCGGTGGCGGGGGCGGGATACCTAATCCCTCTTGGCCCTCCTCTTGGCCCTACGCGCTCTCTTCTTGCTCTGCTTCTTCCGCTCGGCGCTGATTTTCCGCTTTTGCCAAAACGACTCGAGCCAGGCCCAGATCCAGGAGCGCATCATGATGATGATTGTGCAAAAGACTACAGGACAGGCAATGACCCAGCTATTTTCTTTGTCAGCGTAATGCCGAGGTTCATGATGTAGGTCTCAACTTACAAGAATTGAATGCCCATGGGATTCTGGATATCCGGAAACGATTCAAAGTTTTGTCCAAAGTACCCAGTTAAGAAGGTCAGGGGCAAGAAGATAATAGTAATAATGGTCAGCTGCTTCATGCTCTCGTTCTGGTTCGCCGAAATGGTATTGAAGATGAGGTCAATCAGGTTATCGGCGGACCGCTTGATCTGCTGCATAGACTCTGTAATGATGACGCAGTGATCGAGAACGTCGCCGAGATACGTGTGCGTGAGCGGCGTGACGATGACGCCGCTGGCCGGGTTGCGTAGCTGTCGCTGTGCCTCGTCCTGCGACAGCTCGGTGCGGTGATCGCGCAGGACGTTGACGAGGTTGTCAATGGGATTGAGAAAGGTGAGCATCTTGTTGATCTCGCTGACGCAGATGTAGAGGCTGCGGGTCTGCTTGATGCTCGGGCTCGTGAGGACGTCGAGCTCGAGGTCGCCGATGACGTCGCTGTAGACGGCCGTCAAGGGGATAGCGAGGTCGATGATGGCGTCGATGATGGCCTGGACGACGAGAGAGGCGTCGCAGGACTGGCGGAGGATGGTGGAGGGGTCGCCAAGACGGACGGTGATGGGGCGCTCAATGTCCTCGGCTGACATTTCGAAGAAGGAGATTACGGTGTTGTCCGAGGTCAGAAAGATGGCGACCTGCTCGGCGGAGACGGCGAGACCGCGCGACATTAGGGAGGAGTGGCGTTCCATGTACTCTGTGCGGACCTCGTTGGCCGAGGCGTGATAGCGCTGGAGGGTTCGGACAAAGGCCGTTTCCTTGAGTTGGGAGAGCTCGCTCATGTTGCGGTTCAGTGTCCCGGTTCCGTAGCCACTGCCATCGCCCTGCGTAACAATGGTCGGTCTGCCGGCCCTCTGCCTCCCCGTCTCGGGGTCTGGTCTCGGCTTGCCGCCCATGGTAAAGGCGCGCTTCAGCTTCTTCATACCCTTGGCGGACTTGGCCGTCTTGACGCTCGCAACATCATCCGAGTCGTCGTCACTGCTGCTACTGCTACTGCTGCTGTCGTCGTCGAGGAGGAGGACGAGCTTCTGCAGCGTCATGACGATGAAGGCGTGGTTGGCGTACCAGTCGGCCTTTGTGCGGTTCCTCGTGTTCATAATGTCTTCGATGGCGAGCTTGTGCAGCTTGTAGTACTTTCCGCAGGCCTGGATGACGTCCCAACTGAGGCCGTTGACGTTGATCCAGCGGCTCTGGACCCACGGCTCCTGGGGTTTCCGCAAAAAGTCGACAAACTCTTCGTTTCTGAACTTATGTTGGACCATGTTTCCCTGGCTGAAGTCAAAGACGGAGATGTCGCAGTCAGCGCGAAGGGCGGGCATGGAAGCGTGGCCACCATCTGACTTGTTGGGATCGAAGCCGGGCTCAGAGCCGGGTTGCCAGCCGGGGCGGGACATTTCAAAGTCCCCGTAGTCTTCTACCGGCTTGAAGGTGCCTGCGCGGCGTCGCATCGGGGATATGTTCTGGTCGGTAGAGGCGCGGGTCAGAGGTGCGCCGACGTCGTTAGGAGCGGCGACACGAACGCGCGCCGTTGGTGAAGTCGGGGAGACGGCATGGTCGCGGGTGTCGATCTGTAAGGAAGGGAATCGAACGGTGCGCGCGTGGTCGTCGGGTTCGCTAATTGTCTTGGACATTGGTGCGCCGAAGGAATCGGTGTCGGGTGACATGACGGTCGCACACTTCCCCCTTGGGAAGATGGATGGAGTGGGTGTGGTGACAGGAGGAAAGTTGAGATTGGAAGAGATCGGCGAGTCGTAGGTAGGTAGTTCAAGACATTAATATTTCGAGAAACGAAGCTTTTCGTCGCGTGGCGCTTGATGCGCTAGGGGTTCAGGGACCGCAACGGCGTAAAGCTTGGCTCGGACGAAGGAGACAAGAAAAGGAAAGACGGCAAGTTTCGCGGTGGTCGTGGCGTGGGATCGTCGAATCAGCACCGAGCGTCACAGAATGGCGTTCCTCAGCCGCATCTAGCAAGGTCGTTGTCTCTGGCAGTGTAGGTGAGATGTAGTCCGAGCATCTCAATTGGGCGATGGGTTGCGATGGCTGACCACAAGGTGAGACTGGATGAAAATGGATGGATGGATGCACTGAGAGTTTTTGGTGGCTGCAGAACGTGGGATGGTTTGATGTTGTGTGACGCCGGGAAGAGAAGCGAAGCGAAAGTGAACGGGAGACACACGAGCCCCCCCCCCCCCCCTTCCTCGGCACATGTCCCAGGAGAAAGCAACGCAAAGCAGGGCAGGCTACGCCGTTACGGACATTCGCGATGAACCCCCTAATGACGTCGCTTGGCAGCAAATTGTACTCCTTACAGATACAGGTAATAACTCCACTAATTACTTGCGGCATCTGCCATTGGACAGTAACGCAAGTGACAGCGATTAAGCTCTCGGCTGGTGCCGGTTATCCGCGTCAAGTTTCCTCTGCTGCAATGATCACCTCTAGATGACCCAGTCTAGACTCTAGACTTGACCCATCACACCGGAGCAGAATATCAAGCTTTTTCACTAGCGGTCGTGATTGATATCCCGGAATTCAAGTGCCGTCCAGTGTTGGCAGACTTCCAATATTTAGAAGACCATATCCTATTCCGCCTACTTCTCCGTACATTGCTGATGACCGTCTAATCCCATATAACCCCCCCACCTTGACCAATTTCCCTTACAACCATGCCCAGATAATCCAATTCCCAAATATAAAAGTCGTCAACGACGAAGAAAAGAAGTATACAAAATGTCCAGAAAAAAAACGCACAAAAGGAAGAAATTGCCCAGGACAGAGTACATACAGCCTGTGCTCTAAGCAACAATCTTGTACGTCTCACTGTTGTCCCCCTTACAAGCAGCCGTGACCAAACGACCCCGATTCCCAGGAACAACACACGTAGCCGCATCATTCACAGGCGACCACAAAAAGCTGTCCCCGAAAACCTTGACCAGCTGTCCGGTATTCGTAAGCCCCTCGCCCGCGGCGCGACCACCGCACGAGAACAGCGTGACCGTGTCCCCGTCCGCCCGCCGCCCATCAGTGCTCACGCACCCGTTGGTCAGGCTACTCACAATCAACATCGCCCCGTCTTTCCCATCATTGTGCTTTCCCTTGGAAATGATGTCGAACTGCTGGTTGGGTGAACCCTTATCACAAGCCGCCACGGCGATAGGGATGAGATTCTGACGGAAGTCACCGGCGGTGGGATCAACCGAGAGACACTGCCCGTTGGGCGCCTGGATAGCTACCTTGGTAAAGGCACGAGTGGCCGTATCGTCAAAGGCATTGGCCTCGGCTGCGGCGGTCGGGTTAAGAGTGCCACCTGCGCGAGAGACGGGGACAGGTGTGGTGGGATTGGCGGCGGGGATGTTTCCCTGCTGGCCGTTTCCGGCAGCTGGGGTTGAGGAGGCGGCGGGCTGTGTTACCGCGGGAGCGGATGTTGCCCTGGGCTTGGCGGTCGCGACTGGAGCGTTGGCATTGCCGCCGCCGTTACCCTGACCGGGCTTGACCGTGGTCGTCAGCGTCATGGTGACAGTCTCGTCATTATCATCACATCCGGCAGCAGGCTTCCCCGTCACGACGGCCGCCGCGGTCGTGGTTGACGCAGGCTGCTGAGCGCCGTTTTCCGCTCCATTACCGCCTCCGTTCCCTCCGCCAACTGCCGCAGGCTTGCCGCCAAAGGCAAAAGACTGGGCCTTGTCGTCGGCGTTGCAGTCCGCAATGTCCACCACCTTGCCTTTGACCGCGAAACACTTGCCCTTTTCGTTGTTGGGCTGGAAGGTTGAGGGTCCCGCTCCGCTGTCTACGGCGAAGAGCTGAGAGTCCGTCACCAGGCCCTCGCCCGCTGCGCGTCCGCCGCAGGAGAAGAGGTTGACCTGGTTACCCGCCGCGCGGCGGGGATCAAAGTTGAAGCAAGCTTGCGTCTGGCATCATCAAGTCAGCCAAACCTCTCTCTTCTCCCGATACATACACCAGCGAAGGAGCACGGGGAATGAAACGTACCAGGGTGCTCACGATGAGCATCGAGTTAAGCTGGTCATTGTGCTTTCCAGCCGTGATGACGTCCCAACCTTGGCCGTCTGTCGCGCCACACTCGGCTACCTGGATCGGGGTGAGGTTCGCCCGGAAGTCTCCGGACAACTTGTCAACGAACAAGCACTTGCCGTCGGCCGTCTTGATCTGAACGGCGGAAAAGGCGCGTGTGGCGGTATCATCGCGAGGGTGCGCCTCCTTCGTGGCCTCCTCGTTGAGCTCTGTCACGGCTCTGTGTTGAACGGCGAGAGGGCTGGCGGACACGAGAAGCGTGGCGTAAGCCAGAAAGGTTGTTGTTTGAGGAATCATGGTGGTAAGAGAAGAAAGCTTTGGTCAATGAACGTGTGAGAAAAGAATGAAAGCCTGCACAGCAGGGTGTGTGTTGTCAAATGAAACGAAGGGAAATGAAAAGAGGAAAGACGGAAAGACACCACGTGAACACCAAAGTCGATGCAGCGGTAGAGAATGCGAATACTTTTTGAGGGTGAACATGGCGGCAGATGGACCCTTATACTCGGCCCATCATGAAGACCAGTCCATCTGTGGCCTGTGGCCTGTCATCCGTCATCCATCATCCGTCATTGACGATCCAAGCGCCATCCCATTGACGCCAAAAGCCATCATCGGTCCCATGCAATCTTGTCCTCTTCCTTTTCTCCCCAGAAGAGCGAGCGCCAGGGTCTGAACATGGTTTCACGAGCTTCTCATCTTGCAGCGAGGTTTCGTTTGGCGGCCTGGGCCCGAAGAGATATGGAAACACTCCCTCGGCTAAGCCACCCCTGCTGCGCATCCTTCTTCCCTGCCGTACAGGTGACAAGATGACAGAGTGCCGTCCGAACACTCGTTCAACGGATAAGTCGGTGGAAAATTGAACTCAAAAGCCTCTGGCTATGCAACTGCATGGCAAGGAGCTGCCAGAGTTCGAATGCAGCTAATGAGAGGTGGTCGAGGGATAATTCGCCTCCGGTTGGTTGGGATGGCCCGCCGCGTGAAACGGCTCGTGTAGCAGGGCGGCAGATCCTGAAGGGATGGCGCGGGGATCGTGGCGGGAAGATGAGACGAAATCGTGGGAAAAAGGAGCTGTTAAAGCTGTTAGTTTGTGTGTGCAAGGGGGGAAAAGACAGGGAGGGACTCCGAGGAGAGAAATAAGAAGAGGTCCGCGCTTGTTGGCCCCTGCACGGCGGGCCGGTGATTGGATGGGAGCGCTGCCGGCTACCGAGTGGGGCTGTACGGCCCCTCTTGTACCGGCCGGGTGGAGCCCTCGTGGGCGCTTGCCGGACAATCCCATCGAGGGATGTGTGTAAGACTTTGGGAAAGCCTTATTTCAAGCTTAAATTCATGCCCGACTCCTAGATACTAATTTTTAATAAGCGCTTCTTCTTCTTGTTTTTCATCCCTTCAATTTGCTGTCGTACTGGGCTCACGTCTCACGACGGATCCTCGTACGACTTGGGGCCACGAGCCGAATCCCCTTGGTTTCGAGATTATCTTGAGCTCCCCTTTCCTGATCGCTCACGACGTAACTAAGATATAGACTCGGCCATAGAAATCATCATAGCAATCCAACGCAACCCTAGGGAATCAATCGCCGTATCAAAAGATTGTATGTTCATTATTCGTATTCATGGCTTCCCGCCCTCGGCTGTCTTTACATGCCGCATGCACAAGGTACCTTGGCTAGGATATGTACCTGAATTCAGAGCCAAGTACACCATATGCCGAGAGTCTTTTTCAACCCGCCACCACATTAATCAGGCTTATTTTATGCCATTCAACTCATTAAACCCGGCCTGAACCAAACTCTGCCTCCCCTTCCGGTCTCCCACACCAGTCCAGTAAAACAACCCCCCAAGAGCCTTGCTCTTCGCATACTGAGCCTTGATCGCCACTGATCTCGGCACATCAAAAGTCATGAACCCGTACTTGGGATCAACATACGTGGCAGCGGCGGCAGTCGTATCCACAGCCGCCTTATCAACACTATCATTCGACATGTCGCAGTAGTCAACCTCAGCCGACCCCTTCGTCGATCCACCCGGCCCTTTCGCATTAGGAAAGGTGCGCGCGTAGGCCGGGATACCGAGAAGGACTTTTCGGCTCGGGAACCCGTTGCTCGTGACATAGGTGATGCCGTCGGCGCAGGCGACTTTGAGGTTCGGGTTATTGCTCACCAGCGTCTTGGAGGCCAGCAGCTGCGCGTGGTTGCCCGAGACGTCGGTCCAGGGTCCCGTGAGGTCGTAGCACATTAGGTTCAGGTAGTCGAGGAGGGAGGCGGCTCGGCGGAGGTCGATGTTCTTGAGGACCCATTGACCCGGTGGGAGGGCTGATGTGATGAGGTACCTGCCCGCTGGCATCTGTTGGCGGACGTCGCTGAGGAGGCTGATATAGTCTTTGCCCTGCTTGGCATCGCTTGGGTGTTCCCAGTCAACTTGGACAAAGTGTCAGAGCGAGATCATCATCAAGAATACGAGGAAAGGGGGGAGACTTACTATCAACGCCATTGAGCTGCCACTTGTCGCAAAAGGCCTTGATCTCCTTGGCAAAACGAGCGCGGGCAGTAGGATTGGCGGCCAGAGCCGGGAACTCGGCGCTGCCCGTGCCACCACCGACGGACACGAGGGTGCGGATGCTCGGCTTCGAGGCCTTGAGCTTAGCGGTGGCCGAGAGACAACCCTTTGTCCCGTCGACTGGGATTTGTGTATCGGCCCAGTCGTCAATGAGCTTTAGTGACCCGTCGGTGTTGACTTTGATAAACGCGTACATGACGTGAGTGACGGCATTGACAGGCATCGAGGCGGGTGTCTGGCCCTTGTACACCCGCCAATTGGGGTAGTAGACGGCGTTGACCCAGCCTTGAGACATGACGGGCTGGATGAATGTTGTGAGGGCTATGAGCTTCAATATTAGAAAGTATAGTCGTCTCGGTGAGGTTGATATCGAAATCGAGGTCGAACTGAAAGTGTTTGTTGATGTCAACGCTGAGGCTGACGGCGGGACGGCGCGGGGAAGGGGTCGTCCTCGGGCCATTTTGTAGCTTAGGGGCCCGTCCGGGTGCGGCGGGGTGGCTCAGGGCAGGTTCGCTGACGTGGAGGCCCCCGGGGGCTGTGCTTGCCGTAGATGCCGCTGCAAGGCGCCCAGCTCAATCGCTATTGGGGAGCTGAAGACAGCCAAGGCAGGAGCTGCATCGGGTGCAAGTTTCCTCCTCTTCTGCCTTCGTATTCTCTTCGTAGCCTTCTCTTTTTTTGTCTTTTCGCTTTGCCACGATTAAACCGACGACGACCGAAAGAAAAACAACTACAAAAAGGAGAAACAGATCTCAGGTCATCGAGACAACCTGCTTCCGGTGCTGGTCCTTGTTCCTAAAAGAAGAGAGACACCACACGCGGCTTGCGACTGGGAGAAAACAATCTTTTCCGGTTCCTGATCTACCAGATCCCCTTTTCTCCCTTTCGTGCCTGGTCCTAGGCGAGATCTTATACCGACTGCGTGGGACATTGGCTAAATTCTCGAATTCCAGGGGAATTCTGGAGGAATTCGATTAATTCCTTGGCGGTCTTGTTCGACAGGCCACTCGACAAATATGTGGACGATTCGTAAGCCTGCTTCTTCTCGGAGAATGCGACCATGCACGTCTTTTTAGCCAGGCCGTTGCATTAAAGAGTTGCAGGTCCCCCCCCTCTCTTCACCATTCGGAGCAATCTACACCTGCAGACGGAAAGCAGCTGTAATAGCTATGTGTCCGGAGGAATGTCGCCCGCTTTCTCGATCGAGCGGCAGGAATCCCGTTCGACAGCGGACTCCCGGGGGAGAAGCGGGAAAGATGCGGAAGGAGACTGGAGGAAAACAGAACTCCCCTTGGCTGAGCTCGCCCTGCATCCAATTTCTGCCGCCAAGGACCGCGCGGCAAACAGCAAAGTCGTCGCGGATTGATGACCTCAAGGGTATGCTGACCGGCTCATTACCTAGGGAGGAAGGAGGTCTTTATCAAGGCACATGTGGTGGCCAGGCTCATATCGAATGGCATCGGCCGCGGGGACGGGGACCGATATCCCGGAAAACTTGTATCGCGATCAAACCCTTCAACGGAGTCTTTCAGCCGGCGAAGACAGCATTTCCATGGCACGCATGGCTACCGCTTGGCGGCAAGGCGTCGGACGGATGGCCTTGGCCGTTGGGTGCGGCCGATGAGCGACAAGGAAAGACCAAGATGAATGCGGTCGCGGCGACCCGAGACATCTTCGTGCTCCGGCGTAATCGGACGCATGCGGACGGATGGCCGTCAAGCTTCATTCAGTGTGGAGAGTGGACTTGGCAAAGCTCATCACATCATTGCTATACGTTGATTTTCGCCAACTGGACCTCTGTCGAATTCAAGCAGCTGTCACGGAATGAAGCACGGCATCTGGCCGATTGCAGGGCCAAGACGGCCTTTCGCAGAGATCAGCCGTTGGCAGCGGACAGATGCAGAATGGAAATTGACTGAGGGATCTTGTCCTTCGTATCGAACCCAATGTCTCGGGATTCTTCTCTGGAGCTGCTTCTCAGCCGCATCAACAAACTTTGGGAAGGCCCCAGACATGTCTCATTTCCTTCAGCCGGGTCAACATAGCTCGAAGACCTTGGCAGGAGGACACAAAGACAAAGGAATGCCGTTTTGGTGATGGAGCACCACAGGCTCACAATATCAGAACCATCTACCTAGATCGCTTCGATTGATCGTCGACCAACGTTCAACAGTAGCTTCTTTGCACGAGGAAGCTTGAGATCCGCGCGATCAGCCACTTCAATGAGGAGCCCACCCAGACGAAGTGGCGGGATGGGTCCGGCATTGATTCTGTGTCGGTGATTCCAACTTCCAAGCCTCGTACGTGGACGAAGCTTCAGGGCAGAAGCAACTCCAAAGCCTCTTCGAATCCCTTTCTAAAAATAAAATGCGAGCATGTTCAGGGACAAAGCATGAGCGTTAGCTGGAAGCTTGGAAAGAGTCAGGAGCCACATAGGTCATTGGCTCTAGGGATACGATTTTCATCCTCATAGTCGTTGAAAGCGACGCCTCGTGGATTAATCTTCTCGTAGAAACATCCATCTTGATTTCGACGCCTGCTTACGATTACGATGGTTCAAACACGATCTGTGCCAACCTAGAACCCACTGGTTTACCGAATCCTCACCGCTCGCCCGGGCATCAGACTTCCGTCTCGGAGATCCAAGACCTCCTAGACCATATTGATCCGTGGTCTGTAGACCGTTGATCTCTTCATTGAGTCGACAGCCTCTGGGAATACACTCAACACATTCAAAGAGGTTGGTCATGAAATATCACTTCCTGCTAGAGACAGCCCAAAATATTCTAGGACATTTCTGGTGGACCACCAGAGGTAAACCCCGCGATGCCTCTTCTTCCCCCTCTTCTCCCCTACCTAGCCTCAATTAGCACTACCTATCCCTTGAAATGGCGTGATGGGCTCAACATGGCTGGCGGGAGGCAAGGGAGAATGACAGCCACCCACGTTGCAATCACGACCTGGGGATTGGTGGAAAACGAGGGCGCAGACGACACTACGAGCTAGCTCGCGCGTAGAACGCAAGCGCTTCAGGTGGTGTCTTCCCCAGAGGAGGAAAGTATGAGAAGCTTAAGAATAACCCATTACCAAGAGGGATACCTTCAGGTCCCTACACGAGAAGCCAAAGGAGCCAGCCCCGCGAATACTTACCGGTCTAATGCAGCGGAAGAGCATATGCGCCGGTGCCGTGGAAGCGGAGGTTTCTAGATTCCAAAGCACGCAAGCACTTCTTGCCGGCTTGCCCGGGTGTGGTGATCTCTCTTCCCGCAAGAATAATCTGCCGCGGTTGCGGCCTATCGCCAATGGATGTGTTCCAACCTTATCTTTACACAGACTAAGTCTGTAGACTACTTTGGCCCTGCGTTGGCTTCCTGCAACTCGTCTCCGAATGAAGCTTCTGATCTTACCCGGCGACTCGGTAGCCAATTCGCAATGGCTTCGCTTCCAATGGTGGTGGATGAAAAGAGGAGACATCCGATCACGCGGCTCGGATCGGGCTCTGTACCTTTAGGTGATGTCGCATAGCTCAGGTGAAGTCGGGACGGTTTGGTCGAGACATTGGGCAAAACGTCGAAACGTTGAAACTTCGTCTTTGACAGCAGCGTCGCAATCACCGGCCAGTTCAATTAGCAATACACGTGCGCGTCCTAACCATCATTCAATTCGGCAGCGTCAGCTCGGCGCTTGACTCGTAATAAAGGGGGTTCGTCACTCGTGTTTGACTGCTGTCACTCGCAAGTCGCAGGTGCAGAGGAGACGACGTCTTGGCAACTCAATGCTGTTGCGGATCTTGAAACCTTCCATCGCCCATGCTTCAGGTACAACGGTCTTGGCGGCGTCCCATCGAGGCATCCGGCGGAACGTGAATGAGCAAAGATGAGGCTGCGAAAGGATGTTAGACAGCTATGGAGTGAATTTCGGCGGGACTCCGAAAGAATTGGGGCATTTTGGAGTTGTCCGCCTCGAGAAGCTCTTGGAAGATGGAGACGATGAGAGAGTCCCCTCACCCAAATTTGGCCCCCGGCCGTCGATCTCGGGCGTCGATAGTCCTCCGTATTCCGAGTGCCACTCTGGGGGGTTCCGTTTCTTGAATACGAAGCGACGGCGTTGGTCAAGCGGTCTAGCAGGGCGGCGCCGTTCCCAGTGCTCGCAATCCGTATCTCCGTCTTTGCCAAAGGGACTTTAGCAGTTCAGCTGGGCAAAACACCAAAAACTCTTACGAGACCAGACCTTTGACGATGCGCCGCCTGACGTGGCCATGCATCGTGACAAAGAGCAGGGAACATCGCTACAACTTTCCAGCTGACGTCAAGGCCGTCGCCCCGCGGGAGAGAAACCATGTCTCCTCAGCTCACGGGCTGCTCCATGTCTCGGTCTGAATTCCAGAACAACAGTTATCCCGGAGCTGGTGTGTGCCGCTGCCTGTCTTGGGGTGTCCCACCCCGGGCCCGCTCCAAGGCGACGAGCATCATCTCCCCAGATATCATCGTGCACCTTCAGCGTCGCATTGCAGCTGAGAAGTGTTTGCTTCAAGCCTCATGGTGGTCTGAAAGAAAAAAAAACAGGGACCTGTCACTGGGCCTGCGGGCTGACGAGCGTTTGGTGTAGTTGGTGTAGGGATGTCGGCTGATTTATTTGCACAATTGGCAATGTACATACAGAGCAGAAAAGCCCCTTCCGTTGGTTGTGCTTCTAGTCGTCGATCATGAACCTGAGCTCAGCGACTTGCATCGGCAATGTACTCTGCGGTCAGTCAAGCGGTCAGGCAGCCGGAAGGTGGGGAGGTGGGCAAGATGAGATGCCGCGCCGGGTCAGCACAAACCTCCATCTTCTCGTCTCTTTTGCCTCCTTCGCGCCCGTCGACTAATACTTACCTCAAAGAGACCGAAGTTGCGGTTGAGAGAACCAACACACAACGACGCCGCGATGCGACGTACGACACGACGCGGGGTTCCGGCAGGCTGGGGTCTTCCTAGTACCTTGGGTTTACTGGGTCCGTATGGGGATCTCTAGCTTTTTACAGCCAAGACCCAAGACTCTTGGCTCTCCTAAAGATGGAAAAGACGAAAGATTGGGATCCCACGTAATAGCCTGTAGGATACGGGTTGCGGCGGCGTCGGAGACTTCTCATGGGGACGGGACATTGCCTTGGTTGGTCCCAGCATCATGGTTCCTGTTCTACCAGGCCTGTCACTCCAAGACTCTCCAAGACTCTCCAAGACCAGATTGATTAAGCAACCCCCCAGTCAGTGAGTCAGTCAATCAGTCAGTCAGAACTCAGGACAGTCCCAAGAGTTGAACTCTAAGCGGCTCAAGCCAGTTCGGCACCACTGCACCAAACCTTGATCAACCTTCACAGCAGAAACGAGTTCGTCCCTTTGTTGCGCCATGAATCGTGGCGCTGCACTATGCTTGTTTCAGCCTCCGTCCCCGAACACCGGCCATTTTATTCTCGCTCTCTATCGAATCTATGCATGGATAACGATGGAGCGGGCTCTGCATAGGTCTGCAGCAATAGAGCAAGATAGCCAACATGAACAACTCCCGACGGGCCTCAAGAACATGCGCTTCCACGGGGCGCAATGTGTGGACAGGGGTTCTTTTCTGACCGGTGTTGTCAGCAGCTGCATCATGGGAGCGCTGTCTCTTCTCTCACTCAACTCCTCTCTCGTTCCTATTCAACAGAGTCCGCCGGTCGCATTGCCAAGCCACTATAAACCGAGAGACCCGATCATGACAGGGGACCACGAGAAGGAAACTGTCAAGGAAGGCCTGGGCCGCTGAGACTTGGCTTGTTGTCTGCGCATTTTTTTTCCGATATTTTTTTTTTTTTGGGGGGGGGGGGGGGGTGGAGCAACAGCAACAGCAGCTGCAGCAGCTGACGGACGAGACCACGACAGGCCAAGCTTCGTCGTCACGCCATGACAAGTTCTGAAGGCGGGAAGTGCACTCGTCGCTCAATGCGCCAGGGCGGCGGCGACGCGGGAAGGGGAAGAAAAAAGGGCCAAGATATCGTCGTCTTACGCGGGGCCATTCCGATTTTTCAAGGTTCTCGAGGTCACGCTGTACGGCGTTCATAGGGCCATGATGTCCATCCTACGAGAATTGACCAACACCCCCAGTTCCTGCATCGCAGCAGCGTCGCAGGAGTTCCACGACGCCCTCGTATTCCACGCCCGGCCGAGAGGGCTTCCCAGAGAGCTTTGGACGATCGTCATCCATAGAGACTCCAGAGAGCCCAGCGGCGAGCCAGTCGCAGTCAGCGGTTGAGCCTTGGCACACGTCCCTGGTGCATTGAGCATCCTGGCCTGAGTTCGAAGTCAACAGATGGGAGACAGAGTGAGAGCGTGCGAACAGGTTCATCCTCAGCTTCCGTTGTCGTCTTACCACACCAACCAGGGGCTGGCCTCTTCTCTTTCGTCCACTTCCGTCCCTCCTCTTCCAAGTTCCTCCTCCTCCCGCGCGTGTGTGCGAGACAAAACTTGTGAGCTGCTACTGCTACTACTGCTAAGCGCTTCCCTTACCGTATTCCGCCCCAGGCAGACGACGGACAGCAACTCGCACTAGCACGATGTAACTTAATCCTTAGCGCAGAGCCCGCCCTACTGGGAAGCGACGTCGAGATAATCGGCGGGACGATCTATGGTTATCCGCGAGAGTGGAGAGGTTGGCAGGCATTCGGATCCTCGTCTTTCCCCAAATTCTCACCCCCAGCCTCCACGCTTCCGCGAATCCGCAGCTCGTGGTGGTATTCTTGGAAATCCTGGAGACGCTTGACGCCCTAGGGGCAGTTGAGCCCCAGAGACTAGTAGTCTGGATAGACAGAGAGCGTGAGAGCCTTGTTCGGCATTTCTCCGTCATTTCTATTGCCGGATCACCTCAGCATCAGCAGTACCGCGCCACAATGCAACTGTCTGTGTTGTTGTTGCTGCTGCTGCCTTCAGTCAAGTCGAGTCGCCGTTCTTACGAGTCTCGGGCCGTTTACTCTCCATCTGCAGAAAGCACACGCCTTTCTTCTGCGACAAGGGCCTGGTTCCCGTGCTGCGACGAAAGGGGGTCTCTTCGAGGGGAACCCCTCGTTACAGTATCAGAAACAATTCTTTTCTCATCGAGGACGCGCACCCCGTTTCTGTCCATTTTGGCGTCGTCGTCGTCTTCTTCTTCTGGATGGGGAAAAACTCACCAGCCTCGGAAAAAAAAAACCACCTGCGCGGCCTTTGTCCCGCAACGGCGCCCCAATAGCTTCACAACCGAAGCAAAACAAACCTCAAAGGTCCATCTCGAGACAGTATCGAGCGGCGCTTGTGGCTGACTCCACCCCGTTTACGTTTGGCTGAACCCTTCGCAACTTGCTTCTTCGTGGGTGATACTTTGGGTACCTCCCTGGTTTACACCAAAACTCACCGTTTTGCCTGGTACCGTTCACACCACATCCCAGCCATCTCCGATGTACTGCCCAACCTGCCTGCTTTGCCCACCTTCTCCCCTGCTACATGGCGTCTGGTTGCGCCGTCGTTCGGGCGAGAGCAACTGGTACATTTCTCGAGCGAGGAAACCTAGTCGAGGATGACAGAATGACAGACGTCTCGAGCCAGCGCTCGAGCTGTTCCCTTCCATCCACATCCCGAAGTACCTACCACTACATACATGCATTACGGATTTCCTTTTTCTTGTTGGTCGCCGCTGGTTTTGCAAAATACCCTGTTCTGCGTCTGCCTACAGACCATTTTCACGACCTCATGCGAGGAGGGTGATCCCTCCGTCCAGTCAGCTTACATGCCTCTAAGCCTCTTGACGTCAAAACGCGCCGCGGATCCTCTCCCCCCCACGGCACATCATCTCTCCCGTCGTTGCTGTCAACTTACCCTGCCCATCATCGTGACCAAAGTACCATGGTTCGTATCGGAGCCTCATCGGGTGCTATTCCTCGTGCCCGCCAAGGCTCTATGGCGGGCCTAGGGCTGAGCGGCCAGTCCGTCGTAAGGACGAGGGCACGCGAAGGACGAGGGGCAAGCAAGTCCTACTGCTTCTGCGCGATGCGAAAGGCGGGATGGATGGGGCACCGTCTTTGTCGTCCCGTTTTCTCAAACCCACACCCACGATGAGGCAGGTTGAGCTATCCAGTCCGTCCACCACCCCGCCGCCAGGCTGTGCCGTACGGGTTCTCTACCTTCTAGCGGCTTTTCTCATTAGACTCTATTCTAGGTACGGAGATGGGGTCGACCCATACGTGAACTCTTGGCTTGGGCCCATCTTCAACTCTGACCGTCAACTGTTCCATGTTTCCCTGTTCAGACCTATCTCCGTTGCGTCCCAAGTTTGGGTCATATAAGTCGTCTTCCCCCTCCCCTTCTGCCCAACCCTTCAACTCTGCTTCATCCTGCATCCAGCCTCCCCAGCCAAGATTAATCAAGCATCTTGTAGCTTAATATCTACTCACGTCCGAGTCACTCAGTCTCACTGACCTTCACACTTCCCTGTCACTTCAACTCCCCTCAACCAACCGTTACCATGCATTTCTCAACTGTCCTTGGCGCCGCTGCACTGGCTACCCTCGCCAACGCAAGGTAGGTTCCCGCTCGCCCTTCTTGGCCTCGGACACAGACATGAAACTAACATCACTCTTACAAGCCCTCTCGTCCGCCGTCAAGGTCCCGCAGTCGGCCAAGTAATCTCAAAGTGCACTCAGAACGGCGTCGTCGCCCTCACCTTTGACGACGGCCCCTTCACCTACACCTCCCAGCTCCTCGACACCCTCGCCTCCAACAACGTCAAGGCCACCTTTTTCGTCAACGGCAACAACTGGGGCAACATCGAGACGGCCCCGGGCCCGGACAACATCCGCCGCATGAAGGCTGAGGGCCACCTCGTCGGCTCCCACACCTACTCCCATCCGGACCTGAGCACCCTCTCCTCGGCGGACCGCATCTCCCAGATGACCCAGCTCGAGGACGCCACCCGCCGCATCGCCGGCTTCGCGCCCAAGTACATGCGCGCGCCGTTCCTGTCCTGCGACGCCGCTTGCTTGAGCGATATGGCCGGCCTGGGCTACCACGTCATCGACACCAGCCTCGATACCAAGGACTACGAGAACGATACCCCCGACACCACGCACATTTCGGCTGAGAAGTTCAACAACGAGCTCAGCGCCGACGCCGCGGGCAACAGCTACATTGTTCTCTCGCACGATGTCCACCAGCAGACCGTCGTTTCTCTCGTCCAGAAGATGATTGACAACCTCAAGTCAAAGGGTTACCGCGCCGTCACCGTCGGAGAGTGCCTCGGCGACGCCCCTGAGAACTGGTACAAGGCTTAAAGTCTCGTTGACTCGTGCTGAAAGTTCGTGGGGAGAGTGAGGCGTAGATAAAAATGGCATGGAGCATCGTACTGTCTCTTGAGAAGGTTTCGTTGGATTACGCTGCTTGTTTTCGGTTACACGTACATACATACATGGGGTGGGTATCATAGGGTCACCCCCTCGGCGCAAGTCATTTCATGGAGATACCAATGTTTAATCAAATTACTAGTACCTCATCTGAGTCTGTCAGAGTGTTTGTGTTGTTTCCCAGTCTTCAATTCTCGTCTCTCGTCAGGTTTGTATCGTCCGTTGCGGTCTAACTAAACCCTTGTAAGTGGAGGTGAGGCGTCCCCACCACGCCAACTTCACGAGTTCACATCCACTTTGATAACACAATCTCCACAACTCGGCATCTCACTCTACCTTACGGATACCTTATGAGACTATCGTGTACTGTTCCACGTTCATCGATGAGTAAGCAATTATCTCAGTTCGCTTCGGTCCGGTGGCTCAATTGGTAGGGCGTCTGACTTCGATTGATTTCATCAAGAGAAATCCCATGGATTTTCGGAATTGTATCAGAAGATTGCGGGTTCGAGTCCCGTCTGGATCGAGTTGATTAAGTACTACCTAGTGTCAGCAGTGGTGGAGTCAATGACTTTTGCATGGACAGCGGCTACGAATGACTTGAGTATGGCGAAAGGTGAAGGCGTCTAGACAAACTTTTAGGTTCTGACGGCGTTGTCACGGCAAAGTTGAACAGCGGATTTGACTTTTTCTCCATCCCTTTACCTCGCCGATCATTTGACCGGTTCGTCCGTACTTACCAATGCAGTTCCCAGCTCTGCCAGGATACGATCTCCCATAGGCCCATGCCAGAGGATGATGATAAATCTCAAGAATAAACATTTGGGTTTTCGAGAGACGAGGAAGAAGAGACCTCCCTTCTGAAAGTGCGACTTTGATATTCTTTTCTCGTGCAGCCACATGTTTCCAACGCAGTTCTAATGCGCGGTTCCTGGTGGCTTGGAAGGAATCTGACTCACCGCAATCCCACGGTCTTCCGCCCATACGTCTCATGCCGTCAAGATCTGCGAGACCTTGGACTTTCCTGAGTGCGGAGCTAATATGCCAGCCCACAGGGGAAATTGACATTGTAGCTAGTGATGAAAGAGGGTTAGAAAGGCATCAGTTCGTAAAGTAGGCATTAGGTCGGTTGCGTTAGTTGAGCATAGACTTGTGAAAAGACACGGCGGCTTGGCGAGTGAAGATGCTGCTTTAATACCTGTGTCTATTCAGGTCTGTCTAGCTTTCCTCTCAAATGGCAGTGGCCATGCCTTCATGGCCACGGAGTGGTCATCACTTCCTGATGTATTCTTCATTTGACCCGGCACCGTATCTTAGTACAGCGGATGGACGAAAGACGTAACGTGAGTGAGGTGGGTTGAGGACTTCTATCCAGACAATTTCTCGTGAGAATTTGCATCCAGCAACCGTCAGCTCATCGCTTCCCATCTTCATCCTTCTTCTCTCCATCTGCGATCGCATCCTGGCCAGCACGCTGCTGGTGATCGCACTCCTGTCTCCCAGCATTCGCCTCCCAACTCAAAGCACTAAACTTCCACTTCCCCCAACCAAGCTGCAGGTCAAAACTGCTATGAAAACCTCGAATTGGTCCCTGTGGTTGTTCATCTCGAGGATCCTTGACAATCTCCCAATCCTCTTCGCTCCCCTTCTCCTTCTCGTCGCATCGACTTTGCGCCTGGGGACCAGAGCTGGAGCTGGATCTCTCTTTGGCAGGCGACTTTTGCTCTGTATTCCAACTGTCAGTCACATGGTTTCTCTCGAGAAGTTGCCAAGACAGGAAGAGTGAGATGCGGGGGACGTGCCTGGCGAGATGCGATATGTGCCTCCTTGTTGTGCCATTTTCTATCCCATTCGCCTTTTGAAGATACGTGAAGATTGAGGATGACAAACGTTAGTTTAGGCAACTATCAGCCCATCCTCTGTGGTCTTGGAACCTCTGTGGCGGAGCATTCGACCTAGGCTGTACTAGTTGATCGACAACGAAAGATATCGTTGATTGGTTGATCGTCATTCAACGTCAGTGAGCCTCTTCGGCGCCTCATCAAATCGTAGAAATATCTCCTGGTTGGTATTGCTTAAGTTAAGGCCATCGCCTATCTTTGGTGTTTTATTGACTATTTCTAGCTGTGAACGGGTATGTATGGTGACATCTCTCTACGAGGCTTCCGCATTGCTGAAGAAGATTGAAGCTCGGCTCAAGAACACCCCTCATCATCTGAAAAAGGCCCCGGACAGTCGCTCTGGGTATCTCGAGCAGAAGTTGCAATTTCCAGACCAACCCTCCTCCCTCCCGCTAACTTTGAACAATGCATCCCCGTTTCGTATAGAAACTGTACTCTTTCGGCAGTACTGTCACCCCGCCAAGGCAGCCCATCATTGCCACTCTCTGTATCATCAGATCGCATAGCAATGTAACAAGAGTTGCTTGCCTTATCAGCCTCATATCTATCCGAGATTATCGTGGGTGTGGGTAGGCGTGTGTTTCGGATTGAAGTGTCGCTGAGATGGAAGGTTCGCCTTTTGTTGAATAATCATCCTCAACTCCTGAATTGGCTTCATATATCCCAAGCCTTCTGACTCATGATTCCATCACTACTTCTTGAACTCCCCGAGATAGGGCCATGTTGGACTTCGACGTGGTTCTTTGGCGTCTTCGGGGGGTCCGCCTCCATCGGGCTCGCATCGCTGAGGTTATTGAGGTCAATGGTATTAAAGTCTCCAACGAGATGAGCTATCGAAGACTCCTCGTAGGACAAAACTCGTGAACGGTCATTAGGGTCCACTGCCGATCGCGAGGCTTGGCTGGCAGAGTGTGAAGCCTTTGCTGACCTAGACAGTCTAGCTGATCTCGAAGACAGGTGTGTTACTTCGAGGATCTTGGGGAACAGTTTCCTCCAGACTTGACGTGTACCTGGGAGACAAGACACGAAAATACCAACACATAGCTCGATGTGGGACCAGAGAGAGCTTTGAAACGAGTCGGCTGCGATTGATGTTAGATTTGTTCGTAGTGGACGGTGAGTCCCCATGCGATCTTACCTGTGACGTTGTATGATGTCGCAAAAATGAGAAGGGCCTTGATGCGATAGGCACTGACTGCAGTGAGACTTTGAACCATTAGCAAGATCCTCACATTACAGAATCACTATACTCACAATACTCCAACGCCGAACATCAGCATCACACCCAACTTCTTCTTGGGTTGCATTCTCAGCGAGTAGACTTGAGTCGCAGGTAAGACAAGCATCCAGGCATCCAGAGCCACGTTCAACACTCCATGGCACATGGCGAAGGCGTTCAAGTTGAAGCACTTGCCCTCCATATCCCTCTTCCACCCATGCCAGAAAAAGTGCAAGGGCTGACAAGAGCCAAAGGTACCGGCGATGAAAGCAATCCAAAGAAGGAGGTTGAACAGCTGAGTACACCATAGGACTCGGCGGAACGTTTCGTCGGGAAAGATTCGAAGGTATAGAAATATGATCGAGGCCTTGATGAAGGCTAGGCAGGTCATATATAGCATGCCGAATATTATGAACAGCTGGTCTTGGTCAGTGTTACCCTGTGAGGTGAGGAAGCAGAGACGCATTGATGTTGCGGCCTTACCAAAAGAAAATATGTGATTTGGTCTTCAGATAGAACCCAGATATCCCTCCCTGCACCAGTTGCCTCAGCTATACGAAGGCTATTAGTAAGAGTTGTACTTCAGTCGTGATCCGAGTCTTACCTAGATAGGCTGCTGGAAGGAAAGCTGCCAGTACGGCCTTTTCAATTGTCAGAGAGATTCATCAAGAGAAAGAGGGAAAGGTCAATCATACATATGCTATGACGATGGTCGTGTCGTCCCAACCCCAAGACGACAGCTTTATACACTTGTTCACCATTCGCACAATGATGAAAAATGTCGGAAGCGCGAATAGGAGCGCCCTAAACCACGCCATGACGGTGTCCTGCTGAGTAACGGGTACGCCACAGGCAGCCAATGACTGATTCCGTGCCGCTGCAGATTTCTGATGAGCCGCGATCTTGTTCACTTGAGGGGACCTGGTGTTGTGGCCTACCGAGCATCTCCATGACAGTGCAGTTTGCCTCGACACAGACCTGCACGTATCCCGCCAACACCTCGTCGTTACACATGCATTTTTGATCCGTCAAGGCACATGATGAATGGCCAATCTCCTGGAAGATGCATTTGATCTACATCCGTCAGCACATTCCATGGCGAAGGGAGGTCGGGGTGAACTGTGCTTACAGCACAACTAGGGATTCCCTGATACGAGATATCTGACGCGGCGACAAAATTTCCAAGGCCCAGGAAGCAAGCGAGCAGGAAGAAGAGACGGACGGCGGACATAGTGAAAGGAGCGACTTCGGATGGATGATGCTGATATCCTACAAGCCTCTCGTACCCAAGTAGGGTCGTCCGCAGGGTGTCGTCGAAATCTGAAGCCGCAGAGGTTTCTCAGGTACTCAAAACTTTGACGAGGGGTCCAGGAAAGTGTTCTTGGCCATGTTGTTGACAAACGTGGGGATATGAGGAGAGAGAGAAAGAGTGGCATGGACGACCATGGTGTAGAAGTCTTACCACGCGAAGTACGCACCGACGGCTGTCACTCCGCCCTACTAGCAAAGAACTAAATTAGTTCCTAGCTAGGTAGTTCCTAAGGGCCACATTTGAGGGAAGTGGCTGCCCTCCTCTTGGGAACTCAGAGCGTTGCACCAGCTTCGCTGCAGCCGGGCAGGCATCGAAGGTCGCCCCAGCATTGTGTTGCGGTAGGCGGGGGGCACTTCGCGTTTTTCGGGAGGTGTGTCGACAGTGTCTCAGCTAGTTCTCTCGGTAAATGCACGTCAGTTCAAATTGGTTTGTCCCTTTCAGTACAGTCTAGCAGAGGGCGCCGCGGCTGAGACCATCGTGAGCCTGACAAGGATATCAGGGCTCAAGATTGGATGGTCGTGCTCAATGGATGCCGCTAGGGGAAGCCCAGGCTGCTTCCTAGGGCGAAAGCTTGGACACTCTGGATGGGAGATCGGCATGGCTAGGATGCAGCCAAAGTCGAGCTAGCTGCAGGCTGTGTGCAAGTGCTCAGGGGCAACTCGACGTTTGCGTCAAGTTGGGAATGTCTGCTCACTTCAGGAATGCCGTTCGCAGTCTTGGTCTAACTTGGCATGTGAATAAAGATGCATTAGAGATACGATTTAGGTGGGATCTGTGCTGTCACACTGGCAGTATCTCGGCGGTTCATTGGATGGCTCGGACGATAACCGCAGGATTTTGCAGGACTTTGAATCTCTGAATCCCACGATGTTACATGATTTGATCCCACGATGTGGCATTTTGTAGTGTGTATAGAACCATGATTCGGTGCGAACTGTGCAAAATGCCAATGGAGAACTAGATGTCTTACTGCACGAGCTAAGATTTCCCAGATTTCTGGAACTGCATGGTCGTCCCGTTCCACATGCCTGTGCAACCTGACCAAGAGCTGAAGAAGCGTTGAAAATGCAACTTATTCTTCTTGTTGCCGTCGCCCAGCCTGTCCGGTGCTATTCGGCCATGAGAGGACATGCAAATACCTCAATTCAAAGTGAATGAACACATGACGTGGCTTATCTAGACAATTAGACCAGCCTTAGACTGCCGTTTCTGGCTCACCATCCGAGAAAGCAGTTAAGCGAGGCAGCCACGCAACTCCAGATTCCCGGGTCTTCGTGAGCAGGGCAAACTCTTCATCCCTCCTTAGCTGGCAAACCAGAGACACCACAAAGCCACAGACTCATCAAAGGATTTTCCGTGGGCTAGGACTTCGCTTACACGCATCATTGATACTGCAGCGTCCAGGCTCGGTTCCTTTGTCCGATAGACGTAACAAGCGTCAACGTCGCTTAGAAATCGGATCCAAGAGAGGCGAATAATTCAAGCGGAATGTACTCTCCGAACTACCAACTCGACCCTGACTCATTCCATTGGCCGTTCCTTTAGAATTCGAATGGGTTCTTCGTATGGATTCACCATGTGGATGAGATGGGTACGTGCATTCGGGCAAAGGTCCGAGAAGCTAGCAGCCAAAGGACTACTTTTTGGGAGAGGCAAGCTCGAAGCATCGGGTGCCTTTGATGAATCTGTGGAGGCACCATCTATTTTTGGTTATTTGGAGAAATGGGAGCGAGCAATGGATAACAACTAGCCTAATGGTCATAGTCGAATTATCTTCTCCGGTCATTGAACGGGCCTGTGTCCGGGCCGCAAGTGGGGGAACCGGGGCCGATATCTCGGGAGACCACGGGTCGGATGGATCGAGCCACCGGATGTAGTATCTCTAACGGCTATCATATATCAACCTGCACATACCTACTGTTCGATTTGATACAAGCCACTAAGGTTTACAAACCTAGACCTGACGTCTCGTCCCGAACGTTGGCGCTCAGATATTGAGGGGATACCGATGGTGAGAGACCTAAGTTGCGTGTCAGCTTCGGCAATATCCTGGATACAGAGTCCATGACCTTAATAATAATTTAATGGGTCTGTTACATGTCTTGCACATCATGAATCCATCAATCTGGACCTTGCTAAAGCCGCAAGTCGTCGCCCAGCACCTCGACGTATTCAGACCGAAATATGTATGCTACTACCACAAGTCCAACAGGCTCTATTCAACTCTCAAGATCGTCTATGACGACATTGAAAGCTTCCACTTTGGAGTCAGCATGTTTCTCAGCGAATGTGGGAGCCGATGCAGCGCGCTCACTGGCTTGCTATGGCCGGGAAAACCTCACAGATACATGCTCGGTGGCCGCGCACTGCGAGGTGGTGTCAACAACCACCCGGCCCCTCAACGTAGAGTGAACTGATTCGATCTATCTGAACTTACGACATAGCGATTAGCGGAGTTGCTGATAGCATTGGCATAAGATGCGTCCCAATGAGATCTTGACTGCCGTCGACCTGGCAACACAAGAAGCAGTAGGCCTGGGCAGAAACCGTTATAAAAGGTTCCAAAAAGTCTGTAGATTGTCGAGACTGAACACTGGATTAGACTGTGACAATTTTGTACCAGTCAACTTTATGTATGATGTCGAAAGAAATGTTTACCAACTATGAAGGCTTGACCCTCAGCCGCTCTGTCTTGTTTCTGTCGATTTACGCCTACGTTTCCCTGGGTCTCTTATTGCTCGTCGCCCAACGGCTTGCCCGGTCAGCAACATTCACTAAGATCCCCTCTCGTCAAGGAGTAACGTCGACGAGGTGTGCTAGAGGCTCGGGCAAAAGTGTCCTTCTTTCGTCCAAGGCTTCATCTTCCCAACGAAGAGTCCCGTGTAAGTCAGCAACGCCACCGTTGTTACCGCCAGACTGGCTGGTAATGAGTTACCCTAGCTAACGTCTAACTACACGCACAGTTGGCAAATGATCCTAAAGTGGTTTAAGCCTTTGATCAAGCTGTTCTTCTCGATCTTGGAGACGCTGAAAAACTGAAAAGTCACCACCTGTGTGCGGAATATCACGGAGCGAGCATCAGCGTAGATTTCGTGTGCATTGTCGGTGCCCTTCCTGTCGCATCTTCATGGGCGAAGGTGTCTATTCCTGCGTCGGCGGGCTTTCAAGACTCACAATTTAAAATGCATTCATTACTACCAACCGGTCTGGTTGCACGTCGTTGAGATGGCTAGCAGGTTGATCATACCCGCTCTTTAACGGGCACGAAATGACTACCGGCCGATGGTGCCGAACAACCAAGAGAAACTGGTCATTGGAAGCAGTCGACTGGCCTCAAGAACCCTCTGTAGGTCACCAAAGCGAACGGACTACTATACTGCAGCTCATCATGGCCGGCGAACATGATGCTTGGACAGTTCTCGACGGGGTTCTAAAGTTCATCACATCAAAACGGGGCGCAAGGGCGCACTCTCGTGTCGTGGTACATCATTGCGATGCTTAAACCATGGTCGGAAATTTGTGGCCACAGACAAGAATTATAGACTTTGAGGCTCGCAAAAGCAACCTTAGCACTCGACAGTGATGGTGCTCAAGTCATCATCGTACACAAAAATAAACACAGGCACATCGGCCAGCGAATCATTATGCAAGAATGGCAAAAGAGAATGTTCCCAGGTGGACTTTAACCACTGCAACTCCCCGAGGTGGGCTCGAACCACCAACCTCCAGATTAACAGTCTGACGCGCTAGCCAATTGTGCCATCGGGGATTAGCTCGAAATGAGCTGTTGGGCTGTTGTTGGAGAGGTCGCTGAGTTGAGTGACTATGTTTGTTTTGCTTCGGAGCTGCGAGTTGTGCGTTGTTTCAAGCCCTAGAGAGCGGGCCTAAGATGCGCGTCTTCGAGCGATTGCTGTCATGGTGTGAATGGGACGGAGTGGTGATTGGTGGCGACTCGATTTGTTGCCCCACGCTGTGGACAAGATGGAGTGGCTCGGGCGGGCTGAGTTTGGAGACCTATTCGGGTCAGTCAGTCTTGGGGAACGTCACAGTCAGGTTGTCTCGTTGTCGGACAGCAAGAGTTAGACGTTTGGAACTGTGGTTCCGAAAATTGTAGACGCACTTCTCGTCTTGCTCTAAGTTCGCGGCGTGGTCAGGCAGCCAATGTCGGCTCTACATTCACAAGGCGAAAGCTTAAAGTTACCTGAGAAGATGGCATGCCGCACTATGAAATTCATGAGGATTGCTAGAGAACGGATAGTTGTCAACTGCGAGGACTGGGCGACTCTCAAAGATTTGGCTTTTTCTCCTGAAGGATAAGTTCAGGAGTAGTAAGACCTAATTGGCCTGGGAATAAGATTCTCCTCGATGCAGCGGCAAAAACAGTGCTTGTAAGCTGAGCTGAGCTGAGCTGAGTCCTTCAGGCATGTAGGCCGTTTAGTGAACGCCTTTCCCTCCCATCAGCACCATGCGAAGAGGCAGCCTCCATGACGAGATTATTCAAACTCGAGAGTCCATCTCGACGCCCTATATACTGACACTTGACTTAGCGGGCCGCAAGTTTGTAATTTTCTTTCTGAGTGGACTAAAACCCACCATTCTCATTAAACCACCACCACCCTTGTCTTTCAGGTGGGGGTCCCGCAATCTCACGATATCTGCCCTTCGTCTAGGGTTTCAAGCCCAGTTTCTGCAACAAATCATCTGGTCGGTTAGCTCAGTTGGTTAGAGCGTGGTACTAATATTTCATCAGAAATGTTCTGTAATGCCAAGGCCGGGAGTTCAAGCCTCCCACTGATCATTCTCTTTTGTCCCTGATGATGGGAACTTTGGAAGACACATTTTTTTGTGACTGCGCACGCATTTCCTGTTGCATGCGGAATGTGTAGATACTGCCAGTGCTTGCGCAACCCTGTCGGGCAGACGTGACTAAAGCGATGATGTGAGTAGCAGAGTTGACCCACGAAGGCTTCAGAGACGGAGTCGTAGCTTTGTACTAAAATCCCCCCGCCTACGGAGTGCGGGTTGTTGGAGAAGTTAGAAAAGAGTGTGGGCTTGAGACAGGCAACAGGTCTTGGCTGGCGCAGAGAGAGGATTGAGTATACTGTAATGTGTAGGTCAAGATTCTCTCAAGATGCACTCCTCAGTTGACTGTGTGATGTAGGATGACCGCGGAAAGGAGATCCTGGGGTAGGTAGGAAGACACTTGACAACACATTGTGAGCGAGTACGTAGAAGAATAGCGAAGCCAAAGCATATAGCCCCGTGGGTTTTCGAGGAGCGTAGAGTACCATGGACAAGATCGACATTGGAAGGGGCGATGTGCACGTGGGGATGTTGTTGAATGTTATTGTTGGAAAACCGTCCTACACCTACCAGTGCATTATGAGGACGTCACTTTTTCCCAGCCACACGTAGCAACAAGAGGAGCCTCAGAAGGAAGTGAAATTAAAAAGAAACACGGCACACGCATAGCTCGAGCCCAGAACGCCGTGTCATGAAGTTTCAATGTTTCATTTGCCTGCCTGACCCTTTACAAACCAAGCCAAGCAGAGATACCGCGAGGCATGCCATGCAATTGCATCGACCCGGAAATCGAATGCTTTCTCTGGGCCGTCCCTTATGTCGAAAGTCTTGTTGTCTTTAAAAGACGAACGAGAAAGGAAACGGAACCCAGATCTTTTGATCCACGTTTGACTCCCCCGTAAAACAGTAACTGCCAAATTTTTCGCGGGAAACACCAAAAGCTGACCGGACCCGGGAAACCCGACAGTTTTCCTTCCCAAGGCTTTTTTTTGACTGCCGTATATTCCCCCATTTCCCCAGGCTGTTCCACACCTCCCAGAAACCAAACAAGACACACCGTTTAACGGTAAGACTTCTGGAATCTGGAGCGGGCACCCTTACCACCGAACTTCTTGGGCTCGCACCGGCGGTTGTCGGCGACGAGAAGGGTACGGTCGAACTGGACGAGGGCCTGCTTGAGCATGTTCTTGGAGTGCTCATCGACGAACTTCTGGTAGTAGGCGACGACGGACTTGGCAATGGCCTGACGGATGGCGTAGATCTGGGAAGTGTGACCACCACCGGTGACGCGAACGCGGATGTCGATGTTGGCGAACTTATCGAGGCCGAGGACGAGGAGGGGCTCGTAGACCTGTGGTGCGGGAAATGGGTTAGTTCTTCTCGTTCGGGTTTCTTGGCTTTTGATATGTGGTTCTCTCGTGTAGACCCTGGTCGCCTTGTCTTCTCGAACCGATTTCGCGAATTGGGTAAGCATAGAGCAAGCGCTGCGCTGCGCACGACTCTTAGAGTTCGTAGACAGAGCGTGGCATTGCAGCGCTCACTTCATGCGTTCCTTCCCTTGATACCGTGGGTTTCATTCCAAATTTCCACCTCTTGCCGACCAAGTCTTCAACGGAGTTTCGCGCGGGATTATAATCGTACCTTGAAGCGGAGGATCTCAGGCTGGACAAGCGAGAGGGGCTTGCCGTTGACCTTGACGAGGCCCTTGCCAGCCTATTCACAGTACAGTCAGCCTTCCATGTTCCAAAGTATCCAAATATCGTTCGCCCCCTCCTTCGCAATCTTGGTTTCGGAGCTCTCTCTTTCTTCGGGGGAGGACATTGATCGGTATCGTACCTTGCACTGGGCAACGGCGGTGGCGGTTCTCTTCTTGCCGAAGCACTGGACGCTCTGGGTGGACGACATGGTTGCTGCGGGATGGAGGGGGGACTGTTAGGAAATTCGCAACGCGATCGTGAGGCAGGCGTCTATGGTGCTTTGGGAGACAGACTCAGACCGTAAATTTTGCGAGTTGGATTTCAGTAAGGGTTGTGCCCTTTCCGCTGGGGGTTTGGGCCCGTTTAGTGGCTGGTCCGGCCGGTGATTCTCCGGGTGGGGAGGGTGAAGCACGTGATGTGGAATTGTGCTCGATTGTGGAAATCGCTTAGGTGGGCCCCGTGGCACAGCCGAGTCCAGCTTGGGACTAAGATGGACTAGTGGAGTATCTCTCGAAGATTATGTCATCTTTCGAGATTGAGCGCGGAGTGTCCGCCGGCATACCGCATTGGATGTCACTCATCGGCTTCGATAACCTTCCGATACGGCATCCACCAAGACCACCGAACGCCCCTCTATTCACAGCCTCCACCTTCTTCCGCGACTACAGTGACATATCCCCCCGACCGAACCTCAACCTCCACCATCCTACTTGATACACTCGATCATCCTACACACTCGATCCGACAGACGAAACACTGCAAAGGATGTCGCGCAAGGGCGTCGGCCTTGCGGCCTTCGACCGCTCCCGCATCACCTCGGCGCAATACGCATCGCACGGCTCCAACCTCCGCACATCCAACTCCCAAGCCCTCGAGACCCAGCTCTCTGTCTTTCGCTCCCTCCTCCAACAGTTCGCGCAGACCCATGCAAAAGATATCCGCTCAAATCCGTCCTTCCGCGCCCAGTTTGCTCGCATGTGTTCCGCCATTGGCGTCGACCCGCTCGCCTCCTCATCGTCCTCAGGCGGGGGTGGATCTTCGTCGATATGGGCGCAGCTGCTCGGCCGGTCCGTCAACGACTTTTACTTTGAGCTGGCGGTGCGCGTGGTGGAGGTATGCAGCGCGACGCGCGACGAGAACGGCGGGTTGATTGGCGTCCGCGAGGTGCGGGAGCGGATCATGAAGGGACGCATGGAGGGCGCCAGCGAGGTGACGGAGGATGACGTGTTAAGAGCCGTCGGTACTTTGAAGCCGCTGGGTAGCTCGCACAGTGTTATCAAAGTCGGAAGCAAGTCATACATCCGGAGTGTACCCAAGGAGCTCAATACGGATCAGAGCGCTGTGCTGGAGGCTGTGCAGGTGCTGGGATACGTGAGCATCTCGATGCTAATGGTTAATCTTCGATGGCCGAGGGCACGAGCCCAGACTGCCTTGGAGGATCTTCTTGGCGAGGGGATGTTGTGGGTAGACAAGCAGTGTCCCGAATGGGAGTACTGGAGCCCCGGCTTCATGGTCGACACCGGCGAGGCGACAACAGGGGAGTGAAGCAAGCCATCTGCCGCTCAACAAAAAAGCTCAGGCACATGCAGAAGAAACGAGTCGTTGCGTTTTAAGCAACGATGGCGGTGCCCAATACCTACCGAGGCAGTCAGCTCTGAAAGACCAAAAAAGAGTTCACCTCGGTAGGCTACATCTCTTGGTGCACTTGCTGGGAATCGAACTCGAACTCGTAGCCTGTCGTCGAGTAGGCTGTGAGCGTAATTGTTTGTTAATCATGAACCACTCCACCGCCCAGCCAGTTTGACCTGACCCGTCGACCTAGACGGGCGCCTCCTGGCTGGTGACAGGAATGGAATGGACGTGCCCTATATAGGCTTCTCTCATGGCGTCAAGGTATCGGATGAAAGGGTACCTCAGGTTGGTCCCGAGCAAGAATACGTCTGAAATATGCAAATAAGCCACGGCCAAATCTGCTGAGTGGGCCGCTGCAGAACAAGGCGATATATCATCAGAACGCGTGATGCAAATTCATCTCACATTACGTAGCAGATAGACCCAGGGAGATGGGCCTCGGACAAAAATACCAATCATAGTGAACCTAAAATTCAAGCGCGTTTGAACCTATCTACCGACACATGGGACATATAACATGATAGCAACATTTGAAGCAAGCAAATTGTACAGGGATATTGGGCGGTTGTTTGCGGTCCATCCAAGCCGCTTGCTCCCAGCTCGCGTATCTTCACACTGCCTCCACGCCCCTCAACTCCAGAAATCCGCCCCAAAGGACTGATATCGTTTTCGTATTAGATGTTACCAGATTTCTCATCAACTGGGCGTTATTTTGCTCTTATCTCTCAACCATCTCACCATAGAAGAGTCATTTAGTAAGCGGGGTTGGGACCTCCCATCGGGCCCGGGTAGTCCTTAGGGCCAGGGTAGTCCTTGGGGCCCGGGTAGTCCTCAGGACGGCCTCCCATGGAGGGAGAACGGCCGTCACCGAAGTGCTTCTTGCGCAGGGCAGCGAGACGCTTCTTCTTGGTGATGGTGTTGATGTAGGTGCCGATGATGAAGGACACCAGGTTGAAGAAGGGCACCCAGAGTTGATCAGGGAGGAACTTCTGAGCGAAGGCCAAGCACAGCGGGGAGGTGACCCAGCTGACCTTCATGACCTTCCAGAACCCAACCTTGACCGTCGCGCGGACCTGGTGGTACGTCTTGGCACCGGCAATGAGGGCCATCGCGGTGAGGTAGATGGAGTTTTGGATGGGCGCAATCTACGGAGTTTGGGTCAGCATGCTCATCATGGACGGCTCTCGCTAGGTCATGCCACTCACAATCAAGTTGCTGACGATAATCTGCAGGATCTTGGCGCGCAAGCTGGTGCGGCCAGCAAAGGTCTTCTGCAAGGCCCAGATGAGGAAGTGGCCGAGGGGCGCGCTGACGAGGGCGCCGTAGGCGGCCATCTTGGGTACACGCGAGGTGAAGTAATTGCCATGCTTATTGCGGTCCTTGGCGAGGAAGGAAGCGATCAGCTCCTGAGCACCAGCGAGGGTACCAGCAGTGAGCATCTTGGTGCGCAGAGGGTTCTGCTCGAGCTGCTTAATGTAGGCCTGGGTTGCACAGCGTCAGCATTTCGGCCTGGCATATTCCATACTCCTGACCGTGATGCAGCGAGCGATTCTTTCGTATCGCCGCCCACACATGACGGAACAGAGTGGAGGTATTGGAGGACGAACCGCAAGATAGCCCTTGGATCCCGCATTTTTCTTGCCGCCGGTGATGGCGGTGCCGATGGCCTCGGAGATGGGGTGCTTCCCGCTGGTGCCGGGCAGAGGTTCCCCGATGAGGCCCTTCTTGACCTCCTCGACACCCTTCTTTATCGTGTCCTTCTCGAACTTGACCGACATGGTGGGCTAAAGCTTCCGGGGTATCGCTAACGTAATCGAGAAAATCGCGGGGGAAACTGCGGTGAAGGGAGGAGTATCAGCTTGGGAGGCCCGTCTTTGAGGGTGTTTGCGATGGGTTTTCCGGGGGGTGTTCGTCAATTGAATTGCGGCTCCAGAGTGGGAGTGGCAGCGCCGGGGGCCAATGGTTTGTTTACCGCGTCGCTCTGCCGACCGACCCAAGTGCGATTGGTTGATTGCGCGCGACTGGAGCTTGGCTCACTGGAGACCCTCAATTCACAATGACACGAACAAGTCTGTAGGAAGTGAAGAAATCAGGGCAACATACCAACTTTACTTCGAGATCGCGGGACGTGAAGAGAGCGTCTGAGCCGTCGTTAGGAGGGGAGGTTGGGCGGCAGTGATAGAGAGAGGGAGCGACGGAGTGGGTTGTTGATGTGTGGTGGTGGTCGAATGGTCGAGGAGGTTGACACAATCGGGGGCCCTGGGGGGCGTACGGATACGACCTAGACACAGCAGACTTCCACTAGAGGCACCTATGGGCCGTAAAAGGGTGTGGCAGACCAGAACAAGCACGACAAGACAGGCCTCGGGCTGGGGGGGAAATTGACTGAATTGATGGGGTGTGGTGCTGACGCTGGACCAGAGAGACCAGAGCTTCGCTGCTCCGAAATGCTCATTCGTCCTCCTCCGCGCAACACAACCGGGATGTTGCATGACGGGCTAGAGCTGGACGGAGCTGCAGGGGTGTGTTCAAAAAAGACGTCTCATTGGCTGTCCTCTACCTATGGCCCGAGGTCTGTTTTTTTTTCACCTTGGTCCATTTTGGAGCCTGAGAGGAGGGGACGGCAGACAGCCCATGGAATGACGGGCGGCACCGAACAGACAGACGCACGTCGCACGCCAGCTCATCCCCTCTCATGCACTCTGGCACTTTACTGTGTACACTACGGAGGTGCGTCTCAATAGTCCTTGCAGTTGCTGCCAAGACCAACCCCTGCCATAGACAGGGGAGTCGACAAGGGGCTGGCTAGGGTGTGTACAAGCGGCAGAATTCGGCCACTTCCACCCACTGTAATTATCGTCAATTCAGCGGTAAAAAGTCGTCAATTGAGGTCAATTAGTGGTCGTTTGACGGTATAATCCAGCCCGACGACCCTCTTTGTATTCATTGCCGCCCTCTAGGGCAATTATCTGTTGGATGTGGTGAGGTACCCTTTCTATCCATTTCTGGATCTCCTCTTGCGGTAATGCTTTCCAGCACTCTTGCCAGCGACGTACTGCTTCGGCCCGTGACGAAGGCGCCCCCTTCCTGGTGGTCCATCTCTTCATCCACGGCCAGCAAGGTTCAATGGGATTGAGGTCGGGCGAATTACCCGGCCAGAGAAGCTTCGTAATCTCGAAAAGGCTGTACGTATAGTGGGTGAAGTGATGGTCGTGAGCGGGTGCCTTGTCCTCTTGTACGATTGGATTACCAGGTAATCCTTTGATATAAGGGAATAATTTGGGTAATAGGATCTCTTTGCGGTATCTGTACCAGTCAATTCCGCCCTTGCCGTTCCGTATTAACTTGCCCGACTTCGCATTCCAATTGAATTGGGGCTTACGGCCCGGTTGGTTCCGTAAGCCCATTCGCTCCATACCACTCTCGAGCTCCCACTGTTGACGTCGAACGGGCTCGAGCTCTGCGTTAAGCTCGGTAATCACTGCGTCGGCAGCCTTCCTCTCAGCAGCAGTCTCGGGAATCCAACAGTGGCACGGCCCTTTCGAATCGTATGAGAAAGACCCCCAAAACATGAATTCGGAATAACCCTTCCACCTCTCTCGTATGCACTGCCTAGAGTAGGCCTCGTCTGGGCGACGCCAGAGCTTATAGCTACCGCGGCGGTGGTTAAGGGCAACCGCGGTCTCGTCTGACCATACAACCCGCTTCCAATCGTCGAGGGTCCAGTATTGGTGGTCGAGGCACCACTTAAGTCGCTCTTGCCGCATCCTTTTCGTTAAGCCTGGCTTGCGGGTTGGTTTGGTCTTGTGGAAGCCATAGCGACGAAGGATTCGCCAAACAGTCATTGCAGATACGTCAACGCCCTCGTCCCTTAATAGGTCCCCAGCAATATCAGTACAGTTCTTTTCACGCCCATACCGGTCGCGGCAGACCTTGCGGATGACGGCATCGTTGACCTCTTTCGTCTGTTTGGTTGGACGGCCACTTCGGGGGGCATCTTCGTAATGGGCGGGCTCAATCGAGAAGGTAGGAGCAGTTGGGTCGAATCCGTTCTTTTTTGCGCGGGCAAGAACGTCGTAAACAGTTCGAACTGGAATTTCTAGAGCCTGAGAGACCTGTTCAGCAGTCCACCCAACAAGTCGACTTCGTAGAGCAAGAATCACTGCCCTGACGCCTGGATCTAGCTTCTTCTTTGTCGGCATCTCAGGATCCATACTGAGGAAAAAAGAGCAGCGTAGTAAGTAGCGATTTGGCGGTTTTGATATTATCGTAGGATTAGTGGTAGTATCGTAATGGCGGTGTATGGGGTAAAATCGTTGCTATGGGCAGTGCTGGGGGGAAAGTAAGTAAAGTGGGCCAAGATCAATCCCTAGGCTCTTATTGGTTCAGATGGGCAGTAATTGTGGGTCTGGGGCTTGGCAGCGACTGCAAGGACTATTGAGACGCACCTCCGTACCTAGGTATTACATTATCTTAACCGAGTGGGAGATTTTCAACTCTGTTTTTCTGTGTGCAGCTGCCGACTATCTTACCGCAGTGCCGGGTTGACCCCGTCCAGCCGTCCCCTCACTTCAACTAGTTTAATGACGAAGCTTCATGCTCTGCCCTCCCGGATCGCCCGAAGGTCATCCGAACGACATTCTTTCTGCATGCATACCGATGCCACACTTTGCAGCTCAAATTCTGGACAGAGTGTGTTTGTAGGATCCGGTGGAAAGGTTTCATCAAACATCCTCGGTCTGTGCCGGGCACTATCAGATGAGCTATGTCAAGTTGCCTTTATCCACACACGCTTTACCTCCAAGGCCCTGCATACTTCTAGTACGGACGTGTCTTGGATATGTAGATGTAGAGGCCGTCCTATGCTGCCTCATTTCACTCTCATGATAAAATAGAAGCGGCTCTTGCTCACGTGTACTCATGAACGATATGGAATCAGTGTCTTCATGAGTTCGCACCAATTTGACCTGCATATCCAATATCTGACAGATGCAGTGAGAATACGAGATAGGATTTGAATCATACAGGGTCTAATAAACGTGAATTGGTTGATTTAAAGCGTATTTCGCGCCTTCATCCTCAACCATGGGCCAGAAAGCTAGCAATCAACTCACAATCCTAAGACCAAGTGTCAATTCATTTCAATTTTCGACCATGATCTAGACATCTCCCCCCTAATAAGTTGTGAGATGCATCAAACAAAACAAACTTATTCCAAAAGGCAAGTTGTGGCGCCTAGTGACCATTGTTCATTTAGATGTCTTTGTTCGTCAAGACACGGGACAACTAAAAGGGATCCATCCTATAAAACAAGAGCTTTGACGAAGCTCATTGAACAACTAAAATACAACGAAAAGGGCATATAACGAGGCAAGACAACACGACCGTGTTGCTTATCAAAATGGGCGCAGGCTTCATAAGAAGCAGGGCCACGGAAACATAAGGATACAGACACAGCTAACTGCAGGTGATGAAGCAGCGGAAGCTTGAGGTAAATGCGCGACTTCCAGCTCCTATGTGAATCTTAATGATGGCGGCATTCTCATTGACTGTTTCTTCATCTCATGCATCTCACGGTGAATTTTGAGATGAAAGCTGGGTGAATCAGGCGCTCCTTCCTACCGTGACCAGCAGCCGCACCTTCCTCCCAAGTGCAATCACCCACATGAGCTCTCCCAGGCCTTAAACACACTCAGTGCAGAGCCAGGTTCACCTCCTACGACACCTTACTCCATAAACGCCACACCTAGGCCTAGGAGTATCTTCTGAACATCCATACTCAACATCGGGCGGCTATCTCCTCGAGAATTCTGTGCCGCGACTTGGGCTGCCCGATATCAATATGGCACCCCAGCCAACACACCGCCTGGCGCGTCCCTACGGCGCTTGTACACACGTCACAATGGTTCGAGTGTACAGCTACATCCTCAGATGCGATTCTTGTGGTAACTACGGTCACTTCGGATGGTTGTACCGGTGTAGCCAAGACCAGGAGGAAATCTTGCGCAACTCCATCTCAAATGGCGAAGAGGTTAGCATTGCGCAGCATTGTTGTACGGATATGGCACTGACATTGCAGGTCACCTTTGACGATATCGGTAAGCAGTTGATCACTGCTGTCCAGCCAAGGAACCGCGGTCCAGAGAAACGATCAGGGAACGCCGCCAGCTTTCTCGAGGAGATGCCCCCGAGGGATATCACGACCACCTACACGACCGACCAGCTCATGACCATCTTCAACCAACGCAAACACGTACGTCGAACTATTACAAACGAATCTATGCACATACTGATTACTTTGCTTCCATCTAGCTCGGAGACGTCCTTCGTCGAGAATCATTTCGAATGAAGCCGTCACCTACCCAAGGACACGACGGCACGCATTCGTCTAGCACCTACGACTTGGACGATATTCTAGAGACCAACATGTCCGCTCCTTGGGTGCCCAAGTCGAAAGACGAGTGCCAATACAAGATCTGCTCCTATTGTCGCCCCGGCGGAGCAGACCGAGCATATATCAGTCTGGATGGTATCGCTAAGGGCAACATCCCCGCCACCGCTGCCACCGGATACGGCTTCCACCTCTTTCGCGAGAGGCCGGTGTGTAATTCTCAACTACTTGCGAACATCGGTCTTCGATCATCTTCGGGAGTAAGCAGATTTTCCTTGCTGCCGGCAAGGGCCATACGTTTTCTTGTTTCATGGGCAACTTCTGACATTGTTCCCAGACCTCAACCGGATCCCCTGCATCATCATCTGATACGAGCAGATACATCAGCGATGCTCAGCTAGCGAGCCACTTGGCCTCACAACTTATCGTAACCGGCGCTTCGACACTCGAACCGAGACCAACGACCCCTTACTCCCTTCTCCTCCATCACGGTCACCTGCCTCGATCCCCGGGGACCCCAAACCTCGCCACCCAAATCGAGAAGCCTCCCGAGCCCAATGAAGACGACTCTTCGTGGCAGGATACCACGGCTTCAACCATGAGCCTTGCAGCCGGCGTCGGTGGCCATATCGGCGACGTCACCACGGAGATGGAGCGACAAGCGGAGGAGCAGGGAAGTTTCCTCGCCCAGCCTCTCTCCGTCGCGAACGGTGTGTCCGTCTTGGAAGAGAGCATCGAGATGCATGAGCCGGACTTGGTCACCCAGGTTTAAGAGAGAGGCATGGCGAAAGGAGTAGCGGCGCTGTGGCCAGTGGCGTTGGTTCATGACGGCGTTGGATTGCACAAAAGGATCCCCCCCGGGTGCGAACAGGAATTGTCTGCATTATTCTCCGGTACGGCATATACCCCTATAGAGAGGTGGACAGTAGACAAGTCTAGGACGAGCCAAGCGTCTCAAGGCTCTGCCAATCAGATCAAAAGAAAATCATCCATCATAACTGCATTCATGAAATTCTATCTCCAATCCCAAACCACACTTCAAACCTTGGTGCTCTCCAGCACAGCCTTCATCATGGCATTGCCCACAGCCACAGCATCCTTGAACCGCGGCTGGAAGAACTGCTGCGTCGTCTCGAACCGGTTCTTCCACGTCTCAAAGTGGCCCAGCGAAACGCACTCGGCCCACCCCCTCGCCGCGAAGGTGAACTCGAGATCGTCGGAGCGATACGTGTGGTCCTCCACCGCCGTCCGCAGCGCGTCGTCGAGCAGCTCCCGGCTGCGGAAGAGGTGCTCCGCGACGCCGAGCCACAGCCGGAACAGCGGCGTCGAGCAAATCATATGGTCGTAGGGTACGATGCCCAGCTGCGCCCAGCAGTCTACCATAGCCAGCAGGCTGAGGTGGTTGTTTGCGCGCTGCGGCTCCGTCTGGTCTTCTTTTTTCCCGAGGGAGAAGCGTTCCAGCAGGTCCGGGTTCAGCAGGGGGCGGTCCGCCCACTTGGGGCTGCCGTCGTGGCCGAATACTTTTTCCTTTGCGGCGAGGACGCGGGCACGGAGAGCTTCGGTGTTGCCTTCGAGCATGAGCTTGTACAGGTCCGTGACGGAGCGGGCGAACTGGGAGATCTGCTTGCGGGCCTCGGGGTTGAGGATCGCGAGGCCGGCGTAGACGTGCCATTTCTGGGAGTAGATGCGCAGCATGATGTTGATCTTTACATTCTCCACGCCGCCGACGTAGCGCGACATTTCCCAGGGGAACTGGGTGTTTGCGTGCCAGGCTTTGCCCATGGAGAGGAAGGCGGCGTGGGTGACGGCCTGGGTGTCGGCGGTGATGCGGTCGTGCTCGAGGGCCGTGAGGTGGACGTGCTTGGAGCCGAGGACGGAGAGGACGGTCTCGACTTTTGCGACGGCGGACGGGGCGGCGCGGTGGCCTATGATGACGAGGGGTTGGTTGCGCGGATCGACGTTGGGGCCGTGGAGGGAGTGGCAGGAGACGATCTCGACGTCGGTGGGGAGGTGACGTTCAAAGGCTGTGATCTCGGGGGCCTTGCAGGAGGTTTGGCCGCCTACGATGGCGCCGAGCTTGGTTGCTAGAGACGGGCATGATGGTTAGACGATGATGATCCTCTTGTGGAAGAAAGGTAGGCTCAGTGACTGGAGGCAGAGGTGGCAAGAGGCGTTGGAGGGAAAGGTCATACATGGTCCATACTGGGCGATCACACGGTCAATGGCGGCAGCTTCAACGCTGTAAATGATGTAGTCGCTGGCGCGGGAGACGTAGTGGCCATTTCGGCAGATTTGTACATTGTTCTATCAAGAAACTGCTCAGCCGGGGTTGAACACCGAGGGGTTCCCACGCTAGAAAGCGCGCGGCAGGGCAGGTCTGGTGGCATTCCCATACATTTCCAGAGAACTCTTCTTTCAGGCTCTCGTACTTTTCTTCCTGGTCACAAGCCATGATCCTGCCGACACCCGGGACGTCAGCTATTGCTTCCCCTATCCTCGCTGTTCCTCCTCTTCTGTCCAGTATAGCGCAGACTGTACTGTTGTTATAGCAATGATAGGGCATGAAGCTATTGCAGGTTCCTGGAAAGCTTTGTTAGCTTCGCTATTCTCCAAGCAAGAGTCGTTAAAAGAACAGAATGATGGTGAAGGTTCAGACAGGTAAAGTTTAAGGTAGCTAGGTGTATCATCATGGAAGGCCCTCAGCGGTACCCGGGGCCAGAATGGTTACCCGAGAATGCCATGGGCGATACTCTAGCCAAATGCGCTCTTGTCATCATGACCAATGGGGGGATATGATGGTAAAGGAGGATGAGAAAAGGAAGAGAGAAAAGAGCTTACCAGAAGAACCGAATAGCGCAGAGGCCCGGCTGGGGAATGAATAAATACTCACTTCCATCCAGCGGCAGAGAGCCTCTGCGCGTACATCTTCCCCATGTCTCCCATACCAATCAGGCCGACCACGAAATTTTCCATTCCGGCGGGGATGGCTGCGGCGGCCTGTGGTGAAGGGAGAGCAGAAGGAGATGCCATCGTGCTGTCGCGTAGTATGCGCTTTCTCTGTCAGGATAGAAATTTTCTCTTTCCCCCGGTGAATCTGAGCTTCTGTTTGGAGTGGCTGCAAAAGGTTTCTACTCGGAGTCAAAACCTCTCACATCCTCACAAGCGGCGGGAAAAGAAAACTCTGCATTAGTCGAGAGAATCGAGTCCGCGACGCTGTCTGCAAGCTGTGTTGTGCGGGAGTGTTGTGATGCGGATGATGAGAAAAAAAAAAGTTGACGGTTCAAGTTCCGCTTTTTGATCTTCGCGGCGCCCGCCTGGGCGGATCCATTGGCGGAGGCGCGGGAAAGATTGGCCGAAAGGCCCCTCCACCGTCCTGCTTAGGTGCATACGAGAAACTGGTGGGGGACGAATTTGCTTACTACGATATTTCGCGGGGGTCCACCAAAGCTCCGAAGCTCAGGTCGACGAGAGAGAGCTCATCCCGCCCCGTATGAAAGCGATAATCAGAATCGACAGATCAAGACATAATTTCCCAACATGTCTGTGCTCTTCGCTGTTGGTTCCAACGGATCAGGCCAACTCGGAATAGGCCACAAAGAAGACGTATCCGTCCCCAAACAAGCCATATTCTTCCCAGAGAACACCGAATCGCCAGTCATCAAAATCGCAGCAGGCGGAAACCACACCCTTCTCCTCACGAATTCAGGACAACTCTGGTGGAGTGGCGACGCGACCAGCGGTGCATGCGGTCTCACATCAGCAGTAGAGACCGACGAGCCCGTGTTCCAAAAAGTCCAGCTCAGCAAGGATGAAGCAAATGCCCCCGCAGCCACCACCACCACCACGGCAACAACGACAACACCAGTCCTGATCGCAGCAACCTGGGAAGCTTCCTTTGTCGTCCAGCAGGACGCGGATGGAAAGAAGACCAAGATCTCCAGCTTCGGCGCCGGCCAAAAGGGTGAGCTGGGCCTCGGGGAACTCCTCGTCCGTTCGCCGTCCGCCACTCTCTTCAAGGAATTCCCTCCAGCCGGGACTGAGATCGTGGACCTGGCGGCGTGTATGGGTCACGCCGTGGCGGTCCTGAACAACGGCGACGCCTACGCTTGGGGCAATGTGCGTAAAGGGCAAGGTGGAATCCCAGAGGCGGTCGTCTACTCGCCGAGGAAGATTGAGAGTGTCAACTTCAAAGTTGAGAGGGCAGTCTGCGGGAAGGACTTTACGTGCCTGTTTGGAGCACCGGACTCGGGAAAACTGCTCGTCCTGGGGTCTGATAAATGGAATACCAAGTCCTCCGCACCTAGTTCCGCACCAGAGTGGGCAGATGTGGGCGCTAGCTGGGGTAATATCTACGTCTTGAAGAAGGACGGCGAGCTCTTGGCGTGGGGGAGAGACGACCATGGACAGCTCCCGCCGCCGAGCCTACCCAGATTATCAAAGATTGCCATTGGCAGCGAACACGTCATTGCATTCACGGAGACGGGCGATGTGCTCGCTTGGGGATGGGGAGAGCACGGCAACTGCGGTCCGCAAGTTGAGAACAACGATGTCAAGGGGCGATGGAATGTCATTGCATCGTCAAAATTTATTCCCCCCGGTTCTAACATTACGGGTATCGGCGCGGGCTGCGCGACTAGCTGGGTGACTATCATCACCGGTTGAGCAAATGGTGCAAACACGGTTCAGCCGGCTGGCTATCTGAACTCGAAACGGCAGCAACATCATCCCCCCCATCCATTTTAACAAATCACGGGCCTTGATAGAACAGGCCCAGGCGCCTAACATCGTCAAGGCGCTGCGTGGGCTCCAATCCTGCGCTACTGGCTGGAGTCGGGTCGAAGTCGGCATTATCCTCAGCGACGTTGCGATCAAGATGCATGGAAGACGCGGTCTGCAGAGAAATGTGCGTTAAGATCATGGCCCTAGGTAGAGTGATTGGCCAGGGAGACTTACAGGTTGATTACTATGATCCCACCCAAGTCTTGCATCCAAGTCTGGATCATCGTCCTCTTCGTACCTGACAGGCTCCCACGCTTGTTCGTCCTGGTCATCCACGAAAAGGCTTTGGGAAGCAATTGTTGGGGGAGGCGGTCGCTGTGACGGCCGCAAATCGAAGAGGGAAGTTCGCGCGGCAATTCCACTCCGTGATGCAGACGCCGACAGCGGTGGAGGCGGCATGCTCTGCGCGGGTGGCTTCTCCTGGGGCTGCGGAGTCTCAGACGGCGCGGTACTTTGTCTTCTAGACGCGGCTTCAAGCTGCTGTTGCGGCGCTGCTTGAGCTCCCTTCGCCTTGCCCTTCTTCGTCTTCTGGGCCGGGTTGCCCTTCTCGCCGACTGTCATCAGCAGGAACTCGCAACTTATGCCGTCGCCGGGATAGGTGAACAGTATCGGGCGCGCCGGGTTGGAGTACCGAGCGGAGATGTGGTTGCCGGTGATGCCGGCATGCTGGATGATGGCTCGGAAGTCCTTGACGCTGATAACGATGCGGAGCTTATCCTCGACTTCTATATCTTCAAACTCGTCTACTTCGATGGCGATTGATGTGTGTAGTGGTTTCTTGAGGACCTCTGCGTCTTATATTAGTATTAATAGACACCCAAGGAGGTTAAAAGCCAACCGTCTCCATTTGTCGTCTTCTCCGTGAAGCATGTGAAGTTGACATGTTCGCCGTCCGAATTAATGTCCAGAAGCTCGACTCCAGGACCAAAGTGTTCCATTAATTGCCTCAAAGTCCGAGACGGGATGGTCCAATGGTGGATCGCTTCATCGCGGTCGAATTTGGCGTGCACTGGCACGGCAACCTCGAACGGCAGTCGATGTGTAGATGTGACACCTGCGTCATGGATCAGTGGTTGTTTCCGAGTCGTGCCAATCCAAGATTGAGAAATGTACCATTCCGGAATACTAGCTTCACAATGAAGCGACTCTTGACACCCGGGCCGTCCTCAATAGCGACATCACAACGATCGATCGTGCTCTCCTTCTCGCGATCACGCTGCGGATCGCCACCTGCGCGGCTTCTGAAGATGGAGGCAAGCGACTATAGAACAATGAGGCTCTGGCGACATACATGTCAAAGCATCAAGGGGTATCATACCCTGATGTACAAAGTGCAGTAAAACTTGTCCCGGTACTGCGCACTCCCCTCGAACTGGTAGCGGGAGCAGAAGCGATTGGTGGTGAATGTGAAGCAGGAGTAAGCAGACTTGGATGCATTGAGTGCGGTGAGGACCATCTGCATGTAAATCGGTCAATATCCAGGTCAGTGACTTGCAGCGCTTAGACGGTAGATGACTGACCTTGTCCTTCTTGGCTTCTAGGGAGACCTCATCGCTGAATTTGTTCAGGCAGGCGAGGACGTCGCGGAAGGCGGCGACAGCGTCCTCGCTTAGCGTGAAGTTGAGTACAGCCATCTTTTCACCGCAGGGTCCGAGGTCGATTTCATGAAGTCATCGGAGCTATAGGCATGGGTGTCGAGTCGGATCTTGGTTCACTGCCTTAAGGTTGCTTCGATGAGAGAGGGGCGGTCGTCATAGACGAAGCGCGTCGGGGCGCGTAAAGTGGTCGTCGGGGCACCTAAGTACTGCGGGGCGCCCCAAGAACGTAACTTCCCCAAGAAATACATCGAACGAAGCAGGTACGGCACACCTCATAACAGCTGCTCTTACGCCTTGACTCAACCTCACCTCATGCTTCATCTCGGCACTTACTGTGAACTCATGATTTATTCAACTACTGACTTACCCCATTGATTCGAATCAATGAATGGGACTCCAAGCAATGTGCATGCCCATATTCTCTATCAAACCTGTCCATGGCTCATACGGCCCGGAGCCCCTCAGACGCTGCAGCCCCCCAGCTGGGCCCCTGATGTCAGCCCAAATATTCACAAACATGCGATCCTCGTCAGCCTCGTTGTCGTTGCCTCGCCAGATGTCTCCCCTTAAGTATACTACCAGGGACTTCAGCATCCTCTGAAGGATTACCGTCGCCGGGTCGTTAGGGACAGAGAATCCGTCGTCCCTGACCCCTGATCCCCAGTACCGAGACTGCCGGTCTTGTGCAGGTAAGCTTAACCTGAAGCCTCCAGGGCGCTGATGGCACTTCAAGCAGTCGACCCAGTAGAGTATTTCGCGCGCCGAGAACATGGTGTGGCCTAGTACTGTCAGGCCAGTGAGGTGTTTGAAGCTCTCGAGAGCGCGGAGCGTCCAGGTCGAATTCTCCTCTTCTCGAACAACAGAGGAAAGAGTTTCGAGCCTCGACACATGTTTTGCAATTTTCTCGAGCTCACTGCAGTCTAGATAAGAATATGTGTGCAAGCGCAAGTCCCGAAGACACGGCATGGCTGTCACTGCTTTCATGACGAGCTTGCCGCGTTCTCGACTCATATTAGGGTCGATGAGGCCTTCGTCGGAGCACTCGGCTAGAAATAGATACTCGAGCTGCTGTGTCACGAATTTTTTTGTAAAAGTCTTCGGAGCATCCTGTCGAGAAAATATGCAACCTGCAAAGACGTAAGTGGGGAAGAGCATCAGCGACTGCGGGAACGAGGTCCGGAAAGCGGAAGAGATGGAGACTCCGAAGAGCCTGTAAAAATTTCAACCAGCCTGCTACCTTGCTGCGGTTCCTTCTGCCCAGCGTTTGAATCTCAAACGATTCGTAAGGGACGGCCGGAAGTTGAAGCTGAGTGTCAGTGATGTCAAGTTTGTCAGCTCGAAAAGTCGATAGATCTCGAAAGGAGGGCGAACTAGATTGTTCAAAGTTAGCTTCTGTAGATTAGTCTGCTGCACAAATGCTTCTACAGTTAGCAGCTGAATTTTATTGAGGGAGCAGTGGAAAGAGCGCAGCTGGTTCGGCTGCAAATTCGAGACAAAGTCTGCAAAGGAAGAGACATTCGAGTCATCGGCCTGTACCACTAACAGCTTTGTCAACACCGGCAGATAGCTTGTGATCATTGCGGCGGCGGACTAATCCAAGTCATCAAGAAAGACGAGGGAGAGCCTTTCCAACCTCCGAAAGAGATGGATGACGGGCTGGACGTTCACCCACCAGCCTGCCGTCAAGCTCTTGATCATGACGTGCAAGCCTTGTGTCTCAGACGTAGAACATATCTTGCGGAGGAGACGATCGGTGAAGCACCCGATGTTTGGGGACTTGGTACAGATGTGGTTCGCCGCAACGATGCTTCGATCAATCGTGGAACCGAGGTTCTGCTGGGCATTCTGCTGGGCAGCCTCACGGTTCTCAGTAATGAACTCCTCGTCGAGGAAGGCTCTGCACCCATGGGTTGAGAGGTGGTTGAGAAATTCTAGATGGCGTATGTAGAGCAGGTATGGGTGGTACGTAGCAGAAAACATCGCATCGTCTAGGTCTAGGGGCTCTATGCTTAGCGGCACGTCGGTAGACAGAGTCTCCCAAACACTATCCGCAGCCTCCCCGCCCCAAGATTCAGCAGGGCAAAACTACGCGCTATTATCTAGTAAATGAACAGTTCTCTGATGGGGAGGATGGATGTCGTCGGGCTGACGATGTATCTCCATTTTCATTCCAAGGTTCTTTGCTTACCTATAGAGTTGTCGAGAAGCCACATCAGACAGTTTCCTATTGAGAAGAGCGCAATTTGCCAGAGTGGCATGGTCTCCTCACAGAGCAAGCTCCTCAAAGACATTGTGCCAGATGTCAATATGGAGGACTGGCTTGACTGTAGTCAATGATATCGCTGGAACACTGGAATCTGCATTCATGGTAGCGTGAAGTCGTAGTGTCTTTGAGTGATGATGGAATGTTATGAATTCGCTTGATAGACCAAGACCTGATAGTATTTGCTGAGCTGTGAGGCTCTGAAATAGGTTGAACTAAGCACAACGCATAGTCACCGAGGTTTGTGACTCTATTCTTCATACAAAGTTTGTGACACACCGAAAGGGACAATGCCAACAGAAAGCCGCCAAACAATTTGAGTTCGAAAACATTTACGGTCATAGAGATTGATTTTGTTGATATCCGGGATACTTACTTCTCACTCTTAGCTCAGAGGGAGGTGCCACACGATCGGCACGGGTGGGAGGAACATGTTTCCAGCTTCATCTCTCCCCATCACATCCGTGCTGGTTTTATGTGAACCAGAAATCAGTTTGAATAGCCAGTTGAAGAAGGCGTATGGTGCCTTATGTAAAAGTAGACTAAACCTTCATCAATCTAATTGGTGGACACTCGCCACACGGTGAGAGAGATGATCAGAGACACCCGCAACAAGGTTTCATCGGGCCCCAAACATCAAACCACGAAAATGCCGTGTGAATCAGACAAAAGCTCCTTTATCCATCCCCCGATATTTACGACCCAATGAGCTATCGATAATGACCAACGGCAGCTAGTTGATCCTAACCACGTTTGGGATCCCGAGCTTGCAAATGTAGTGTATCCCCCAACCTTTCCCCGCAGATGCTCGCCCACCTGATCGCGTCTAAGCCAACGACAAGCAGTCCAGCTGACAGCGCGGGCGAGACCCTTGGAGATCAAGTTTGTGTGAGGCTCAGCCCAGACCGCAACGCGGGACCAATCTCCAAGCTCGCAAAAGTTATCCAATGTGTCTGTCCAACGTAAGGTGCTAAGGTTCTGTGGGTGAGATGGCACCTGTGACCACGGGATGACAAGGCGGGCGTGATGTCACAGCACATGGCCGGAATGGTGGGGTCCCCTGGGAGGGAGGAGCCACTCAACCATTCACATCTCTCACAGATACTCCAAACGATCCCCCAAAGCTCCAAATGAGCGCGTCGGGATTGGTACGATGCGGTGAAGCCCTGCAGCGAAGAACGAGACCGTGACCCATTTCCCGAATTGGACAGTCAGACACCACTGGAGCTATTCCCCCAAGGTCATCAAGGTCGTCAAGGTTATCTACGGCTATCGTGCTGCAGGCAGGGCACGGAACTTGGAAGAGATAGCGGAGGGGCTGCCTTGCTCGGTTCCGTCATCTGAAAAAGGAACCCAGCCCCCCCGTCACTTACCTCAGGTACCCGACCTTATCAACCTGGACAAGAGTCAGCTCCCAACCCATCCCGGCTTCACCTGCGACAGGAACTGAAGCGACGCGAAATCCCTACCCTGCTTGCGTTTGCCACGCAATAGAGGACCTAGAGACGTTTCCAAGATGGTAAGCACAAACTTTCCCCAAACTCACTTCTATCAATCGAGAAACATACCGCGGTCGCCAAAACACCTTGGAGCTTAAATCGCAAACTGGGAGTGAGTGTTGAAAACCATGCCTAACACCGCAAACGCGCAGTCCTCCGAACGGACACCCCTCATCAACGACCGCCGCGACGGCGAAGACAGCGACGACTCCTCCCGCACTCCCCCGGGCTCTTCGCGCCTCCGCGAAATCGTCCTCTTCGCCTGGGCCCTCCTCGCCACAGCAGCCCTCATCGTCCTGGCAGTATGGACCCAGCACCGGAGCTCGACAAAGTTCCCAACGCCGTCTGAGGGCAAGCGCAACCTCATCTTCATGGTCTCGGACGGCATGGGCCCGGCCTCCCTCTCCCTGACGCGCAGCTTCCGCCAGCACGTCGAGGGCCTCCCCGAAGACGACGTCCTCACCCTCGACAGGCACTTTTGGGGCTCCTCCCGCACCCGCTCCTCAAACTCCCTCGTCACCGACAGCGCCGCCGGCGCCACCGCCTTCTCCTGCGGGAAAAAGAGCTACAACGGCGCCATCTCTGTCCTCCCCGACTATGAGCCCTGCGGCACCGTCCTCGAGGCCGCCAAACGCGCGGGCTTCATGACCGGCCTCGTCGTCACCACCGACATCACAGACGCTACCCCCGCCTGCTTCGCCAGCCACGTCCTCACCCGCGCCATGAACGACGACATCGCCCTCCAGGAGGTCGGCGACGGCCCCCTCGGCCGCGTCGTCGACATCATGCTCGGCGGAGGGCGCTGCCACTTCCTCCCCAACGGCACCGACGGCAGCTGCAGGCTCGACAACACCGACGTCGTGAAAAAGGCCCAGGACGAGTTTGGCTGGACCTACGCCGGCGACCGCGCGGGATTCGACGCCCTCGAGGGCGGCGAAAAGGTCTCGTTCCCGCAGCTCGGCCTCTTTGCCCACTACGATATCCCCTTTGAGATTGACCGCCGCAACATGAGCGACGTCTACCCCAGCCTGAGCGAGATGGCCGCCACGGCCCTGCGCGCCCTCGAAAAGGCCACGGAGAACAGCGACAAGGGCTTCTTCCTCATGATTGAGGGCAGCAGAATCGACCACGCCGGCCACATCAACGACCCCGCCGCTCAGGTCCGGGAGGTCCTCGAGTACGACAAGGCTTTCAAGCTCGTCTCCGACTTTGTCAAGGACAGCAAAACCGAGTCCCTCTTGGTGGCCACTAGCGATCACGAAACCGGTGGCCTCGCTACTGCTCTGCGTAAGTCTCCAACTTTTGTCCAGGCCCTCACAAATAGTATGTCTGCAGCCGGCTAACTCGTGATCAACAGAGGAGCCCGGACACCTACCCGTCTATAACTGGTACCCCAAAGCCCTCGCAAAGGCCTCAGCATCCGCTGAACTGCTCTCCAAGAAATTCCTGCAAAAGATCGCCACCAACAGCGGCAAGACCCAGAACAAGGAGGAGCTCAAGCAATGGGTCAACAAGGAGCTCGTCGTCCCCGGCCTCGGCATCGACAACGCCCACCCAGAGGAACTCCAGGCCCTCGTCGACCACCCCGAGGTGTCCGTCCAGACGTTCGCCGCCATGATCAGCCTGCGCGCCCACATCGGCTGGAGCACACACGGCCACACGGCGCTCGACGTAAACGTCTACAGCACCGGCGGTGAAGAGGCCCAGAAGATCCGCGGCAACATTGAGAACACGGACGTTGGCAAATTCCTTCGCGGGTACCTCAACGTCGACGTTGATGCCATCACCGAGGAGTTGAAGGAGAAGATGAACAAGAAGCAGCTCGGCGCCATGAACCTCCAGCAGGAGCAGATGTCCGCCATGGCCGAGGACCCCAGCAGCTGGAGTCAAAGCCAGAGCTTGGAGTACGCCCACTTGGCGAAGGCCGGAGCTGCCCATGCTTGAGATCTCTTAGCATTGAGAGATGGTAGGCCAGAGTCATCAAGTGGTTGGTTGGGAAGGGGGTATGTGGCATTACTGGAGTTAACGGAAGTATTGATTTTTGAGCATAGGGGCTGATGGCCTTCACTCGCTGGAACACGATCTAATCATAGCAACAAATGCGCAGCTATAGAGCAATGTATACATATCATATCTACCAAGACATCAAAGTCGATTGTTTGCTCGGCGCAACGTGCGTAGTTGAGAGGACCGTCAGCAGGTCCCCGGGGCCCAAGCACGGGAACATCCATACACGCCGTGAGCCATGGTCCCAACGTGGATCAAACTCGACAGTGAACAGGAGGGCGTGATCACGTTCCGTGGAATACTTGTCAACTCGAAAATTGGCCACTGCCCTGCATCAGACTCTTCGGGTGCATGACCCGGGGTCGAGTTCAGCCCTGTCAGGCCGAGTGAATAAAGACGGGTGGCCTGATTCCTACCGCCGCCCTCCGATCTTTTGCGGTAGGTAGATTACATGAGTGATGCTGTCTCTTGATTTCCCTTCCCTCACCTGAGCTGTGTGCATCCAGCCACCGGAGGCAGTTGGAGGGGTCGTATATTTTGGCGGTTGGCTCGCTCGTTCTGTGACATCAAGGAGTCTTCGAAAACTTTGCAGCTAGCCGCAAAATCACCGCGAGACGACAGAAAGTGCGCGGAGGCGGCCGCTTTCGCCTAAACATGAAGGTTCGGATATGTGATACGATTTGTTATTGGCGCAGCAAATGTGATGAACCGTGCTTGGCCCTCTGTAGCCCGATCTCATCAGCCTGGACCAGCCGCTCTTGCTCTTTTGGCTTTACCCCTGCCATCAACATGGGGGGCCATTGTGTATGTTTGTTTGTCAATCGTGCTAGCCGAATGCGAGATGCGAAGGTGGGTAGGTAGGGCCACGCCGATGGCTGCTGTTGGTGGAGAGTTGGGCGAGGGAGAGAAGAGACAAGACCGTTAGCTGTGGGTTTCCTGGCACCCTAGGTACACGATCCATGGTTACTATTGTTTCCGGATCTTCGCTGCATTGACAAAGCAAGGGCCAGAATTGTATGATATAGCCTTGGTGCAGAGCCTCTTTCCTTCGGCCGTATGCCAGGTAGGCGTGATGATGTGATGAAGTGCACTGCAGGTAAGCGGTTGAGCAAGAAAATCTAAACCTTCGAACGGTGGCATTCTTTACCGAGTCTCAATTCCAAGAGTTTCCGGAGTTTTCTCCCTGTTGCGGACGGAGCACTGCATTGAACGTCGCCTCGCCATGCAATTCAACTCTGTCGGTGGAGGGCGATTTCAGCAGCTCCGCGTTCTTTGGCTGGCCTTACGGCCGTTGTTGTCGACAATGGGCGGGGATCGACGTGTCGTCGAAACCTATCATTCGCAGCCAACCGGGGTGCGTTGTCCACGTACAGCCTACCTATGCCTGTATGTGGTTCATCCAACCCGGCTGGCTTTCGGGGACAATGGCGAGTGGCTTGCAAACCCGTTGTCAAAATGGAACACGAACACCCTTTCGTAACCATAACCCTGCTTGCCGGAAATCTCTTAATTGAAGCTCCGTCAGTTACTTGAACAGGCCGGCAGAGTCCGAGATGACCCCTGTCGACGAGGAGGAAATGCGGCATGTGCCTAGACTGCGATCGTGAAAGTTGCTCCGATAGATGCTGCAGTTAAAGGCGTTACGGATAGGCAAGGTATTAGAGGTCAGTAGCTGTCCTTGTGTGACCCAACATCGTTCCCCCTAAGCTCGAGGCTATGGACGCACTATGCCCAGGGAACAAGCATGGAAGGATCGGATAGGAATCCATGTGTGGCCGTATAGTATCTTTAGTCGACAAACAAAGCCGTTGGCGACCGTTCCCTCGGATAGAAGTCCTTTTGTTGGGAGGTTTCATAGATTGACTGTGCGTCTTGACCGGTTGGGCTAAGCCTGGAGGAAATGACGATGAGCCTTGGCGACAGGATGCAATCTGACGGCAAGTAAGGCGGTATCGCCAAAGCTATCAGGCTGCTTAGCATGTGAGATGCATGTGCCAGTGAGCCCCCCGATCGATTTCAACGTAAGCAAGGTGGGTGGTGGTGGCCGTTGCACTGAACAAATCTGCATGCAGCATTTTCGGATGAACGTTAGGCAAGGTAGCCAAGAGGCATGCCAATCCCCGGTTTGCCAACGTAATGCGTCGAAGCTTCTTGCGTCCAGAAGAAGAATGTCCCAAAGTCGGAGACTTGTAATATGTACATTGATCCAGCCAGAGCAGTTTGGCCCGAGCAACGACATGGGTTCTTCTCGTCAGGAATCGTCAGGATTCTAGGAGCAAGCCGAAGAGCGCGGGGAGCGGAGACTGGTAGTGGGCCGAGAGGGCTCCGCGGTCCGTAACTTCATAATGCTGCCCCGCGGGCCATGGATTGCAAACCGAATCTAGTGGCGTTTTCTGCCGGCCGGCGCGCATGTCTTGATTAGGAACATTGTTTGTTTGCACCGAGAGAGGAAACCAACCGGAGCTTGTCATGGGTGTGTGTGGGATCTGGCCTCACAGTGTGTGCATTGCGGACGTGCGAAGTTGGATTCCGATGTGGGAGTTGATACTGTGCCCGCGGACTCGTCTCCATTCCGGGGTGAGGCAGCTCGTGTAAGTCGTCGAGATGCGGGTTCCAGAATCTGGGAGGAAATTTGGCGAAAGACTGAACAAAGTATACATGATTGTCGAGGCAAGAAATGCAAATGAAGTCAGTTTCGCGAGGCATTGACTAAAGGGCAGAGCCCGACAAGGTGTTCAATGCCTGCTCCTGTTACGTCATCCTCCGGTATGTCGCTCTGCTGCGAGGAAGGCGGACCCGGATGCAATGAGGACGGGAAATAGCAATGATCACGAATTGGAACCTTGGTACCCCGAATAACACTCCAACAGGAGCCGTATGTGTAGGGCAACGCTGAAATGCGATGATCCTATAATAAACCCAAAAGGGCACTGCTCACTATGAGTTTTGGACCTTGATGTCCGCCAAACGTGCCTGAACCGCAAAACAAAAAAGCCGCCCTCCCGTAGAATCGCACAGTTTTCAGGAAGAAAGGCACCCTCTGAGAGCCTGAATTCCAAACCTGCGACCAATGCCGCCCCTTCGCACTAGAAACATGGCAAAATGAGGATGAATGTGTCCGAAACGCCCTGGCCGCCGTCCAACGCCCTGATAACATGATTTGTCCCGCCAATCCTACCCTGGCCCATGTCCTTAACCATAACCACTCTCTGCGGGAAGCGAGTCTCTTACAGTTGTCGGCTCGTTACCCTTTTCCTGATCCGTCGCATGTTGAGGGCGGACGCCAGTGACCAGGGCTTTTTGTGGTGCCGAGGCGTGGTCAGTCAGTAGACGCCCATACATGGTCCTCGGATCCATTCGAGGCCGCGAAGCCCGACTCGTCAACCGGGTCGTTCTCCTACATAACCGAAGATGATAGGAGTCGAGCGTCGACATCGTCCATGGGCAGCTCCATGCTTCCACGGGCCTCCATGCCTTGCAACCGCGACTCCATATTCTGGAAACGAGGCTCGTACCCTCCCGCACGATTCTCAAGATTCTCTAGGCGCTTGTTCATCGTGTCAAGAGCTTGTTCGATGCGGACGAAGCCTTGGTTCATGTCGTGGTTGAGGCGATCAATCTTGTTGGTGAAGGAGCGGATCGATTGGGCGAGGGGGGTGTTTTCCTGGCCGGGAGGGGCGGTCGCGATGCGAGGCTCGTGGTTGTGACTGCCCTCCTGAACAGCAAAACGCCACTGGTTTCCCAGCTGGACCTCACAAACGGCCTTTGCGCGCCATGGGCAGTCGACCTTGCGCGTCGATGGGTTGCGCTTCTTAGCGGTGCTGCTGTACTTGACGCCGCCGCGGTCGCAAACCAAGTCGTAGCGGGTAGGCTTGCCATCGCGGTAATTGGAGGCGCGCAGCTTGACAACTCCATATCCCTGGTCTTTTGCGACGCGCTGGACCGATGTTAAAAGGTCTTCGAAGGTCCGGAAGATGCCCTCAGGCGGCGGTAAGAGCGCAGGCGGAGGCGCATTCGACATGACGACGGAGGAGTCCAGCTTGGCGGTTGTGAAGGGTAAGTGGGGGAATGGAATCGGTGGTTGACGGATCCGGGGGAGCGACGGACGCGTCGAGAAATAGAAATGGGGCCGGCGGAGAAATGAAGATGAGGATGGTGCGACAGCTTTTTGTTGGCGATAATACTTCTTTGGGTGAAGGGCTCTCCTCAGAAGGGCTGCTGCTAGTATCTGGTGACGGAACGGCAGGAAACACGGAGAGGTTGGAGTCAGAGAATTCCAATCCGCACGGTCTGAACTAGGTTGGCAGTTAATCCGCTCTCCGGCTAACCTTTTTAGCGAGGGTCAGCATCCAGGATCCAGCTGCAAGTCTAGCGTCCAGGGCTTGGCGTTCGCGTTGCACGTACCTGTCCAGCGTTTGTATTGAGTATCTGGGAGAAGTGTGAGGGATGTTGTTATGGCAATGCACGATTTTTTTTCCTTGCTGGGTTGATGGTGATGGATCATGTGGGGGAATGAGAATGACTGGAGGTCAAGGACATGCGCTTATATGTATTCCGCTTCTTTTCTCTTTTCTTCCAGAGGTTGATTGCCTGGCCGGAAAGCAAGCTGCACCTTCCGCCTCGGACTCGACATACAGGTTCACGTGACCAATCACCGGCCAGGTTGAGTGAAGGTCGGAGAGTGGAAAGGAACCTGGCACGCCGCACGCTTGGCAAGGTGTCCTGGGTGCCTTGCACCAGCAACACCGTGATAGGTAGGCGAGATGTACTAACCCGGCGGGAATAGTGGAGAAAGGTACTCCAGGGAATAACGCACCAACCACCTTGACGCGCTGCTGGGAAAGGCTGCTGGGACCCGATTCTGGCCCTGGCCCATGCTTCCATGGATGCGCTGCACCTGCGCCGCGTGCCAGACGTTGAAGACATCACCCCAATTAATACACACAGTATCTCCGGCTTGTCTCCCGTACGCCGTACACTACTCCTTTTTGGACCCCAAGTAGCAGCGCGCATGACAGTGTGAGTGGCACGTTTGCCTTGTGGACTGTGTCATTTGAAGTATTCGCAAACACGGATCCAGCATTTACCTTTCTTGGACCTTCCTTCGGCTGTGATTGCGCGTTGCGCCTGAAGCCCTCGCTCGGCATTCATCCATCCAACCTCGCCGGTCTGGTCGTGGAAACGCCTCGGTCCGTCAACTCGACTCCCGCTCGACTCTCGATTTTCGAAACCCGACCCAAACGTATCACACCGCCTGCTCGCTGGTCTACCTGCCGATTCGACCCTTCCTTCTTTTCCTTCTCCTGCGCCATGGTCTGATAGACCTCTGTGCATCCTCGACCAACTTCCACTATCATGGCAAACAACGGCCCATCTGTCAAGAGTGAGCCTGGTGCTCCAGGCTCCGAGGCATGGGATGAGGAACGTCTGGAACAGGCTCTGAACGAGCTCAAGCTCTTGCATGTCAAGGTTTGTTGTCCTCATGGCGCAGACTGATACCTCAAATCACGACACTGAACTTTTGCAAAGCTTCGCGGTTTGCGAACGACGATACCACGAATGATGGAACCTTTGTCCGTCAAACAGCCAAGCCGTACGTATGAAGTCTGTCATAAAATGTTTCGTTCACTGATTTCCTGCTATCCAGCCCAAATTACCTTCCAAGCGTACATGGAGTCGGTCGCTGCGGCTAAGAAGGAAGTGCAAGACTTTCAGGACCTTAGGAAGAGCGAAAAGATAACGAACATCATGGAACATGCCACACAACGTCGGCAAGAGGAGCCTAATGGTATAAAGGCATGGCGTACTACAGACCATTCTGACTGGACAACGTCAGACTCCTAGAACTCTCTTTGATTTTGGGCGGATATTTCAGCACTCATGGCGTTATGGCGACTGTTACGCGGAAAAGGGGGTTTTTGTTTTTGGGTACATCCTCGCTTAGTGGTGCATACATGAGCAGATGCCTTGGGGCACGGGGTTAGAAAACCCGGTTCAAAAAGCCCAAGGATATGTTCAAGAAAATGACGGAGAAGGTGCAATTGGAATACCCGTCCAACTCGTAATTCGATGACAGGATGCTAGACTCTACCTTCGAAGCAGAGATCCAGAGAAGTGGCTGGCTGGCGAGAGTCAGGCTGGCTATCGGACTCGACTCGAGCTCATGAAATATCTGGGTTTCTGCCGTATGGTACCTTAAGCTGGCGGACAGCGGGTCGCCTTCCACCCTTCCATCCAATTGGCCATCTACAGTGACTGTCAACGATTTCTTCTCCAAAAAATTGTTAGCGTGTCTGGCACGTGAGCTGGGCTCAGTCCGGGGCTTTCCAGCTGGCAGCAGCCACATGTGGCTTGACGCCCACAGCCCCCGCCTCATTGGTCGCCTAAGCGGGCTCTATCTCATCTTTCCACCCACACAAAATTTCGAGAAAGCACGAAAATCCGCTCGCGATCCTCGACTCTCAACTAACCAACCCGCAGCCCGCAGCAAATCAGTCACAATGGCCGGAAACCGTGTCCAGTACCGCCGCCGTAACGGGTGAGTGAATCTTCCTAGAGATATCGCATACGATCAAGTCAACGACCGAACGACACTCTTCTTTCCCCGCGATCGCGAAAATTGTACTTGGTGGATAGACTGGGAAAAAGAGGCTGACCTGGGAAATTTTCCTTGTGCAGCTACAACACCTCCTCCAACCTCACCCGCATCGTCAAGACCCCGGGTGGTGAGCTGAGAATCCTTCACATCAAGAAGCGCGGTACTGCCCCCAAGTGCGGTGACTGCGGTGTCAAGCTCCCTGGCGTAAGTTCGAACCCAACATCGAAGCCGAAGCGAACGATCCGAGAAGCCATCTGAGAGAGTACGGAACTACGGAAATGCTATTCGGTCATGGTTATGGATGTCCTTGGAGAGAGGCGCATCTTGTTTAGGAGGTCACACTGAAGCTGGTTGAAAACGAGGATGCATGACTAGAGGAACTGGCGCTCTCAGATGGCAACGACGAACTTTCGACTTCGACTTGGAGTGTACCAGAGTCAAGCAGACCACATGCTAACATAACCGCTACAGGTCCCCGCCCTCCGCCCCCGCGAGTACTCCCAGATCTCCAAGCCCAAGAAGACCGTCCAGCGCGCGTACGGTGGCTCGAGATGCGGTAACTGCGTCCGCGACCGTATCGTTCGTGCCTTCCTCATCGAGGAGCAGAAGATCGTCAAGAAGGTTCTCAAGGAGCAGAGCCAGAGCGAGAAGAAGAAATAAACCCGACGCATCTCTTCTTGGTCACGTCAAACACAACACTGGCAGGAATGGGAATAAGGGGTTGGTTCATTGCTTCGGTGTTCATTAGGGCAAAAACAGCATGATACAAAGGATCGTCGGGCCACGAGGCGGATTGAAACGGTTCTTCTTGCCGACGCTGTCGTTAGGGCACTGTTAGGCCTCGATACCTGAATGAAAACGGAAATCGAGCCCTTCAACAACAACAAAATTCTTATTGGTCATGTGGGATTCCCGTTCGTTTTTCTGTGACGGACGATAACCCCGCGGTGTCTGGTCGTGGCGCCCAAAAAAAAAAAAAGTGGTTTACTCCCGAGATCTGGATTATGACAGCGAAATTGAACTTTTCCCGCCTTTACCGATGACAATTATGTTTGAGTCGCAAAAAACATGTCCATGTCCAATGCAAGTAATAATCGGTGGCTATCCACCATGGTGGCGCCCGTCTCGTGTTTCCCTCGTCAACGTTGCTCGTTAGCCCAGCATCCCACCTACCTTAACCAGTAATCATGACGTTCAAGATGCTGAGGTATCACTACCGGAAAAAGGTCCCAGCTTCCTAGCTCTTCCAAACACAACCACACCACGACCAAACAACCTTGCATGAGAAAAATTGACCGTAGCAATCGAAACACCCAACTTCCTCTCTTCAAGCGAGGCACGCAAACAAACCGATGAACACCTCCGCGACAACCCGCGCTCTCCGCGCATTCGCGCGCACCCAGCGCACCGTCCCCCGATCCATCCCTCGAGCTTCGCCGACATCACTACGACCTTCTGCCGTTGCCGCCCAGCCATTATGCATGCGCAGTCAATTCCACACGACCCCCTTCAGATCAAAAAATGAGAAACCCAAGGACTACCAGGGAGCGACCGACTTCAGCGAGATGGACGTGCTAGCCAACACGCCCATCCCCTCGACCTCAATCGACGCCTGCGTATGGGATGGCTTCCACCTGAACAGTGGTGTCAAGATCATGGACGGCGATGCGGCATTACTCATCGGCGGCGAGGCATTCGAGTGGAGGCCCTGGGAGGCGAAAGGATCCAAGAATTTGATCAATGCCAAAGGCCAGTTCGAGCTGCCCGCGGAAGCATTCGGGCTCCTGGATCTGGTCTGGCCGAGACCTGGTGCGCATCTCCCACGCTCTACTCTCTTCTTCTGATTTTCAGGGTGGCCAGTTTACTAACGATTGCTTTTTACAGATCTTCTCATCATCGGTGTTGGCCCCAAAATCGTCCCCCTTAGCCCGTCGACGAGGAAGCATCTCAGCTCGCTTGGCATCCGTGTCGAGGTGCTGGACACAAGAAACGCCGCCTCCCAGTTCAACCTTCTTGCTACAGAGAGAGGCGTCGATGTTGTTGCGGGCGCGATGATTCCCATCGGATGGAAGGAGGGTAAGGGCGCTGTATGAAGTGCAGGCGGCGGACCGGGATACCTTAATTCGAGTCATGATGAGTCGAATTTGGGCTGGCTGTTTAGAAACACACGCATGCCAACTGGACTGCAGTCAATTGCACAGCAGTATCATGGCGATCCATGGGTTGCAACGGGGTATGATGGAGGTGTCAGGCTTCTCATCGCCCATGGCAAACTCTCACTTGATTTCACCGGGGAGTCCATCTGCATTTTCTTTGGGCCCCGCCAAAAGTCCCACCTCTTGGCTGTGACTGCCAGAGCTGTACGGAGTACTATCACAACCATTTAATGCTGGTTCGGAAACACTCCGCAACCAACATTAAAAGCTTTTCCCAGCAGAGAATGACTTGTAATACATAGAATATTACTTACCTAAACAGAATGTACAATACCCAAATTTCAACTTCATCTGATACGTAATCAGCCTTGCAGCACCGTGGACCCTGGACAATCCAGGATCAACATGCCAATACAATTGGCCAGAAAAATCTAGATGCAAGAGACCAATGACAGTGTTTTCCTAGGCCCAGGTGGAGGAGAGATGACGAACTGTTGGCTGAAAATGAGCAGTGACATAAATTTGCCAAAAAGGCAAAGGTTTGCCGTGCCCGCTGAATGCACCTGCGGCCTGTCCCACCTTACCTGTCTACCTATCGAGGCGGCTCATCGCTCACTCACCAGCGGGCGCCTCTCACTCACACCTTATCTCTTCCCGCTCTTACTCACTCAACTCCGACTCGAACCCCAGTGACAGATCTTGCCTTACGAACGGCCTGTTCCGACCACGTTTTCGCCTGCCTCTTGTTCAGTCGACCTTCTCACGACGACACTGGCCCCGCCGCGTGTGTCCCTCACAATTTGAGAAGGAGGAAACAAACCAAAAAGAAGCATCCGCTTTTGTTTCTCCTGCAGTGCTTCTGGGCCTCGCGCCCAGCAGCACCAGGTGCGACAGACCCAAAGTCAACGAGGGGACCGCTTTCCCGCCTCAAACTGGTTGACTCACATTCCCGCCCAGTGTCACCGACCACGTCGCCGCTAATCTTGTCGCTCTTTATTTCCTCCTTGCTATTCTGTCCGAAGACGGCGTTTTCAGAGATCAACGCTCTCACGTCCCGACCAACAAAAGACGACCTGGCATTTTCTTATAGCGCACTACGTTTAGAGATACCCGCGCATTATCCGGTCTCCATCATTCGTCACACTTCACGTTGTTTAACTTGAATTTATCACATTCACTATACGATACTGGCGGTACTGCTACCTAGTACGCGCTCGAATACCGGCATATCAGAACCATCCTTCCGTGGTCAATATGTCGTATCAACAACAGGGCGCCGGCTGGCTGAGCTTCGCCAACCCTCATGACCCTGGAGCTACCGATCCGACCTTGCTGAAGGAGAACTCGGAGAGTCGCTCATACACTACGGCGCGCTATACCTATTCTGGTATCAGGACGTTCTACAAACGACACCTCCAAGCTGACCAGCTGCCCAACCCACCACTTCCCCTGCTTGTCTGTATCCACGGTCTGGGAGGATCAGTCGCTCAGTTTCACCCGCTGTTGACAAGCCTGGTCCACATTTCATCATGTCTGGCCATCGACCTGCCCGGTTGTGGTCGTTCCGATTTCACCCAGCAGGCATGGGATGCGTATACCCCGGAAGCACTGTGCGAGTTGTTGGAGGTCATCATCGATGAGTATCGTCAGAAGGAGCCCGACCGCAGCGTCGTACTCATCGGCCATAGCATGGGAACTACCATGTGCGCACAGCTGGCGAGTCGCAATGCGCCGCACAAGACTGACCTTCGCAAGTACGTTGTTGGAATGGTCGCCATCTGTCCCGTAGCCGGTCCGCCCACGGAAGACAAGACGACGCTGTTCAGAAGGCTGCTTTGGGTACCCGGCTGGATCTTTGATTTATGGAGGGCCTACGATCGGTGGGGAGGCCCGCAAAGTGCCAGCGTCAGTCGATTCGTTGGTCCCGGTGCTGAGCTTGAGCTCCGCAAACTCCAAGACCGCTTCAACAACCAAAGCCGGACGCCCGTCTGGCGCAGGATGGCCTGGGGATCACTCCCGAACTATGAGAAAGGCATTGCGAAAGGCGGCGTGCCTGGCAAGGACGTTTGGGCCGGCGTTGACGTGCCGGTTTACCTAGTTGGCGGAAAGGAGGATAAGCTGACGAAGCCTGAGGAGGTGGACAAGATCAAGGAGTATCTCTCTGGCAAAGCGCCTCTATCGCCCGAGACTGGGTCAGACGACGGCCATGAAACCATCGTCGACGCGGCGGCACCGGTCAACACATCAAAGAATCCGACGGACCACGGGCCCGAGAGTATAGATGATATTCGAGACGAAGACTTCTGTCGAGATCGCAAGCTCAACGAAGACGCGGACAACGCTCTCGAAGATCCATCGACACCTCAAGAGTCACCCGCAAACATCCCACCTCAGCCCCGGCATCCTACCAAGGTCATCAGGTCTATCATCATGCCTGCGCCTGCCAACCATGCGCTTCTGTTCATGCCTGCTACAGTTAGAATTCTGGCTGGTCTGATCTCCGACTTCCTTGCCAACCATGTCACTGGACGTCTGTCTCTCGGATGGCAGTTGCAGTATCTCTCGCGGGAAGGCAAGTGGGATGTGAAGAACTTGGCCAAATGGAAGGGAGTTGTTCCAGTTTCCCACCCCATCGGTCCAGCATGCAGCCCGCCAGTCTTCAGAGCGATGAAGACTCTGCGAGAAGCAGATGACACGCACTGTCCTGCCGAGTTTGTCAAGAACTGGGGAGGAATCATCAAGGACGTGATTGATATCAGTCACGACAAGCCGGTGTACGACCCGCGGAGCATGGAAAAGGGCGGAGTGCGATATCACAAGTTCGCGACAGTCTCGAAGATTCCGCCCAAGGATTCCGAAGTGGCTCATTTCATTGCGCTCGTGGATAAGTTGCGAGAGCAGCAGAAGGCGAGGGCTGAGGAGGAGAAGTGGGCAGAGGTGGACGGCCAGACGCAGGTCATTGGAGTCCACTGCCACTACGGCTTCAACCGCACCGGATACTTTATTGTGTGTTATCTGGTCGACCGATGTGGAATGTCAGTAAAGGACGCGATTGAGACGTTCAAGGAGGCGAGGCCTAACGGGATTCGCCACCAGCACTTCAGAGATCGGCTATATCTGCGGTATTCGGGACTGCAGGAGGAGGAGGTTGTGGAACAGCAGCAGAACGGTTCATGATCCTCCATGGGCTGTATGAAGACGAGGTTTTCGTGGATATGGAGGAGGAGTGAAAGGGTTTCAACAGGTAGCGTCACTGATTAACGATAAACATACTTACTCAGCCTCGCGGTTGACAGCGTAATGAAGTTTCCAATACCCTGAGGCACTCACTTCATGGACATGCCGAAGACCACCTCTCAAGTCCAGAGCAGTGATAATCCTGAGTGGCCGTGACTTGCAAAGTACGGAACGGTTTGACTTCACTTTGTTCCTCGGTGACGTGCATCAATGTAGGAGGCGACTCTTGGAAGGCGTCACACAAACATCGAGCTCTTTTCCGGCTGCGATAAGGACGCAGAAGAGAGGTTTTCTAGTAAGCTACCTAGGTGCCTTGATTCTAGCCTATTCTCTAAACGTACTTTAAACCCCAACAACTCCTCACACATCGAGTCTGGGCAGAAACCCTCCCTCCATGCAGTGAGCTATTTCACCAGTATGAGGTAACCTGGAAATCTCAAAGGTGCGGCGTATGGTGAAGTGGTAATGTTCCAGCCCATCCAGAGGCTGTTTCAAGCGTCAGACAAACCACCTTCAACATCCAAAGATCTCATCTACTTCGACATCACACGCATCCGTACGCAGCCTCGCTGTCAGCCTTTCCTACCTTGCATTCACAGAGCATCAAAAAAGGAAACTCAAAAGCACGCACATCACCCAAGTCCATTCGTTCCTGGAACAATCATTACCACCAGCAAAAGAGAACATTGATCAGTGGGAGGCTTGAACTCCCGGCCTTGGCATTACACAACATTTCAGGGTGAAATATTAGTACCACGCTCTAACCAACTGAGCTAACCGACCCCATCCCGAACCGAATGTGGTTGTTGGGTGTGTGATGCTGTGGTGTGGAAATTTGCCCTAAGTTGAGGCCCACGATGATGGCGGGTCGCGGGTCTGCGGAGGGTCCCGGAGGGGCGGCCGGCTTTGGCCCCGCTGAGGAGTCGGTGGGACTTCCGGTGCTGACGGATGGGTTGGTGACGACGTGTCTACGAGTACTGGAAATTTGGGGGGTGGATAAAGGCTTTAGAGAGTTGTGGAAGAGTCTGAACAGAGTCTAAGATATATAGATAATGCTGTGTAGATTCAATGTCGTCAGCACTTTCTCGCTTTTGCTACAGATCTCATCTATAACCCCGGATATCATGAAGGACGACTTCGAGTTGTATTGGACTCAAAAGCTTTGAGATATATTTCAATGAACACTTGAGATTAGTACCGAAGTGACGTACGATTTCGTCGGTAGAAAGACGTTCGAATTATTTGACTCATAGCCGTGACGCCATTTTCAGTCTATTGACAGCTTCATATAAAAACGACATTCATATAAAATCGATGTTAACAATAATGTAAATAGTAACGGAAAGGCCTTTTATCTTTCGCAAAATGCCTCTCTACGAACTTTCCTCGTCGGGTTTATAATTGGGCCAAAAGCGCAAACTCGTATCATACAGCTCTTCTGCGGGTATCCGGGACCGGCTTCTATATATGATCTATGTGGTTCAATGGACGACAGGATAGCTCCTGAACGAGGGGTACGGTTTCAATGAGACGACTACGTGATTCGAGAGGCCAGCACAAAAGCTGATAACCACCGTTCTGGATTCCATAGAGACAAAGTTACCGGCTTGGAACGCGGGACAGCATGATACGGAAAGACCGTGATTGCGATTTCCGTGACCAGCGGTTTCCGCCGGGCGTAGGTCTAAACCGGCTGGGTCAAGATCTTTCAAATATTCAGTACTTTCGTCTGGATCTCCGTACTTCCTGTTTGTTTCTCACGCCGAAGGGTTTGAAATGTGATAGTACACGTTCCCACATGCGTCGATTGAGGATTGTCCGATTGACATGCTGGGAGCTGCTCCGTGTCTCCGCCAGAAAGAAACACGATTACACGCGGGAGTGTCTCTCAATTTGTCCCTCCGCGCGTATTCAGCCACGTATAGGTGTCGGGCTGGTAGATAGTAGTGCGACCGATGTTCCTGTTAAAGATGCCATAGAACAAAAGAGACTTTGGCGGGCATGACGGACACTCCCACATCCTCACCGTCGGTGACCAAACTATGCGTGCGTTCTTCAACATGGAGTTGGCACCATTCACGCCGCTCAATTGCGCCGTCTTGATCACTGCTCGCCTCCTTCTTATTGCCGCGATTCTACGATTTAAGGCGTATAGTCTCAGGTAAGATGGTGCATACCTGCTAGATGGAGATCAAACACTAACGTGATTTGTCGGCATCAGCGAGATGTGGTTGATGGTAGTGGCGAACTCTTGGACTCGTACTTCCGGGCCGTCCCAGCAGAACTTTTCTTAGAGTCGGAGATGAAGTCGAATTTCGGTGAACTTGATGCTATGGAGTCTCGGAAGACCAAGTAGTCAACTCAACGTATTCACGGTGATGAAAAAGACGAAAGGTTGATGAAGTTCAGTGAGCTACACATGGCGAGTCAATTCTCGTACGGTGATCCAAGGATCGTTTATAGGCTTCTTGTTATGTTATGCCCCTGGATAGAGTCTTGGGTAGCCACAGAATCTACCGATAGCTTCTGATTAACACTTCTATGCTCGAAGGATGGAAAACGATGGTCAGATGGATGTGATAAACTCTTGTACTCCGTACTCTCTTTCTACATGATTTCCCCGCTCACATCTCTAAAGATTGCATGTATGGTGATTACATATTCTTGCCATCATACATCCGTTCTATTATCACTAGGCGCAAGTCGGCTTGTCTTTGCCTTCGGCACGTACGTGACGACGAATTAATATCAGGAAACCCCGATATGAGCACCGCATCAAAACGTCGGGCTAAGCAATGGCCTGTGGACAAGGACTTGGGTGTCCATGACTCCAAAACAAATGCATTCAGGGGCTGGATAGTAAGAAACATTTTAAACCTGTCGATAGCCACGTATGAGGGCCTTATTTGCTGCCAAACTCCTTCGTCATGGCAGATCATCAGGATGAGGACGACATTAGTTCACCACGAGACCGCAGACGAGAAGCTTCCTTCTCTGCGTTGCAGCTCACTGGGTTCTACGTATGCCCCTTTTTCTCAGAGACGTACAACTACCATTGATATCATAATTCCCGGAGTCATTTATGAATTTGAGACTTCCCTCAGCTCTTGTGAGTTTCCACGGCAATCTCAACCATCCTCATGGTCTTACGTAGGGAAGTTCGTAGTCGTGTCGAGAAGTTGAGCAGCAGTGTTCGTATCTGATCCCGCAGCAGCTTCACAGCTCCGATAGTTCAACCAGGCTATTCGCAACTGGATGGGTATGGAATCCACATTGATTTTAAGGGAACTCGAGATATTGCCCCTGAGTTGTATTGTTCATCACATTATTCGGAGCGAGATCTGCTTCCTTCAGACGCCGGGTACAAATGCATTCGAGCAAAGCAGACAATCTCCATTCACATCACCAATCGTCTTCTTCTCCAGGTTTGTGGCCCCCCTCTAAAGCTTCTAAATCCAAAGTCCAACGCCGTCCAAAACCTCATGCTCGACATTGCACGCCGTCAAAACCAAATGAAAATTCTCCGCAAGCGCAAGAGATATCGCCGGCGTGCCGCGATCTGGAACTACGGGGAGAACTGGTAGCTTCCACGGTGGAGGACGTTACTGGCGGCGCGGTCTTGGATAGCTTCGCGATCTCAAAATGACGGACATTCGAACGGCTCGTTCAACGGATCTCTCTCCTGGACGCCACCTACCATTCCTCACTCCCTCCATCGCTCCCTACACCGAATCAACTCCCTCAAAGTACGCAACCAAATCCACACAAATCCAAACAAACATCGACTTCGTCTCTACGAACCGCGGACCGGCTCGCCCATACCCACGTGGGGTTCGATAATGGCGGACAGCAGGCGGCCTCCCGGGAGCCAAAAAAGACACGAGATGCCGCGGGACGAAGAGAAACGGCTCGATCTTCATCTGCGTACTTCGTTCATCCTTCGTGTTGATCTCTTCAGGCACGAATGCACGTTCATTGGACATTTCGGCCAGCCCCTCTCCTCAAACTCTGTTTTACGAGATATTGCTGCCCCTACGTGCTTCGCAAGTTAGTCCCAGTTGAGGAGCTGAACTGCAGAGCCAGTACACTACAATCACAATCGTGACATGCACGCAAGCTTCACATCACAATCACATTCCCACGCATCCACAACGAACACCGGATCTACAAAACCTTCATCCTCCATGCTCACCTTGACCCAATCTGAAATTGCCCGATTTGACCCTCTCATATCCATCATAACCTTTGTCACTCACAGGACAAACCAAACCCCCTTATCACTCGCAAGTCAGAAGACCGACGAACCGCCGCTCAGGCAATTCTCGTGAAAAGAAATAACAGGCAACCACACGGGCACGCAATGAACAGGGCAATCAGACAAGGGGGGGGGGGGGGGGGGGGGGGGGTCAACACCCTCCTCAATACGAACATCGTTACGAAAAGCGCGAACCAGCGAGTGAATTAGCAATCTCGGAATCTCTTCTCCTGCGAGCAGACAGCCAAGTCTTCGGTCCAGGCCCCCAGGCCCCCCCAGTCCACGACCCCACGAACGCAAGGCACGCACGAAAAGTTTCTCTTTGCATCAGAAACCTGCTTTTCGTGCTTCGTGTTCTGTAATGTGACGAGATCCCAACAGTCCAGAACACCGGGCACCTCAAGCGGATCCTGCATTGCTTGCTCCTGGCCTCCTCCATTCCGTACATACCATCCATCCATCAGCCCGCCCCCTTGCGCGTCCTCAATTCCATCGTGAAAAAGTGCAAAACCCAAAATCAGATGATCAAACCTGGCATGTACGCTCCCATCAAGCGGCCGCAGTTCGACTGCTTCCCTCTTTTCGAACGAAAATCACACGGGCTAGGGCCATGCAAGCGCACGAGCAAATTGGAAAGAAGACAAGACAAGTCAGAACAAGACAGCCTTTCTCCAATCCTTCCTGCTTGACCGTTCCCCCCGTGCCCCCCAGCCATCACAATCACATCCCATCAATGATCACGGGCGTCAGTTCAGCCCGAAAGGAAGCGGCCCATCTGACAACACTCAGACCAAACGCCCCAGCACCAACACCAGCCCGGCCCAGCCCCAAGGCTCCGCAGACTGCGGGAACAGCAAAGACTCTCAAGACCGGACTGCGGCAGCTACTTTCTTGGGAGGGGGGAAGAAGACAGACCAGACGCGGGCTTCTGCATGGCATCAGCACCAACACCAGCGCCAGCACCAGCACCAGCACCAAGAAAGCACTGTTCATCGTCGATTCCAGTCAGATGGCCGGGGATGGGGGATGGGGGAGCACGATAAACCCTCAACGTTTAGTTCGGTGGCTGACTTACAACTGGCTAAGCTACGTGTTCTACCTCCGTGGGAAGGAGAGGGAGAGAGACGCACCACACGGCACGACACGTCCACGTCTTCAACACGCGCCGAGAACTGACCCTCTCGAGGGTTCCGTGATGTTCTAACAGAAACAGCTTCATCCTTTACCCGTCACCACCTGAATCCTTCTCGCAGAACACACACCGATTGCACACCACCCCCATTTCACTAGTCTCCTCGTCCACCTGTTCCCAATCTTTCTGGGCTAATCTTGGTTCAACTTGCTCACGGCCCCCAAGCCAGCAGGAAAGGAAAACCAGATGACAAGCCCGCAGGAAAAAAAAAGGTCGAGCGCAAGAAAGCTCAGAACAGGAGCGCAAAAGTGTCATAGCACACCTTCCCGGGAACAACTAAGACCGGTGGAGAGGCGGGACAAAGTAGAGAACAGAAGACGAGGACCTCGGACAGTGAACTAGCTTGGCAACATCACCACGGGTGTGGGCTTTCCTCTCTCTCACTCTCTCTCATCCGTCTCGTCTGTCGCGCATGAGGTCTAACGCGCGTCATGTCCCATCAGCTCTGCTCGCTGGTTCACCATTTCGTGTCGCGAGAGAAGTAAGCCAAGGCCGTGTATCGTATCGATGGAGACAAATAGAGATATGATGTCGCGACACTTTTGCCTTTCCCCCTACTGTATAGTAGCGGTCGTAGTCTCCTTTTTCCCTACTCCCTACTTGCCACGCCCCCCCTTTTCGTTTCGTTCTTCCGGCCCCTTCTTCACACTTGTCTCCATCGTGGGCTCCTCATTTTGTTTCTCCGCCAGTCTTACCGCATGACGCCGGTTGATCATAGGTGAAAAGCTGGCTCGTGTACCCTCCAGTGCCTGTCCTTTCCATCCTCCCACCCCCATACCGGGGGGGGGGGCTAATCAAGTGCCTCTTCCTCTTTCTCACCTACCGGTATCCCTCTTTCTCCATCATGACATGTATGAACAACGAAACAAGATGTAGAAAAGAGTAGTCCACACGCCCTGGATCTGACCTGGCCTAGCCCAAGAGGGTAAACTAGTCCCATAGAGACAGCGAGAAAAAGAGAGAGAAAGAGAAAGATCAAGAGATCAATAGAGAAACCCTAATTCTCCCAAAAGTCGACGCCGTCTCGAGAATCAAAGGAGGCGCCCGCTAGGGCGATGTTGCGCCATTTGGGCCAACAAGAGAATAGGTAGCGTAGAGCAACAAGGCAAGCTCTCCTAGAAAGAACGCTACAATCGTCCGCTAGACACGTCTCCCATATCAAATCAACGGCACTAGAAGAGGAACAAGATAATCCCATCACAAGTAAAAGAAGAAGAAGAAGATTTAGGCTTGGCTAAAAGGGGCGTGTGTTTTGCGTGCTGCTTGCCCGTGTGGGAAAGAAGATCCCACGCCAAAAAGACGCCCGACATCCAGCGCCAGCACCAGCACCAGCACCAGCACCAGTCATCGGCTGACGGCGTGAGCGTTGGAGGATGAAAAAAAGGGGACTTGGGGGGATAGGGAATATGCCAACCATCAAAGGAAGAAAACCAACAGGAATTTTGAGACGAGACGGGAGGAACAAAGTACGCTGTTTGTTGTGCACGTTCCGACGACGACATGGCACCGCCGTTTGGTCTTTGGTCGACCGGACCTGTCGTCCTATGCCTATGGCGTTAACCCGGCGTACCTGTCACGGAGTCGACTCCGGGAAAGACGGCCGGCCGCCAGACTGGAGTGTTTCCGAAACGACAATCGGCCAGCTTACTACCTACCTTACCTAATTGACAGAGTTCAAACCGGAGAAGCGGGCAGGGCGGATGAGGGACGGATGACCTAACGACCGATGATGACTGATAGTCACCAGTTTTCCGTGATGGAACAATTTGTCATTGTTGCTCCTCGTCCTTCACCCCCTGAACAATCAAATGAGGATAGAACGTCGAGGAGGCTTGCGAACAAACGCCCGCCAAGTTACGCAATACGCCTTTCTCTCTTTCTCCGCTTCAAACTTCATCCAGCTGCGGCTGGTCCGCCCCCCGCCTCCCGCGACTGGTATTGATTCCAAAGAGTACCAATTTGACACGAACGTGCGCCATGTCACGAGGAGAGGGGGGAAAGGGAACGGATAGTACGGTACGGAGTACCTAGGCCAGATACCGTGCAAGGTAAGGCAAATCTTACCCATTGAGAAGACAGTCACACCCCCTGCCTCCTCTGTCTCTACAATTCACACAGCTCTCTCCGAGTCGTCGCATCCGATACGCCCTATGCAAGCAGTATCAGATGAGGGAATTGCACGGAGCAGAGAGTAACAGGAAAGAAAAAGCAGATATGGAGACCTTGGGAAAGCAACAAATCAAAGAGAGATCAGCGCTCTTTCCGCACTGCCACCGGGTGTCCTCGGATGGCGTTGAGGAATAAAAGATCTTCGAACCTAGCGCGGCGGGGAAAGGGGAGGGGGCCAAAAACGTAAGTAGGTAGGTAGCAATCCGTAGCCATGTAGATAGGCCGTGAGAGGAAGGGTGGGAGGTAGCAGGGGGAGGAGGAGGGAGCAGTGTATGCATTCGTTGAGCTGTACAGAGTAGAGGGGGCCAAGATGGGAACCCTGTCCTTGGACAGCCCGTCCATTCTCTCTCCCTCTTTCTCTCTCTCTCTCTGTTTTTGGTCACTTCGTTGACCCTACATCACTCCCGCCGCCGTCTCTCATCCGCCGCCCTACCGAAAGAACAGACCACAAGGAAATCAAGACCCGGAACTTGCAAGAGCCTCTTGGACGCTTGTCGGATGGAAACGACGTGGATCTCCACTAGACTGGAGATGCAGCAAGACGGGCTGGCACGAATCATTCAAGTGCGCCACTACATGCGACGCTGGGGGAAATTTGCTTGGGGATTTTCGGGTTAATTACCCAAGATCCCGTGCATTAGGCCGAGAAGGGGATGAAGGGAACGCCACAAAAAGAAAGAGAGAGGAGAGGATGGATACTCGGGGGTGTGTGTGCGTGAGAATGGGTGAGAGTGTGTGTGTCTGGGTCTACCATAGTACAGCCTGGGGTCTGGACAAGTCTTGATACCTCCAATCCACCCTTTCACTTAGAAGGTGTGGTGGGCTCTACCAGTCAACCAGAGGCCGTGTGCCTGAGAAGGCAGGGTTTATCACGTCTCGTTGGTTTTACTGCATTGACAGAGTGGCTTGTCTCCTGTCCGCTGTTGCCGCGTTTGGATGAACGAATGTGCCGTCTCAAAACAGACATGGATGGGTTTCTGCGGGGAGAACAGACATTGAGGGAGGATAGAACTCAGGAGGAGGAGGAGGAGGAGGAGGAGGAGGAGGAGGGTACGGTATTCCAATGTCCTGGACTGAGACGGTACCCAAGAATGGCTTTCTCCTCGAGTCATTCGATCGAGGAGGTCCTGCAGGCTGCTTATGCTGTTGGGAAGGACTCTACCGTGGTTGCGGATAGAGACGCTCCCTCCACATGAGATGTTTGAGGAAGTGGGCTTGGGGGGGAAAAGGCGGAACAAAGAGAAGCAATCCTGAGGCCGGAAGGAGTGGTGAAAGACGCTAATCTATGGTTGGGGGCTGTATCCGTAGGACCGTAGCTCTCTCCATCTTTCATCTTCATCTTTCTCTGTATCCCTCCTCGTCTTCCAGGTGAGCTCGGGCTTCCCGCTGGGGGAAGGGAGTGTGCCAAAGGAAGAGAAGGGAAGGGGGCATTGGTAAGGGGGCAGGAGAGAGGGGGTGCGTTTGGAGACGAACAAGCGTCCGTGTGGGCGTGGGATGCAATACCGAACTTGGTTGACATTGATAGCTCCTCCTGTGCCTGTGCAAATGTGCCCAACTCTTCGTCCAAAGGGCTTCGTTACGGACGTTGTCGAATACGGTGAAAGGGAGAGAGCGCTACGGGTGAGAAAGTTTATTTCGGCGTGATGTCTTAGAGCTGTCATTGTGATTGGACACATAATCGGCAGGGGAGATGAAGGTCCTGCGTGGTCTGAGACCTCTCTTGTGGGTAGATTACGCATACGTATGAGACTCTTCTCTGGGAGCCTGTATCCGGAGGGATGAGTGAAAAGATCGTGGTCGTGGTTGAATACCATACCCACGCGTGCCATGCTTGATTCGTATTCATCCTTGCGTTTGTGCCTCTTGTCTCATGGTGAGTTACTGTTGCATTCAAACCCGGGCAGGGCTCAATTTTTCCTGAACCATTGACTGGCGCGCCAAAATCGCGCTTCCAAGATGTCTAGGCCCGATTAGGCATGATGGCAAGTTTGGACGTGTGGTTGTACTCGTAGTATACACCGACGGACGCCTAGAGTGAACCAGTAGGCATGCACCGCCGCGGCTTCTGGTGAGCGGGAGAGCATCAGCTAGCCTGCCGTAGGTCGCAATGGCGAGAAACAGAGCGAGCCGTCAACCGATGCTGAAGAATCGCTAACTGCTAACTGGATAGAGGCCATGTCGACGTGTGTGGCGCGCTCTGGGCCCAAACTCTGTCGGGGACCTTTGACATTCAGATATGCCTGGTATCCGTACCTTTGCAAGGAAAGAAAAGTCTGTAACTTTGTGGGTGTAAACTTGCAAGCAGGGAGCAGGGGAGTCGGGACACCAATACCAATTCGAATACCAGATGGAACCCGATTCGGCGCGCCTCTTTGGTCCTGCCCTCACTGTCAGTGCCCATATGTCCCGACGTTGAGATGAGGAACATTGCTCACCAGATGTTCCGCGACAAGAGGCTGAGGACAAGGCTTGCGTCATCTTCTCATCTTTGAAAGGGGAAAGCGGAGAGTCGCGAGCTATGTAAAACCCGTCTCGTTCGGTTGAGTTTTGCTTCACCTGCATAAGGTACGCGGCATGGAAGCTTCCCCATTTTCCCCAGAGGGAACACCATGACCGCAGTCTCGGGACACTGTTGTGCGCCTTTTTCTTTTTTGTGTGCCTCGAGCTTCTGCCACAATCCGATGTTTACAGTTTCAAGACTTCTTCCCAAAGAAGGGCGGCTTCAAGACAGAGAAAAGGGAGTGTCCGTCTTACATTCAAGGCTTAGCTTCCCCTCTGCCCCCCCCGTTTGCCCGCTTCGCAGCCGGGTACCTACATGGTGTCGCCGTCCCAACTGAAAGGGTGGACTATTGCCGCACCATGTTACCTCCCATTTGGCGTTATTCTTTGTGCAACTTGGCTTTTGCGCGCGCGAAAGCTCGGAGAAAAGCAAGGCTCCCCAATCGAATTCGCGTACGACCCGGGGCCAGGTGCTTGGGGCTTAGAGAGCGGCGAGACAGCAGCAATAAACAACGTGGTGTCCTGGTCGACGGATGATGTTCACAAGGATCGGCGCAGCCCCGGTCGCGCGAGGCCCACCCGGGAATATGCAACCCAAAACCCCTTTTTCAACGACATTCAAGCGCGAGTCGTGCAATTCGATATCATCACCGCCGCCTTTCGAATAGGCGCAAATCGCGCTTTAGGCCCGGATTTCGTACCAGAGTATCCGTACAATCCATCTGTGATGCTTTGATGACCACCTCAATCGTATTGTCGGTGCAACCTTAGGGTTCCATTGACGGGAAGCGTATCGGCTCTTCTGCTCCGAGATTGCTCCCACGCCGCTGATTATTGCTTGTCCATTGGCACCACGGCAGAGCTGTGCCAGCCACTTCTGCAAGCGCAGGCAGAAGCTGAACCGTAGATGGTATTAACAGGCACCGAGACGACTTGTCAAATGCAGGACTATATCGACAGCTGCTTCTGATGCAAGCCAAATCTGTTCTTGATTGCTAGCACATGGCAAAATGGCCGTCAAACACGCCGGAAATCTCATTGGCTCCAGTCAAGGCCTTTCGAGGCTTTAAGTCCAGGAAACGTTTTCCCGTCCCTCTTCCGCGCGGTGTTTCCCTACGAATGCCAAGCCGGTTGGAGAGAGTGAGATGGAGGAGAACTTACACCAAGAAGATCAAGAACTGTAATCGTGAGAACTGGTCACAACCCGCTAGCCATGGAATGGCTGATGCTCCCTGGTCGTATCACACGCCTGGCTCAAGGGTCGATTGCTGCATCTTCTCTAGCGCATGTACACCATCGGGCTTTTCAGTCGTGTGCTTCTTGTATCGCAACCAGCGAGGGAGTCGGCACCGTTGGGAGCACGTTGGAGCACTCATCCGCCACTATCCATTTCATAGATCGCCGAGGACAAAGGAGATCACCAACTAGTTGGTAGACAGTCGTTGGTGGAGTACGATAGTACCGTTTTTCTCCCCGGGAGCTATAGTAGGGCAATCATTAGTGCTGAGAACCAAACAAGGACAAAGTAGTGGCGTGGGCGAGAGCGTCGCTACTGTAACTTGCTACTATAGTCATGCCGTCGGATATTTGTCGTTCTGTCTTCTTCACCAAGCTGCCTGGGCCCTAGTAGCATCCAGGGCGGCGACGGCGGCTTTTGGATCTCTGTAGTCTGACCAGGCCATTCGGAAGCTGCTGGCCGAACAGGCAGACATCCCAAGTCAATTTCATACTATCCAGCAGCCTCAACGGTTGTACGAGAACCCAAAAGACAGTTGTATGCGGTTTGCCGGCGCATGTCGGGTTGCGGGAGGAATGCGACTGTTAGACTATGGTCTCGCACGGACAACGTTCACTGACAAGACCAACCTGTTGTTGGGATGAGTGACTAGCTTTGTAAACATCCAGGCGGTTTCAACGCCCATCATCTCTGAGCTCGTATCTGATCCAGGTAGCATCTTGTCTGGCCGCCAACGAAAGTTTCGCCACTCAGGGGTTCGGCATCATCTGGATGAAGCATGCGCAGCGAAAGTGGTCGTCACCCTACCAAGGGGAATGTCCATGGACTCGGGCCTAAACAATACATGCCAAAGGAAGCAAGGATGGGCATACTTGAGGCTGTATCATCCGATGTTTCTTCTTGAGTTCGACTCACGGGGGTACAGTTCTTCGCAATAGTACGCGCGGTTTGCAGAAGGAATACTCAAACCAGCCCTTCCAGCACAGGCATTATCGATGCTACTTTGACTGGTGATCCGGGGATGATAAGCATCGCTAGAGAACCATGATTTGCGTTGGCTGGCAGGGTAACCGCAGGACATATTGCCGCTCACATACTCTAGACTCTGTCGAGACTGGGCCCGACCTTGTCAGATATCGGCGAATGCAGATCATCGGCCTTGGGAAAGACGACGATATCTCTTCGCCGGCGAGAACAGGTTTCGTCTGCCCAAGCCCCTATCGTATCTCATTGCTCTGGCCGGGTTGAGAGGTTCGGGGATGTTGAGCTTGGAGAGACTCGTCAACGCAGATTTTTCCGCGAGAGCCATCGGAGTATCCATGTTACGGCCAGAGTTCTGTACGAGTCGACGGTGGAAATGATGAGTTGGCCCGAGTATGACCCCTCTCCGGTTATGGCGGCACAGTAATGAAGTCTTTCCGGGACCCCAAATGGGAGGTTGGCGTGGTGAGGCTCAAGTCGAAGTCCCAATGCGTACCGCAACCACACGACGGTTGGTACCCCGTAGATTTCACTGATTGAGTAGCGGCGCCTATCTAAGCCGACACCAATGCAACTAGGCTGTATGGTGGTTAACCTGCCACGCTTGCTCACGCCAGCCCGCAGCTGGAGCTCATCATGTGCCGTGCGGTCGAACATGAATTGCCGGATTTGATTGGACATGGCTCAAATGCGGATGGCCATGGCACGCAGGATGCGTCTCCAGCACTATTCGGAAGAACCGTCGTACTTGGTTTCTCGGTTGTCCTCCGAACGCTAGACGCAGAAGCATTCCAGCACACTCGGGGATGTGCTTGGTCGGCCGAGATGATTAGTCAGCTTGTCTTGTGCGGTTGTACCGCTGTCTGCGGCACCACGTAACCGATCTTCGATTGATCCTCCATCGGTCTTGGGTTTTCAAGGCTTTTAGCGGAGGCGCCAGTTTCTTCAGTGATCATCATTGCCTGTAGCTCGCTCTTTCGCGCCTAGGGATGGGCGCGTGGAGCATCTTGTGTCGATCAGTGACAGGCAAAATAAGCAGCCGATCGACAGAGCAAGAATCCCTGGCTATGCGTAAGACGAGCGCTCTTCCAAGCCACTGATGAGATGTCGCGAGTCAGGTTCTGCGGTGTTGATGCAGAAGACAATTTGCAGAGGGACCAGTCACAATACGGTGGTGAGGCAGCCGTATTAGCTGGTGAAGAAAGAAACACCGGCCAGGCTGAAGGGGTTCGATGCTCCCTTCGTGTTGTGAGTTCCGCTTCAACGAGAGTTGACTCCCCCAGGTCTTCCCGCGAAACAACGAAGGCTGTTTTCGTGGAAACCTAGAATGTTTCTGGCCGCGCCTCTAGTATAACATACCTCCTCTTTATGGCAGGATCACCAAGTAGGCTCAACCATCGCGGCGAATCGCTGAGCTAGTAAGCGTGGGGAGGTACCTGTAGTGTGCAATTGACGCACACGTCGACTAACAGCTGAAGCGCCTGGTAGCATCTTCTCTGTGTACTGGACGTTTTGCAGCGAAGACAGCACCGATAGCTGCAAGGGAGGGTTAGGTTGTGGGGATGCGGTGCTCGATGGGCCGCTCGCCTAGACCAGGCCGGATAGCGGAAAGGAATCTGCCCCCCTCGTGGAATTCGCGCGATGATACATCATAAAGGTATGGAACTGCAGTGTGCAAGCATGCATCACGAACGAGGCGGATTGGCCCAATGGGGATAGCCGAATGTTGAGGGCTGCCTTACCTGAGAGACTATCGAGTAGGTATCGACGTCTGTCTGTCTGTCTGTCTATCTGGGGTGGACATGTGCGCATCGTGTGTCAAAGTGAGCCCTGTCTGGATCCGTGTAGTGAAGATGATCAGGTAGACCGTACTGTCGATGAACAGCTGAAGCAGTGGATCCGAAGCAGGAGGGCGATCTTCATGTCCATGTGAACCATTGCCAGGAAAATTGGTCCACGGCAACTGAGATGGGAAAATCGACTTTCCCACTGCCGCCGGTCGACTGAGTGTCTTTTCGCCTCCTCGCCTCGTACCTCCACTTGGATTGCTCCGCTGCCGGCCGTGTTTCTCGGAATCTGGCGTGTCCGATCTCAACTGTTCCCGTATGCTCGTACACACGGACGCTGATAGGCGCGGCGTAAGCAGCGGAGCCGTCGTGATAGGTGCCTCAATTTGCTGCAGCCTGGAGCCGGAAGCCCTTTTTTCTCCTTGGAATACTTTCTACTCCATTCCCTTTCCCTCACCCGTAGGGCAGACGTCTCAGCCGTCCGGCTCTAGCGGGTATGCACGGCCTTCCCATGCTCTCCTCTGTGGTCCCTTCACCGCTAACTCGCCCTCCTTCGACCAGAGAGAGAGGCATGTGGGAATGGCTCTGATGGCCTGCTTGTTGTCCACATGCGCATGTCTCCTTGGTCGTGGTCCGGGTACCGCTTTTTGACCATCGTCACTTGCCGCTGTGGATGTGTGATACTCGACCAACTGGCGGCGAGTGAAATAAGCCGTATTCCCAGCATCCAGGTAGCACTCTATCCATGCGCGCTACCTAAGGACATGCAGGTCGTACCGATTGCGATCACAGTGTCAATATCGACCTCTTAGACACTGTCTGCTAAGCCAGCGCAACGCACCCACCCCAATTCGACCAGAGGAATGAAGCATCCTTGTGCGTTGGGGGCTTGAAATTGGCGGCACTCTGCTTGACACCATCGGGTCCTGCCAGGAAGTCGGTGACACCTTCGGGGGGATCTGACCGCTTGGTGGCCTCATGACTTCATCCATCAGGGGTGCCATATGCCATTGTCGCATAATGTCCTTGATGGTCTGGCCTCGCGGAATTTCCAGCAACATGTGAGACGTATCGGCTAGAGCGACTTGTCAACGGGGGATCATTGTCGGCGGTCGAATAGCTCGAAAGAGGCGCCTTTCCGGGTTGGTTCCTGAACCTTGGCAATGATTCCATCATCATTTTAGCGGCACTTGAGGCGTCCGTCCCTTCTGCCCTCGCTGCTCCTGCTGCTGCACAAGCCTCGAAGCGTTGGGAGTCAGGTATCCGTAGTCAGGAACATATGTCCCAGACAAGCCTTGAAACTTGCTTCTTGGCCTCGCTGGAAAGAGTGCTGACACCTGCTCATTGCGGCGATCCATATCCATCAATTGATCCCTTTGGTGTACGGGATCTGTTCTTTCCAGAGCAGCTCTATGCAGACCACGATACCTGACACTTGGCATGCTGCATGGCTCTCCCATTCGAATCGTGGTGGCATTGAGTTCCCATTGGACGAGGCCGTGCACACCTTCCTCCTGTGCTGTGAGATGGGTTCAAACGACCATGATATGTTCGTGAGGATTCGTAACTGACCACACATCGATTCAATGGGGAGAAGACGACCAAGGTCGAATGCTGAAAGATTCCGTGGGCAGTATTCATTCGCCGGTGAATTGTTCGAATCCGAGTAATATCCAAAAGATCCACCCGTATTCGATCGAATTAGCAACCTCTCGTTCTGCAGCCTGAAAG